ATATACCCGCTGGTCATGCATGTATCCGAGACAATGGATCCCTTGTACCTATGCGTTGCGGGCATCTGCCCGCTCTAGGGGCGGGGGAGTTCTGACGAACGGCGGGGATACCGCCGGGCGTACTCCTGACCGCAGCAAGAGGCGGGTCCCAGGGACGCAATCGTACCCATTGGGCGGCAGGTTTGCAACCCGTACCCTAGCCTTCACTGGCCAAGGGTGGACAGGCGGCCACAACGCATAGGTACTGCGCCCTGCTACTCACCATTCCACCACTAGTGTACCCTTGCACCCCTCCTTCCGGTCATCGCCTAGCACTTCCCCTTGCCCCGTTCGCCACCGCTACTTCCCCACCACACCCCCCTAGTTAGCTCGAGCCTTGTGCTCACCATGTACAGCCGAACACCCACTTCTTACTCACGTCGATAGTATTTGTAGTTTAAGGCCTACCATGAGGCGCGGCCTCGCAGGGCAATAAACGGGATCTAGAAAGAAAGAAAGAAATGCCGACAGGCATTCAACGCGCCGATGTTGAAGCATGGTGGGCGGAGGATCAATCAATGCATGCATGTTCCAGCCCCTGCTCATCGTAATACTTCCTTGATCTGTCAGCAGGGCTCTCTGGTGAAGGACGTATATCCCCTCAAATCGCTAGGTACTAGCAACAGCATTCTTCCAATAGTGGCCCATGTACGGATAGGATGTACAGTTACCAGAGTAATAACGGAAGATTCACGGCAGCGTCGTTCGTTGAGGACACGGCTACGTGCCTAACGTCAATCGTCCCACTTACGATCCATGTAGAGTACAACCGCCATATTTTTGGCCGTGTAATTGCGTGAATCCTTTGGTAATGCCCGGCGAAGTCCGGTATCTGATTGGCTCTGTTCACGGCGCCCCTTCGGAGCAGGCAGAGAGTTCAAAGCGTACAACTGAAAGAAGTCAGGAGACGGATCGTCGATGTTCTTGATCATGACAGCATAAGCCATACGCTGCGCATATTGCCGAGCACACCGTTCCGTGCGTTGTACAAGCAGATAGCTATTTATGGTAAACAGTGTAGTAGGAGAACACCTGAGGGGGGGGAAGGGCAGCTTCCATTATCTGCGCATTATGTTACGGTTCGCCGGGTGATTCATTTTGGCCTCGCGCTCGATGTGCTTTCGATGATGTCCTCTCCGAACTAGATGCGTGAATGGGATGACAGAGGCGCGAGGTCGACATATTATGGACGAGGAGAAGGCGCCCAATTTCGGCGAGGTATTATGGAGGCCGCCGCAAGCGATGGCGCGAGGTGCATCCAAGTGTGACAGCTAGCGTCACGGTCACCGAGCTGACTAGGTTCGTTTGGCCGGATTTGGTTTCTTGTCTATACAAACTCACATCGGCCTCACCGTCGACCTGCCTTTGTTCTGCGCCGACTGCATCTCCTGTCCTCGTCGGACCGATTTGTTTTAGTCACCTCCGTTTGTCTCGTCAATTCTTGCCCCTTTCTTGTTCGTCATACGAAGAGGTCTTCTGCCAGTTACCATCGTCTTATCTGAATTGCGGCGGGTTTCGGAGGGCATACTCACGCACAAAGACTTTGGTCCTCGGTACGCTAAACTCGCATATATAAACCCAAGCATCAATTCCCGGCACCAAGCTCATTCTTCTCAAGGTACTCCCCACGATTCCACAATGGCGGATTCGCCAGTCGGCAGCGACTCCGCGAATGACTCTGGTGACGACGGTCAGCTCACCATCAGGATACCTAATCCGAAGGTCTATATGGCTCGTCAATCGCAGTGGAAGGGGAGGAGAGGGAAGCCACGGTGCGACCATTGTCGACTAAATAACCTCAAGGTGCGTTACCTCTGCCGAGTATTTCCTCCGTTGCTCATGGGCGGCTAGTGTGACCGTGTCCTCCCAACATGCAACCATTGCTCTTATGCCGCCGGACGAGAATGCAAGTACACCCCGCTACCTACTCCGGCTCACCGCGGTATCCCAAGGTGCGACAGATGCCGACTGAGAAATCTGAAAGTACGTGATCTTTGTGCTCCTCACCTGCCCCAAACCCCGAATATTCTTTCCCAAAGTGCGACCGAAATCTCCCGGTCTGCAATCATTGTACAGAAGACAATGAGACGGATTGCAACTACACACCGAAGAAAAGGCACAAAGTCCCGTCGGATCACGGCATACAAAACAACCGTCCCGTGGCGCCGTACGCTTCTAAGACTGCGTCCTTCCTGGTGAATGAACACGGCCAGGAAGAAGAGCAGTCTCCGCCGGCTGGCTCTCCGGGTGAACCATCATCTGCTGGTCCCGTATACGAGGGTGAGATTCGCACTGAACCTCAGATTCGACAATATGTACCACCACATCCCCCGCCACCAGGAGGCGCTCCCATTGACGAGGATACGCCAATGGACCAGGATCCAGACGGGTCGTTTCAGCAAGCAGGACCGGACGGCTCCTTCACATGGGTGCGTCCAAATTAACCTCGGAAGCGTTCCATCTCGGCACTGACCCGGCATTGCATCTTGCCGGCTCCAGGGCATGATAGTTACAACACCACATATCGACCCATGGACACACCCGTCCTTTGTTCCGCTACCGGAAACCGTTATTCGTGGCCTCCGCGCAGTGAACGCTATCGAAATGCCTTCACGACATCAGTACGACGAGGCGTTAACCAAATTCCTGCAAGGGCTTACGCCTGAGTTGCGCGACACTGCGACGTTTTCCGCCGACACGTACGCCGACATTGCATGTGCTGTGCAAGAGAACCGCATATCGTCACTCGCCTCACGGCTACAGTTCTGGGTGACGTGCCACCATGCACGCTCTGGGTCCACCAAGCGCCATCTGATTCTGCTGCCCCGCGATGCGTTCTATCACATGAACCGAGAGGACGAAGAGAAGCTCCGCCTGAACTATATCATGCAGGCAGATGGGGAAGAGAACAGCGAGAGCGCGAAGAAGCTCGCGGAGAACGGGCTCAGTCTTCTGCAGTCGGCCGCAGTCTTCGAGCGCGTCCCCGTGCAAAGCCAGATATATGACGTGCTCGTGTACATACACAGAAATCATGGCTCCTCATCGACAATGCTCTTTGAGGCGCGCCGGATTGGGGTGGTGAGTGGCTCGCTAATGGGCGCGAAGAACGTGTAACTCCCGTGGCTGACAACGCCCTTAACGTGCAGGCGACGATCACCTGGCCGATGGTGGAGATGTTCATACGTATCTGTCCTTTATGCAAGTTGCGGGCTAAAGGCGGCAGTGGGCGCCCTTCCACGGAAGATGAGTCCGTCTCGTATCGTCCACCGCCACCACCTGCGGGTCTGCCTGTCATCAAGCGGTAGCGTATTATCCACTGCTAGGCTATGTCTGGTAATTCAGTGTCATATTCGGGTGCAAATGCTTTGTTCTGTCCATGTTTGTCTAGTCACGTTGCATTGCATCATCGCTTACATCTAGGACTGCGAGGTGGCGGTGGTCGGCGCAAGCTGGCCAGCCGTCGTATAGGGTTTACTGCGCTATGTTAGGCCTGGTGTACTATGTAATACTATCCCCATCCCCTTCGCTGTTTCTCGTAAATGCTGTGCCGATAGTATAACCAAGCTCGACATCCGATGTCCGGTGTTGGATTTACAGTATAATCTATGCGCGTATGCGTGCAAATTATGTAAAGGGGGTATCAAGTGACATGAGCGACTACGAGTGGCTTATGGAAGTCGCTGTACGAGAATTGTGGTATCGTCCATCCATCGTTCCTCCATTTCCACTGTCATATTTCGAGATACCAGTTGCGTATCTGATCCGCCTATAGCTTCTCTTAGGAGAGATACAGCCAGGTTTTTGCTCGGGCGACTCGGGTTCGGGCCGGAACTCGAGTCCAGCTCTCGTCCGATGACCTGGACCCATTCATCGGCCATCTCCTGTGGGGTATATCCGTCATACAAATCAGTAAGACCGTCCGAACAGAGTATGAGTGCGCGCTGGGATGGAGCGCTAGGTTTCTGTGCTATGGCGCTGAAGTCGTAGTGGTATACGTCGGGAGTATTCGATAGATATGGGGGTGTACGGATCCTCGGAACGTGCGGTTGCATCGACTCTGGCGAGAACCAATCCGCGTCCATGTATTTGAACACGAGTTCAGCATAGACAGCTGGAAGCTTCAACCACACGTCACCCAAAGCTACGGGCGTAGCGTAAGCAAAGACACAGGCGAGCGCACATGCGGTAAGGACGCCGCTCACATCTCGTAGGCGCCAGGAATCCCAGAACTCTGTTGTTCCAGACGCAGTCGGGTTCTCCTGGGTGCTCCGCGCGGATGCGTGCCAATTCGCCGGGGTTGCTCCCGTTGTGAATAGAGTTGACGACACTTCCGCGCCACTTTCCGGATCGATCCTTCTCCGCTAGGACTAACTTTGTTTGTCAGCACATCGTGCGGGCGATCCAGGGTGAAAGCGTGGTCGACTACCTACCCGCGACGCAGTCGCCTACATTGGCTACCCACAGGTGGCTTCTTGTCGGATCGACGAGCGTTACCAGTGCCGTGGACCCTCCAAAGGCTCGTGCGGTCTTGTGATAACTCGAGCTCGCCGTGGTCTTGTCATTCACCAGATTCCTGACATGCGTAGGGTTCAATCTCGAGACTGCATCTAGCTCTCTAGGAAAGAGCGCAAGAAAGTCGGAGGTCATCGTCTGGTCTACATACTCCAGGGTCTGTCTCAGAAGGTTTGAGACAAGTGCGGAGAGTGCAGATGGTGATGGGCGGGATCGCAGCGAGGCGTCGAGTAGGCCTCGTAGATGAGGGCCAAAGGCAGTGGAGACGTAGTCCACGCAGTCATGGTCCATATGACCTGGAACGAGGCAATCCGATTAGATATCGAACGTCGCTCATACCGTTCTAGAAGGCCGGTTACAGGGATACATACCGTCATAAACGGCGGCGTAAGTCCAAGTACCGCCGGACAAAGGCCACTCCTCGACCCTGTAGCGGTCCTGGGTGCGGTAATGCCATGTCTTGCAAGGCTGAAAGGAGACGCTGTCAACGGTGCCCGCCGGTGACGTCCTAGGCTCCGCTAACTTTGTGAGCTCTTCGGACAAGGCGGGCTCTTGAAGCATTCGGTATGCCCAGCGCTCGTCTCCGCCACGGTCCATGTCGGTCAGCGCAAAATCCCTAACCTCATCGAGCGCGCGCTGTTGGTCAGTGTTCGTTGCAGGGGTGAGATTAATTATCTGTGGGTGGGCCATCGCCTAGCGTAGTGTGTGGCTCAGCGCGGGAGTAGGCGAGAAAGAAAGGACGGACGGACTGTTTAGCAGAGGGATCCATCGCTTTGGGCCTGAGGTCATGGCAGGATTTAAGGCAATGGGAGATTGATGTAGGTGGGGGGGCGAACATCGCAAACGGAAGTAGGTCCTCGCCACACGCTGGGCTCCGGGGACAACCGTCGTAAGGAATCCATCGCCGTTCTTTCTCTACCTGAAATCGGAGCGCCGGCCGCTATGACATTGAGTGACTGCGCTCATGATGCAAGAAGGCGACGGTGAGCTGATTGACATCAGACTCCGGACCCTTGAGGCAAGCCTGAGGCGTTCTCTGGAGAGCGCGAGAAGCCGAAGCGTGCGTGCATCCTGTCCGGTGAATGAATGCATAGTCTTCCCGAGGAGGGACACCCTGCGTCATGAGTGTCAGCAGCCCCGCGGGAAGCCTCGCGGGACCGTAACCTCCTTTGTGAGCTAGGTTGCCGGTGGGCATGGGTAAAAACTGCAATCGCAAGCGGTGGTATGTAGGAAAGAGACCGAGTGCGTTCCCAGGTCGGCGCGTGGAGGCTCGGAGTGCGTGGGCGTCCCCTCGTCGCTTAAGTACCACCTCAACACCACAGCTTCCATACTGGGAGCGTCGCGGCGTTGCATTGCGCATCCGCCTCCGACGTTGCACCAGGAAACCGATCGTTGCTCGCCCTCCCTCTTACTTCGTCCTCCACGACGGCGGCCATGGCGCGTGGCCCTTTCACAGGAGCTTCATTCATCAGGCACCTGTCTCCGTTGCTATCCAATACAAACTCCGTGCTGGCCCGGACTGGGCGACTGTTTAGACCGTACACCGGTTTACCGCATCCATCGTGGTTCTGCACGGAGGCGTGTTTGATCTGTCAAAAAGATACCGTCCGCCGTATGTCGCCCGCCACAAACTCAATGTCCCCCACCCCGCGACAGCACAAGATCGCGCACGGCGGACCGCGACATACCCAGATCATGGGTGGATGCGACATCGTGACCTCAAGGTTCAGGCATCATGGTATATCTTCTGTCAGGTATGCATGGTACAAATCATATCTCGAGACATAATTCAAAAAACTCCACATGCTCATGACCTCGCTGTGACAGAAGGACAAGATAGCCCGGTGATTTACAACCAGGCAATACAGCTGGCCCTCCTGCGCATTTCATGGAAGCTCTGCGGATGGTATTGAGGAAGACGAGACATCGCGCTCCGCGGGGGATAGTACGTAATCGCACCCTTTCGCCCGCTAACGAGCGATGGAATGACCTCTCAGAACGTCCCGAAAGCTCGGTAGAACATGCCATAACTTTATGTGCGCACCGAGGGGGCTGTACGCGCTCCCAATACCGCCGCCCTAGGGGTGTGACCGATTTTCGGGGGTGCAAACAACTTGCCTGCGGCCAAGCCCAGCCCCCGAGAAGAACAACGGTAGAATGCAGAACAAGCGAACAAGGTTGTGCTCGTGCCCGCGTCGGCTAGCTCACAGAATTTCCTCTAGAAACATGGGTTCTTCGAGAGAGAGACGTTGCTCGCTAAGTGCATCACGTACGAAGGTCTGCTGAACAAGACAGGACAGTGCGGGGGGCCCCTTACCTGAATGTCTTACGACGTTCTATCAACTTGCGACTAGGATTCTAGCGTGCCTACACGAACTCGAGATGCTTCGATCGATGGTGTTGGACGCTTCCAACGCCTCGAGGTCTGCTCGCCCATCGCGCATTGCGATTCACCGCCCTGGCGGGCCGCACTCGCGAACCTGAGTGCGAGATCGCAAATCGCTGATGGCAGACGCGTCCATCCGCTGCGGGTCACGACGGTGGATGACCACAGGTCGGGGTTTCCGCGTCCTGTTCTGTTGCTTGAACAGATGGGCGTTGTGGGGACCCAACGTGGACCCGCATGACCGCCCGCCGCCATTCACGGAGCCATGTCATGCAGCTGGGAGCAGCCTCAACTTGAACCTGCCCAGGCAAAACTGTGTCTCCTGCTTGCAGGCTGCAGCAATCATCCACGAACCGCCGCGGAGCCACAGTACTGTGTGATAAGCTCTGGCTGTGTTCTGCACTAAAGAGTCTAGGACGCCAGGACGAGCAGATTGCCCTGGAGGAAGCCCCGACCATGATCGCACTTCAACGAGTGGCGCGCTGCGAAAGTCGATTGAATTACTGTTTTGAGCAAAAGCGGCATCCGTGCCGGGTTCGTGCCGGGTCATTTCGGTCCATACGGATTCGTAGATGCACAATGTATCGCGCGCCGCGCCCATCATATAGACTGCAGCCCTTGTCGCACCTAGACATTTTTGTTCCAATAACGTCACAACCATCCTAAACACATCAACGATCTCCAGAGGTACGGTCGATCACAGCGCCGCAGGCTATATGATTATCAGCATAAGCGCAGACATGAACATAAACCTAAGTGGGGAGAAGGCGGGCTTGAGTGGAGCGAGCAAGGGGCGAGGGACGATCCATAATTCACAAGCAGGGTTCATACCGCATTCTTGACGACTACGTCCGGAGCTCGAAGCTCGCGAAGGCGAGGTCGTAGCCGCCAAACTCGTAGTTGATCTTGTCTGTGCGTTTGTACAGCCCCGCGGCCCCTGCCTCGGTCCCGTTGCACTGGAGCTCCCCCTCGCTCTTCCGCCTCGCGTGGGCGGGGAGCGTCAGCGCCGCTTTGAATGCGCGCTGGGCCGCCTCGACAGTCGTCTCGCCCTCCTCTTCCTCCGCGGCGTCGTTATCCTTGCTCGAGATGAACAGCGTCAGGGTGAGCTTGCCTGGGTGGAAGATGTTCACCACGCGCCGGATGAGCGTCTTGAGGTCTGGCACGCTCGTCGGCTTGTTGGTCGGCTTCGTCGCGAGCGGCACGTTGCACTCGAACGAGGCGTATGACCAGCCTTCTTCTGGGGTGACGTGGATCGTGTAGTACCCTTCTCCGGAGCGAGCGGGGTCCTGTCCGGCATCGGGACGCCACTTGAGCAGCGCGTTGCACGAGTAGCCACAGGGCGTGAAGGAGTACGCATCTAGCGTCGTGATGTTGGACGGGAAGATGTTGGTGATCCCGATGTCGGAGGAGAGGGCGAGGGCGTCGGCTCCTGCGGTCGCATCTCCGTCTTCTGGAGAGGAGTTGCTGAAGAAGGGGGCGCGCCCTTCCGGCGATAGGTGGGTCATCAGGATTTCGATGGTATAGTCGGAGGCGATGGCATCGTCAGTTTCATCTTCACGCTCCTCGGCGGGGGTGTCTGGTGGTGGCACGTCCGAGGCTTCCGGGTCAACGCCGTCCACGTTGTGCAAAACGGATTGCGGCGAGCTGGGCGCGGTATCTCCACTTCCGGATGAGAGTTCTCCGGGGGCGGTAAGGTATAGAAGCCAATGGTCGCCGTTGACCTTGCCTACGGTGTAAGCTGATCCATTAGGAAAGAGGTTGTCGAGGAACTCTATCTCCGCCTTCCATTCCCTGTGAGGACCCTGCTGCCTCTCCGGGAACATGAAGGCTTTACGAGAGTAGAATAAGCGGTGTACAGTGGGGAAGCCAACATCACGAGCAATCTCGAGTATCCGAGGGACTCCGAGAAGGTTGAGTGTTGTGCCACACGTCTTCAGAATGAGGCGATGTGGAGACACAAAGAACGAAGATTCGCTGGACAGAGGACGTGGGCGTGAGCAAAGTTGGCCACATTACACAAGCGGCGGGCGTGAAAGCGGAATTGGGCACGCGAGTCGGTGGGCGTTCGCACGCAATACCGAATCATCGACACATTGCGCCATGCCCCCGCCGAGCTCTCACCCGAGACTGTCTTCCGGACGGAAGGAGCCGTGATCGAGACGTATATAGACGTATATAAACGTAGCCGGGACATACCTGAGAAGATAAGCATCCATCTCCATGCCTTCTACGACGGACAAAATTTTGCACTTGACGATGTCAAGCATCTCCTCCCAGACGGCCCGGGGCACCTTCCTGAGGCCGTACTTGCCATCGGTGCTCGAGTGGGCATCGGGGATGTCCGCGGGTGAGGACGCGAACCAGATCTCGAGGAGCTTTTCTGGACCCTCGAAAGGGCCGCTAGCGGTATGTTGATCGTCGGCGAACATGGTTACCGGGCAAGAGCAGCAGGGGCACGCTATCTGTCTGGAGGGTGGTGACGGGCGACGGACGGCAGAATCTCTGAATGCATGAACTGGGGGCTGGATGAGGGCGAGAGAGCTGAGGAACTCAGCCTGAGCTGGTTGCTGGCTGGTGGATACTGCGAGCGGGCCATGCAGATTGGCCAATGCGACAAAAGTCGCCGATCGATAACCCAAACATCCAAAATCTAATCGCAGGTGGCTGTGCCTGTCCTCGGTAGTCTCCGGTCCGCCGCTCGCATGACGCCTCTCGTCGCCGACGCGCCAAATCACCACCTCGACGCCAGCGGCATCCTCCCCCCTCACCTCGCCGTCTTCTCCTCTCTCCTCCTCATCCCCTCTCGTCCTCCTTCGACCCATTCGACGCTCGTGGACATGGTCCGAAGCTTCATCTTGCGCTTCCCCGCCGTGCGCGCACTCACGAGTCGTGTGTCCCAACCACTCCTTCCGCTCACGACCCGGCTAGCATCCCGAAATGCCCCCTCCCTCTCGGGTTCACGACCTTTCTCCCACTTTCCCGCACGTCTCACTTCGTCGCCTCCACCTTCACCACGAAGCAGCTCAGAGGGTTCCGAGTCCAGCTACAACCTCCCTCCAAACGCGACCCTCTCCCAACGTCTCAAACACCTCATCAAATCGTATGGCTGGTACGCGCTCGGCGTGTACTTCATAATTTCCGCGATAGACTTCTCTGTCGCCTTTGCCGCCATCAATGTCATTGGGGCCGACCATGTCGCCAAGGCTGCGGCAGACGTGAAGGACTACTTCATCGGCTTCATCCACTCCAAACCCCCCGAGCCTGGCCGTCAGGAGATGGAACCTGCCCGCGCGAGCCACGGGGGCCATGAGGGCCTCATGGCGATGATCATCCTCGCATACACTGTCCACAAGACAGTCTTCCTGCCCGTCCGCATTGGGCTGACGGCCGCGGTTACTCCCAAGCTTGTGCATTGGCTGCGTGCGAAGGGCTGGGCTGGGAGTTCAGGCGCACGGCGCGCCGCGAACGAGATGCGCGAGAAGATCAGGGAGAGGCGGGATAGCAGGTCTTGAGGACGGAGGATACGATTTCTTGGAGTGGGAGGGGCAAACGCTAATATCTGGGATCGAAGGGAGCGTCGTTCGGCAGTCTGATATCGGACTTAATAGCGAAGGTACGCCTGAACTCGACCACTTATATACACTCCCATTGACCAAGCTGATATACTACAGGGTCATCCACACTTCTCATGTGCAACATTCAATTATCTTACATGACGTAGCCCCTAGACCCTAATCATCACGACTCCCAACTTCAAACAGGGGGAATATCGGTATCTGCCCAGATGTTCCGAGGTCGATGTCAGATGCAGGAGCACATATGATTGATAGTACGTACCCTTGAGGATACCCTCCTTCACCAACTCCTCTGGCTTTGGACGTGCCTGGAGGGCATGCTCCAGCTTGTCCTGAAGGCGACGTTTACTGAGCATGTACGATCCTCGTATGCAATGCATCCCCGCCACTCACCTCAAGCTGTGACCGCTGCAACTTCTCTTTCGCAGCCTGCAACGCGGGCGCAACGCTGTCATCTGATGGTCGCGACCGCGCCCGTCAGTTCAGCGCCACGGCGCTTAGACCCACATACATACCTTTGAGGATGTTCCGCTCGACGAGCTCGGTCTTCTCTGGGCGGTGGGCGAGGCTCTTCTCGAGCTTCTGCACCGTCTGGGGGTCAATGGACTGCTTGCGCTCGACCTTGGGCTTCTCGACAGGGGCGACGGTCTGCGTACTCGCTGTATGCGTATGTCACGATAATATCGCAGAGCAGCTCAGCACAGAGCGCCCCATGGGTAATTGGGTACGTTGACGTACACATTGCGAGAGGGGGACTGGTATCCGAGGGGTAGGATCGCGAGTATGGAGGCTAAGGCGTACAGGAGATAGAGAAAGATGGAGATGAGGAGACCCTCCGTTTCTATAGTGCTGCTAACGTGCTAACTGTCCCAGATCGGGAAGGGTCGAGCATCTGCCCTTCCGGCCCGTGACCGTTCTTGCTCCGAGTCTCTCACCGCCGTCCATCTCCAGCTAGCCTGTGCTCTAGACCGGTGCGCGGTAAGAGAACGTTGGGCGAAGAATGGTCAAGACTTTCATTTGTATGCGGCGTGCGCTCTAGCCTGCCCAGTGGGGCGAGACACGAGCTCGACTAAACTGTAGTTATCTCAGATCCATCAGTATCATTCAGAGCACCTTCTCTCGTATTGTATGCTCTCAGATCCCAGAGGCTATACGATCCTTGTTCGTGACTCAATGACGCACGTTTGAGTAGTACAGCAAATGTCGCCCGCAATACTTACTGTCCATGATTTATGAAGATGTGATTGGCAAGGCGCTCATGATCCTGTAATCCTGAATTCGGTCGTATACCTCGAAAATGTCTTGTGGTCCGACAACCTAAGGGTCTGTAAAAGCCAAGCGGTGATCCATGGACAGGGCGTACAACATTCGCATTACATGGAGTGAAATGGGCGTTCGTACAATCAAGAATTCAAACCAGTCCGTCCCCGTGTCCATCAACAGCGGTATAAGCCTTCCCGGCATCGAAAAGTCAATCCGTCGTCGCGTCTAGCGCAACTCCTGTTCCATCCTTCGCCGTCTGGCATTCTCTCGAGCGGCACTGTCTGCACGACAAGCTTGGACGAGCGTCCTTGTCTCCTGGATGCCAAGGCGGACGCGCTGCACTTCCGTCGCGACGTCATTCTCCATGCTTTCCAGTAGGTCCAGCAAGGAGATCACCTCCTTTGGCGAGATGCGCGAGGTAGGACTTGTGGGCGTGACGGGACTCGTAGGCGCGAGTGAAGTGAGAGGGGGCAGGGACAGCTTCGGAAGAAGCTTGCTCTTGGGGCGAGAGCGGCTAGCGCCCAATCGGTTGGTTTCGACGCGAGGAGAAGCCGGTGGGTAGAGGCCAATAGTGATGATGGGGAGAGGTCCGGCCAGAGTTGTGAACAGCGGGTCGGGAAGGAGGCTGCTCCCGGAGAGGAGAGGGGATTCGGATATGTTCACGGGAAGGAGCGGTGCGCTAGACTGGGTTGGGGCCATGGCGATTGTGAGTGGTAGGATGATGAGGTTAACGAGTGTGTGTGGGTGGGTGCTAGAGCTAGAGCTAGCTAGAGGCCTAGGGTATCACGGAGCTACTAGATGAGCGGTATGCTAGGAGTGCCAGTAATACCGAGAAGCAATAGTTCGGGATTTATACATGCCGCCAGAGAACCCGTGAAGATTCGATCCTTGACGTGCGCCAGCGTGACGAGACGTCAGCCGAGGAAACCTACCTTGGTGATTCGATTCGTGGCAATATGACGGTCTAGGAAGACAAGAAAGCAGCTAGAAGACGTGGTGTCGTGCACATAATGAGGCACAAAGATCCGGGAAGGTGGAAGTTCGCAGCAAGCTTGGGAAAACGCCCCGGACGTTCGCCCGCATGGCAGCACCCGTCGGCTGTCTTACGTAAGCAAATGGCGGCAGGGCACGGGTGAGCTCGGTGTCGCCGACCGCACCGTCAGAGCCCTTCATCTTCATCTTCGCGTCATGTCCGTAGCTAGGGCGGCCGGCGCCGTCTTGCGCCCCACACAGCGGGCGGGAATCTCCCTCGTGCAGCGCAGAGCCGCCTCATCGCATGCACATGAGGACCACCACGATGACCACCACCACGAGGAGTACCATGATTCGAACGTCTACGAGCCAGAAGGTGCGTGTCGCAGCGTTCACGGTCATTGTCCCTTGCCAAGACGAGATCATTGCGTCGCAGTGTTCAATACTCCTTTCTGGCGAAGAGTCGTCGTCGCCGGTGTTGGCATTGTTGCCTTCTACAAGTTTGCTCCGGAACCCACTGAAGACACCCTCATTGCGAAATACATCAAGAGCACCATGACGCAGCCGGAGTTCTGGAAGGACACCGCATTCAAGCATCTAGTTCTATCTGCGCAGGGCTCGGACGAGACCTTATTGGTGGCGGATGCTAAGCCGCCAGTTGTCCACCGTTACCGATTCCCCCAGTACGTGTCGCACCTCTCGTGACATGGACACAACGTACTGATCTCAGCGTACATTGTCGATCTCGCAACATATCAGACGATTTGAGCAGTTTTCTCCTCACTCCAACCCGGTCGGAATCAAACTCACTGTGGACGATGTCGTTGTAAAGAGAGACTAGAGCTCGCAAATACACTTCCTAGCTTTCCACGCGCCTTGAACCAGATTCAAGTGGCCAGAGTGTTTGTGCGAGTATTGAGGCCCATATAACAGGTTCATGTGCTGCTCCATGAGTCGTGCCTTGTTCTCGGACCACTGCATCCTGCTGAGGCTTGACAGATTACGGACTAACATCAATTCGACCCGTGTTGTCTCTACAGACATCTATCCGTTATTATGTAGGGTCCTTAGATGAGCAAGGGAGTTCTTGCTTTCCCCAGTCCAGTCAAGAGATCACAGCCTCGACTTCCTCGCCCGCTCCTTCTTCAACTCCTCGACCTGCTCAACGGTCGGCAGCACGAAGTCGTACTTCCATACCCACACACGTCCACCTTGGACCTCGCCCTCTTTGAAGCCCATGTCCGCCCACCGTTTCGGGTCGTGCTCCTCCGTGAGCTGGCAAATGAGGGATTTCTTCGTAGCGAAGACGGGGTCCGTACCAAGAAATGGCGAGTGTGAGGGGTAGAGGGCGGAGGTCAAGCTGCCAAACAGATTAGTTTGAAGGGGGAACGATTGACAGGTGCGCTTACTCGTCATATCCTGGTGCCTTCACGGTGAAGTGAATGTGCGATGCTCGGTGAGCGTGGCGGCCTGAACACCGCGCATACAGTCAGCTAAAGCCGTGTTAATGCGAGAACCAATGTGTCATTAACCTAGTGCCTTCAGCAGGTCACCTGTAGGTCCGTCGCTCGGCTATGATAGGGAAGGTCAGACGCCAACTATCGAAGAGGGGGGGGCACGCCGTACGATAGGATACGCTGTGGGCAGAATACCACGGTAGCTGAAAGTGCCGTCGGGGTTTGCGAGAATCTTGCCGCGGTCGTTTGGCTCCTCACGGTCGGGATACTGAATATCGTACAATCCATCACCGTCGGCTTGCCACTGATGAAAATGTAAGAAATCCGTTTATAAAGCTCCCTTAGGTTGATACTGACCACGTCGACGGTCGCATCCTTGATCCCCTCACCCTTCAGGTTCTTGATTGTTCCGAGGAAGCACATCGACTCTCCCTGCGTGTTTGTTTTCGCGAGCGAGGAACCGGAGGGCACAACAGGCGCGTCGTCCGTGTAGAACGGCCCGGGCTCGCATCCATCGGTACAGCCCTGCGCAATGTTGCGCCATCTGTGCATCTGGAAGCGTTTGTGAGGAAAGGAAGGCGTACCGAAGGCTTCGGATGGTTGATCTCGTCTACGAGGGCACTGAACCCCAAACAGTCGCTCAACAGGACGAACTCGTTCTTGTAGTCCGTGCTCTCCTTTCCGGCACGCGTCAGGAACTTCACTGCCTTCGTCCATTCCGCGTGCGTAAGCTGAGTTTCGCGCGCGAAGGCGTGCAGATGAGAGACGAGCGATGTGACGAGATCGAGAGTGCGCGGATCTTTGCTGAGGCTCCTGTGCAGTCCTTGAACACTGCGTTACGAACCAGTGGGGATGAACGCGCTGTTTGGATGGACAACTATCATACGCACTGGTCTGTGATAGTGTAGTCCGAGTCCTCGCGGAAGTCGCGCTCCAGAGGAAGGTCCTTTGGAACTTCACGCTCAAGTTGGGCACGAATGGCGCGTCCAACGAGAAGAGGGTTCTTCATCTGCTGTTCGGAAGCCATGGCGTAGATGTTCTACTCCTCGAGAAACGGATATTCTCCGAACTTTTATGGCTAGAGAATAGCGCTATAATGCTGGAGCGGCGGCCGCTGCGGATTAGGAGCCGCTCCCCGTATTTCTTCGCCCGCGGTTGGCGTGCCTCATACGAGATGGTCGTGGGTGGCTCAGAGACCAATCCTATTCATTGTGGAGTAACGCAAGACAGGATTGGGTCGGCACAGGGCTTCGATAGTCTCACGAGAACGCATCCTGTGACCTTCGTCCTGGACTGCCAGTGGAACTGAGCTTGATATATTCACGCGTCGGCGGAACAGTATAGCCGCCACCAAGCAGCAGGAGATGGAACGGCACGATGTAGGGGCAGACAACACTCATCATAGAACACAGGATTACATAGTGGGCATCATGAAGCTTGAGCTTGGTCGAAGGGAAGCTTCAATAGCTGAGCATGGAAGGGGAAGGTTCGATACCGAAAATGTTGAGCAAGACAACGAAGACTCTCCGGTGCGTATTCAAAAGCGTAACCGGAAGCTGGGAATTAGACCACACAGGACCCACTGCAAGGTGTAATGATTGTTGAGGGAGTTCAAGCAAGTGGTGCTGGCTTGCAGCACAAGATTACCTGATTAGGAGGGCTGCTGACATAAGCGGAAGTCGAGTATGGGGTGTGTTGATGTTGGTGCCCACGTTGTCAACGCGCGCGACGCGGGCAACGACCCTGCGACGGCTCTGCGCTTTTCCTCCATTACGTGCAGTATACCCCCTCCCAGCACGCTCCGTGGCCTCCAACCATGGCGTGCAAATCTCGACGCAGGACACGGCACTCGTCCCGAGCAGTAACCCTTCTAGCCCTCGCCCTCTCCGCACATGTCGTTCTTGCCGCTTCCGACTCCCCTCTCGTCGACTTCAATCGCATGGGCAAGGTCGGCCTTGCAGGGGCATTCGCAGGTCTCGATCTCGTCGACAACTCTACTTCTGTAACCTTTGACCCCACTACCGCCTCCCTTCTCTCTCGTTCTTCCGATGGTTCTCTCTCCAAAATTGCGTCAACAAATCCTGGCGGCAGCGTCTTAGCAGGCTGCGCCGTCGACGACGTGTTCTATTTTGCAGGGAGCTTTACGTCGGTTGGGAGCACTACGGCGGCCAATGTCGCCTCGTATTCCTCCTCGCAGAACACGATCTCTTCTCTAGGTCAAAATGGCCCAGACGGTGTCGTGCATACACTCTTCTGCGATTCGTCACGGAAGCAGGTATGGGCAGGTGGTCAGTTCAGCTCCCCAGGCGCGTCCGTCGCGGTCTGGGATATCGCGTCGTCGTCCTGGTCGGCAGCTCCCTTCGGCGGACTGACCGGTGCGGCTGCTGAAGTCTTGTCTATAACGTCCAACTCGTCCCAGTCCAGTCTTTACATCTCCGGCTCTTTCATCGCATCTTTTGGCAATGGCACCGTCGCCATCAATGGTACACACAATCCTAATGTTCCCTTCTCAACCGGCGCGACTCCATTCTCGTCGTCTCTCGTCCCCGTACCCCTCCAGGGCGCACAAATCGATGCCGGCCCGTCCTCTTCGGACAGCGACTTCAGCAACATCAACAACACCTTGTGTCCTGCGGGTAGCGACGGCCCCGGCAACACCTGGTTCGCCGCTGACGGAACGAAAGCTGTTATCACCGTCAGGAAGTTTTCTTTCCTCACTGCGAGAGGAATACGCATTGGCAACACTTTCTTGAATGGCCGGGGGACTACCGCATTCAGGTGAGTAGGCCGTGGTGATGTTGATTTGGGGAAACTGTCTGATCTGGTTCACCGTAGCGTCGCCACAATCCCCGATAATACTGTACAACAGCTGCACTACTTTGATCCTACCGCCAATCAGAACAAGTCGTGCACAGACAGCTGTCCCCTGCTCACGGACCCAAATGTCCCATACCAAGACTTCTTGTTCGACTCTGATCTAGACGTCACCGGATTCCAGTTGACTTTGTCGGCGTTCAAGGGCGATGGTGCCGGATTGCATCTGCTCCAGCTTCTCTCTTCCGGAGCATTTGCGTCTGCCGTTGACGGGCAGAACGGCCAGTCGTGTTTCGCGCCCGGACCGTCTAGTACATTGCCAGTAGGTACATGGACCGTGAAACAAGCCGATACTTCGATCGCAGGCACGGTTCAGCAAGTCCTTGTCTCTGATGTGGATGTCGGGACTTCTCAAGCCGACGGTCCGAGCTTCACTTGGATGCCCTACGTCTCCGCCTCTGGAGAGTACGACATCAACCTACTGGTTCCGGGTTGCACCAACTTCCAGGATTGTCCTCTCCGTACCAGCGTGCAGGTCACCGTATTCCCGGGCGGTGGCCAGAACCCATGGGTGACCAACATCTCTCAGCAGAACACGCAGGATTCTACGACTCTCATCTACAGGGGCCCCATCGTTCCCACAACCCCTCAATTCCAGACCACCATCACCATGGAATTGGCGGAAGATCCCAAAGGCAGCGGACAGAATGGCAAATACGAGCTCGTCGCCGATCGCGTGCAACTCATCCTGACGAGCGCGAACACGACTTCCTCCAACTCGTCATCCTCCGGAAGCAACACCACGTCGATTACGCAGCAAGGATTCGGCTTCCTGGAATGGCCGTTGAGCAGCACTTCCACCGTCGCTTCCCATGCCGCTATCCCAACTTCCGCGATCACCAGTCAGGACAACATTGGGTTTGGCCTCTTGTCTGCCCTTGGCGGAGTCAATTCGGTGGCATCCACCACTGAAGCCGTGGCAGCGGTCGCGCAGCACCCTTCTGGTGCTCTCTTCCTCGGCGGTAAGTTCTCGTTGACGTCGGGATCGGCGAATGGCGCTTCGAACATCGCGGTGTATAAGAATGGGGCCTTGACGGCGTTGTCCAACAACGGCCTGAATGGTGCTGTCACGTCCCTCGTCGTTAATGGAGACAACCTCTACGTCGGAGGCTCCTTCTCTGACACCGCACAGGCTTCGAACAGCGCCCTGAAGGGTGTCGCTGTTTACTCCGTCTCCGGCAACACGTGGTCAGCCCTCGAAGGCGGCGTGAATGGTGCCGTCACCTCTCTCGATGTTGCCAACAACCAGATCCTCGTTGCGGGCAACTTCACGGAACTTCTCAACTCGAGTGGCGGCACCACCGATCAGAACGCCGGCGGCTTCGCGACGTGGGACGTCTCGTCCGGCAGCTGGGTGAACAGCGGTGGCTTCCTTGTGGGATCTATGACGTTCGTCGGCAATGGCACGTCGGCCAACCCCCAGTTCGTAGCCGGAAGCGTCACCTCCTCCCTGAAGTTCGGCGCATCCGGTCTCGTAATGCTGCAGAATGGCCAGAATGGCAAGCCCGAGGTCGTCCCTCTTGGTGTCCAATTTGACGCGAGCAATGCGGCCAACTCGACGCCCGCGACTGTCATTCGTCGGTCACACCACCGTCGCTCGGCCACGAGCTGGATTCCCAACCTGAACGTCATGACCATGTTCAAGCGCCAAACTCAGACCACGCTCGCTCCTCTCCCTAGTGCCGCCCCTGCCCCGGCTCCTGCCGTCCTTGCGGGCGTGTTCTGGACGAATAGCAGCGCTTCGAAGGAGGTCGTCATCATCGGCGGCAACTTCTCTTACACCGCTGGAGGTGTCTCTGCCGAGAACATCGCGATTTACGATGCCAACAGCAAGACTGCCGTCGCGCTCAAGGGCAACCAGCCCAACGGCACGATTCGCGCTCTTCATGTAAAGGGCAACTCGCTCTACGTCGGCGGCGAGTTCACGATCCAGGGTGTCGAGACCAACGGGTTTGCTATCTACGACCTGGCGAATCAGCGCTGGGACCAAAACGGCGTCGACTCGCTCCAGGCGGGCTCGGGTTCGAGTGTAGTCGTGCGCTCTATCAGTGATTCCCCCGCGGACGATCACACTGTTGTCGTTGCGGGATCGTTCGCACAGGCCGGGTCGACACCTTGCCGTGCGATCTGCTCGCTCGACAGCACTAGTCGCAAGTGGTCCGCGCTTGGGAATGGCATTCAGGGTGATGTTTCTGCCGTGGTTTATGCCGGAGTGAGTACTGTCGCCTCGTACGTCATTCATGCTTGGTGGCTGATGTCCTTGACAGAGTGACACTCTCATTGCTGCCGGCTCTATCGCTCTCGCAGACAGCACGCATGCGAACGTCGCCTCCTACGAGCTCTCCAACAGCACTTGGTCGTCTGTCGGAGACGGCAGTACTCTCCCTGGTCCTGTCACCGCGGTTGAGGTCGACAACAATAACAAGAGCGCCGTCTTCGCGGCTGGTCGGTCAGTACCACGTCGCATGTGTCACCTATAGCTTTGTGCTGATCCAATACTAGTGCGTCCGATGGCTCGTCGTCCTTCCTATACTTCTGGGACGGCAAGAATTGGAACTCTGTTGGTGAGCGTCACCGTTGCTTAGCCCACGAGGTTTTTTTGACTAATTTCCCCGCAGGCTCTACCCTCGAGAGCACGACAGAGATTTCGCAGTTGACCATGGTGCCCCTCCAGAACACTCACGCCAGCAATGGTATCATTGAGCCGGACCGTGTCTTGATGATCTCTGGCACGCTGTCGGACTCTTCGTTCGGGAACGCGTCCTCCGCTCTCTTCGATGGTGCAACCTTCATCCCGTACGTGGTGTCGACTTCTCAATCGGGAGCTCCTGGTACTGTTGCTGGCTTGTTCCGCTCGTTTGCGACCTTCAGCTTCACGCAGAAGCGTGAGTATCTCAGGATATGCATAAGCAATGTAGGAGGTTAGCTGACATACCTCGCAGACTTTCTCGCAACTGGCGTCGTTATTCTCATCTCAATCGCCATCGGCGCCGGTATCGTCTTCCTGCTCGCGCTGATCGAGATTCTCTGGACGCTCTTTGCACGCCGTGATGACAAGGTCGGCCCCGTCGCCCACGAAGACTTCGATACTGACGACGACTCGACCCACCGCCCGTCCTCGCTCCTCGAGCATATCAACGCCGCCACGCGCTCGACCATCCTCGGTGCGCAGAGTCCCTTTGGACTCAACGCTGAGAAGGAGGCTGGCTACGCCGTCGCCGCCGGCGCAGCGGCGCACGATGACCCATTCAGCGGCCCCGACGGGAGCAACTACGTCCGTGCGGAGACGCCTTCGGATGCGCTTGGAGGTGGTCTAGACGGCGAGGAGCAGAGCAGGCCGGCGTATGCCCGCTACTCGTTCGATGGTAGGGGTGATGGTGAACTTGCGTTGAGAACGGGCCAGGAGCTCGAGATTCTAGACGATAGAGACGCTGCGTACGTTTCTTTTCTCTCCCCAGCTATGCTCGCCTGATGCTGACAACGATCCGCACACAGTTGGTGGTACGCACGAGACTCGCGTACGGGACAGGAAGGTGTTGTGCCTGCAGCATATGTGTACTAAACTATTCGCATTATTCTTCACTTCATGAACTGTTTTTGATCTGCAATCTAGTCCTGCTTTCGTCGCATCGTTGGTTATGCCTGTGGTCCTGATACCCATGCCCATGACAAGATCGACCTTGAGGTCGTTCGCTCACGTATTCCGTCTCACTTCGGTCGAGATCTGTCTTCTTAGCACATGATTGTCCATAATTCGGTGGACTTCGGTGATGCAGCATTCTCACTTTTACTTGTGTTGTCTATTTCTCGGACCCCATGTTGATCGTATGGTATACAGTACGTACGAGGAATAATACACGCAGAGGCAGCGTGAAAAGGGATGGATACATGGGTGCGATGAGGAAGGGAGTGTGGTAGTGATGCAATTCGGCAGTAGATGATGCAAATGTAGACGGTTACAAAATCTGTCCACTTGAGGCAGCGGTACGGAACGGGCCATTCATATGTCCTTGATTGGCAGTCTGGTCAACGCCGAATATGAGGTACGTATATACTGATGACAGATTGACCGGTGACCGCTCGAACTGGTCATAACGGTCAGGGCTTCGGTTACGACCGCGATCAATACAACACTGGTGGGTTGAAGTGCTTCTGCGAGTTGGCAATGAAGCCAACCTTCGTCTTGAACTCCTCCCTGCGACGCTGGTCGCGGTACTCGCGCACATGCCGACCCGCCTCCCGTGCCTCTCCGGCGTTCCTCGCTTTCACGACGTCCGTGCCGCTACCGAACGCACCGAACCCGCCCTTCCGAGGGACGAGAGCCGATTTCTTGTCGGCGATGAGCCTGCGCACGAGTGCAGCGCCGGAGTTGGGATCCTCCGGTTTGCCGCCTCGCCGCATGCCAGGGAAGGACTGCGCGTAGTACCTCCGCATGCTGCGATGACCTATCCGCGCACCCGACGGCAGGACCAGTTCGTAGCTGGAGTCGCCATACGTGACCTGGTTCTCGTCGAGTTCGTCCTCGCCAGACTCCTCGTCGCTCTCGTCCGACGCCTCTACGTCTACGACGTCGTCGACTTCCCCATCGTCGTCAGCATCGTCCTCGACGTCCTCCCATTCCTCGGTCTCTTGCTTCTCGGCCTTCGCCTTCTCTTTCGCGGCCCGCCTCGCAGCACGCGCCGCCTTGCGCGCATTACGCTCCTCCGCGTCGGGGTATGACGTCGAGAAGTCGTAGAAGTCCGAGACCTCAAGCCGCTCGACGTCCGTGTCGTACGCGATCTTGCAATGGCCCTTATCCTGCATGTGCTTCCTCACCGCCTCGAGCGAGCGGAACTCGGTATTGCAGTAGAGGCACGTGTTCCCCACCGCGATCTTCTCGCCCAGGTAGGTAACGAGCCCGGCTAGGTTGACGAGGTACTCGGCGTCGGGGACGAAGAAAGAGTGCGCGACTGACATATGGGTGAGATTGTCCTCTAGTGTCTCTGCGGGGGGTGCGGACGTGCAGAAGAGGCACTGGGTGGGCGAGAGGCGGGCACGGGCGGCGGCGATCTTCTCGTCGATGGTCTGGTTGATCTGCTCCTCACTCGCGCCTTCATCGACGCTGAGCGAAACGCCCTGAAGCTGCGAGGTAACCTTCTCTACACCAGGCTCCGCCGCGGCCCTAGATGATGTAGGCGGGGAGGAAGGGCCAGCTTCGGGTGAAGCGTAGGTCTCCTCGAGGACGGGAGAGGCTTCGGGTGCAGCAGCGGCCTTAGCGGCGGCACGAAGCTCGTTTTCCTTGTGCTTTTTTGAGATCAAATGAGACCTGTATGCGTTCTCTGTGGTGTAGGTTTTCCTGTGAGGGTGGGGTATTAAGATCGATTCGAAAGAAATATGTACAGAACACTTACCCGCAAATCTCGCAGGATGAGCCCTTGGGCGAAGCCATAACAGCTGTCTCAGCCCTCCTCTCCAAGACCTTCTGGTTGAACAACGCGGCGCTGACGGGTGGCAGGCCGGCCACTCGCCGCTTCATGTTGTATCTGTGGTGATCAGAGCGGTAGTGCTCCCCTACGTGAGAGCATTGAGAAGGGTCCTTCCAAAGATGTGGCTGCAAAAAAACTACTCACTTTGATCTTGGGCAGTGTGGAAGGCGATGGTGCATGATATACATGTATAAAGGTTACCCTGAGGAGCAGGTTGGGCAACGAGGATATCCGTCATGGTGGTAAGTGGTATTGGTCTGGTAAGAATGAGTACTCCCCCACTACCGCTGTTTTTGAGGATGAGTGAGTCGTTCTACGATCGGTACCGCCAGATCGGTCAGCCCGTACGGATTTGCTCCCACGTGATGCGGGGCTGGTTCAATCTCGAATCCCACCTGGCCACATATGGGGGAATGCCAATTCCCAAAACGCTCATCACAACCGCACTTAACGCAAGGCTATCATAAGTCGAGCTGCTGTGACCAGACAAGTACCCGTAAATATCTCGCCCCGACCTACGGGCCTGGCTGTTCAACCCGCACAGGACAGACCAGGCTCACTGCCCTCTTGGGGGTATCAGTTATCGCCCAGTCGTATTCTCTGCGTAGCTGGTCTGGTACGATTCAGCCAGATCTCCTCTCTTTCTTGTGAAAGTTTCCAAGTACCATGCAACAGCCAAATTCCAGAGCAGGGTACGGATGCCAGATTGCCAGTGAGTGGACTGTTCAACGGTATCCGAGAATATGCACTAAGCCATGAAGAATACCGAGTTGGAGCGTGGCTCAGAGACTATTGAAGTCGACTTCTGCTCGTGCTTCGGTCATTGTTCCTAAGGCAATGAGAGGGCAGCACGCTGTGCGCCACGGTGACCTTCAGTACCCGCAGATCCGGCTCCGTCTACGAAGGCGGCCGCGACGCATTCGTGGACCTCGCTTTTGACACCTCCCGCTGTTGGGGAGCGCATGTGGAGAAGTGAACGAATGCTTGCATGGACCTCGGAGGATAGTGCGCTTGACGTTGGCTCCTATGAACTCCAAACTGTTGCTGGAGTATGATCTGGATATCGAACTGGGTAACATATCAAAGAGACCATTGAGTACCTTGCCATAGTCACGCAATCGAACATCCTGGTCGTATCCGGTACCTATACTCTAGATAGCTGTTGAGGCTATCAGATGTATGGAAACCAATTCGGAGATCATAATAAGATAGAAGGATAGCAGTCGGGCAAACCGACCAACTGCCTGACAGAAGAATATGTATGTTCCATAGCATCATCTACAATCCTGTGATGAGATCTGCAGCCTAGATGCACTTTCAGCGACCTTAGAACACCGGGGGGACGGCGGGGCTTCCAACGCACGTTCTCCGCAACGGTCGCCTACATGTACTGTTAGTTGCTGCACGAAATGTAAATTTTCCTCGCAGTACGTCCGGTCGAGGACTCCCCGTGGGTAGAATAAATGCATCTGCCTGCAAGTGCAAAGCCCATAATCGTCTTCTACCTAATATTCCTGCATATCAGCCAGCACCTCACCACGAGCATATTCGCCATTCCGTAGACCCGTAATTCTGGGTCGACGACACTGCCGTCCTTTCTGGAGAACATGGCGGCTGTGCCAAGGGATGGAACAAGCAGCCGTATGAGTTCTTGATGTATTCTAATAGAGCCTCATCCGAAGCCACGTCTCCGGGGGAAGGGACGACAAGCTTGCCAGCGTCATTTGCTAGCCGTTCTGTCCCGAAGACATTCATCGCTAGCTCCAAAGTCAACAGCATCTTTGAGTCCCGCCTATATGCAAGTAACTGTGCAGCGCATCTTTCAACTGCTGTCAGAGAATGAGGGTCTCCCTGGGTTCGATGGTAGGAGGCGCCGACGCAATATGAACGCTGCCGTGGGATAGCGGGGGCATCAGAGTCGCAACGAAGGTCAGACAGCGATCAGTCGTCGACGGTGGCATGCGCCCGGACAGCCGCAAAAACCCTGGAGAAAGCCTCAATCTGCAGTACGTGTCATTACAAGCTCTTCTGCGCAGGAAGTAGGAAACGGAATACACATACACTCGCCGTCTACAGAGCGTGTACCAAGGGATAGTTCGATCTGTGTTTCCAGCTGGTTCTTGAAAACCCGACGCAGCAGCACCCTCTCTAGCTTCCGCCTCCCTCTTTCACTCACTGAGCTGCTCTGCTGATGCGAACATTTTCGCGTTGACGAATCCAAGAGTCATTGTTGTTGCCCAAGCCACAGGGCGTCTCTTATCCCGACTGAGTGTGACGTCAACGAAACTGAACAAATGTACCAGGGAAGGCACATTGATACTGTATGTACAGGAGAAAACAACATACCTTGCGCGGTACTCCATTCTCCATTGGACACGGCATACTACGGTGTGCACCACTGCTGCCGAACGTCGTGCTCTAAGCTCGTTTGAAGCGCACAGGAAAAGTTACTGCGCCCCTCGTTGTCGCCTTGCCAACACGATGCGGAAAGACTGTTCGAAACACACAGTGAAACGGCGATTCACCATCAGATGATTGAGATTCGTATATTAGGGCTTCTAGTCATGGACTGTGGAGTGGTGATCAACGGCGTACGGAGACTTGTACACGCTACATACCTGAATAGCAGCCATGCGTAGTCCAGTGAGAAGCAATTGTAATCATATGCGAGGAACAGTCGACTACTACACTCCTGGAGACAATCAATAGGTGGTACATTACAAGACAACGGTGAATGATAGCGTAGACAGAGATGCCAGGGCGTAGATACACCAAAGAGCAGTCTTGAGAGACATAAACCTCAAGCAGCCTACGAGCTAAGAGTTCATGGGATGTATGCGCAGTATCGGAAGCGTTTACGCACCGTCAGTGGTATGCCGAACCGCTCCGCCCGTTTCTTGCGTCGGGCGAGCTCCTCCTCGTCAACGGGCTCCGGCGGTGGAGCGGCGCGCTTCCTGCCTTGGACACCAAACCTTGCGGCACGGGCGGCGAGCTTCTCGGGGTCCTATACGTAGCAAACACGACTGAGCCCAACGTGCCGGGAAATATAGGCAGTGAGTCCAACGCACGTCAACGATCGCACTCTTCGCCACCTTGCCATTCGCTGTATCCCTTCCATTCTTCTGTACCGGCGCGGGCTTGGCTTCCACTACGGGAATGCCGAAACGTGCCGCACGTGCTTTACGCCTCTCTGCTTCAGGATCCTCGCTCGTCGTTGCAGTAGCGGAGGGTGATGGCGAAGTTGCAGGAGTGGCCTCACTCTGCACGTGGCAAGTCATTACGGCATTCAAGGAGGACGACGAGATGGTACATACCGCTTTCGGTGCAGCTTGAGACACTGCTTTTGAGGAGGGGGCCGGAGCAGCGACTTGGGCCGTCTTTGAAGACGATACAGGAGCAGCACTGCGCAATAGGGTCAAGTTGAGAGGGCGCCGAGAAAGAAAAGCGTACATACGCCTTCGGTGGCTGTGGCGGAGACGCGACGCGACGCGTACAATGAGCAGGCGAAGAGGACGAATGTGGGACGACGTACTGCTTCTGACTTCTCCGGTGCGTTCGTAGTCGTTGCAGACGCGTCCCGCGCCGACTGGGCAGGGGCAGGCCCGTAGTTGTTGTTGTATACCTCGATGGCTTCAGGCGAGCCGAGGATTTTGGCGATGAGGTCTGGTTTGTTCGCCTTGCCGGTCACTGCGACGTTCGCTTTCGCGAGGATGTCCTTGAGGTCGACGACCTTGAGTGCCTTGCTGAGCACGGAGTGAGCAGGGGGGCACAGGCAGACGGGGAGGGACGTACAGCTTGGACTCCATGGTGGTGGCAGGTGGGGAAGTGAGGGCAGTCCGGAAAAGGAAATGGGGCCTGGGCTGTGACCAATCGGGACGGGGGAGGGCTGCGACATCTTACTGGGCGAAGCGTTGGTTGCAGCTGGTTGGTCAGGCCGTTGCACCTGAGCTCGGCCAATCACATACTCATTCCAGTAATCATGGACCCCGTCAATCATCTCTTCAGTCCTAACCCTTATCACGACTACCGTACGTCGTCTAGCTCCTGTCCTCCGCTGCGCTAACAGTCTCGTCCACGCACAGAGAACAACCCCCTATACAATCTCTACAACCAGCAACACCACCCACAAGCCCACCAACAGCACCCCCAACAACAGCACCAGCATCAGTTCCAGCACCCCCATGCGCACCCTCACCAGCATCAGCACCAGCAGCCTCACCCGCACCAACACCCTCACCAGCACCCGCATCAGCACCCCCATGCCTCCCGTCACCCCTCACCGGGCCCGTCTCCGGCTTCCACGCCGATTCCTCATTCCCCGCATCTGTTCCTCCAACATCATCTACCCCAACCGGCCCCTCAACAGGACCCCCAGGCTCCCCAACAGCCGCGAGAGCAAGAGCATCCGGTAGATCAGATCCAGGATGACACTCCGATGGACGAGGAACCTCTCTACGTGAATGCCAAGCAATACTATCGCATTCTCAAGCGGCGTGTAGCCAGAGCCCGTTTGGAGGAGCTACACAGGCTCTCAAAGCAAAGAAAGGTGGGTCGCAATTTTCTTCGCTACATTGTCTGCACTCCTCACACCCCTATTTCAGCCCTATCTCCACGAGTCCCGCCATAAGCACGCTATGCGACGCCCTCGCGGGCCAGGTGGTCGGTTTCTCACTGCAGAGGAGATCGCTGCTCAAAAGGCGCAGCAGGAGGCTGAAGCGGCTGGGCCCTCAGGCTCGGCTTCGGTCGACGGGGATGGCGAGGACGACGATGATGCAATGGGCGAGACCAGCAAGGATGTCGATATGACCATCGACAGTCCCGCCGAGTCCTCCAAAGGCCTGTCCGCACCTCCCCAAGTGCAGGCCCAGCCTCAGATTCAACAGGCCGATAAGCAACGTGAGATCCGCTCTCCTCACGCCGTCGCGTCTGGCCAGCCATTGCTGCAGCCCCGCCCTCAGCCTGCCGCCCCCGACATGACGTTCCAGCCCCAGCTCCAGCCTCAGCAGCAGTCTGTCATGGTGCCGCAGCCCCAAGCTACCCCGCAATCAAAACCCCAGCCCTCTCCCAATCTTCAAGCGCCTCCTCCGATGCAGTCCCCCCCTCCCCCTTCTCATTCGCCTTTCAATCTCCAGCTTGGCGGACACAGTGCCACGCCCGTGAGCTTGATGAACCTTGGTTTTCCACACCCCATGTCGCACCCAGCCACACCTGCGCCCATGTCCCCCAACCCCACCCCCGACGCTCTAAACCCGCTCGACCACGTGCCGCCAGACGCATACTCACGCCCCCTACCCGGCACAGGCACCCACGACCACGGTCGCCCGATGAGCACGGGGGTGACACGCCCTATGCCTGGAGCGCACACTCACTCACACGCCGGCCAGCCTGGTCATGCCGCCCACCCCCATGTGGGCCAGCCAGGCCAGGCTGCCCACCACATGCACACGGGCCAGCCGGGCCAGACAGCGGGCGGGCAACCCCAACCGGGGCCCTCTGGCGCTTCGCAGGCGCCGATGGCTCTCCGCGCGCCCTACCACGCCGCAATGCAGATGCACCATGTCCCGCACCCGCACGCCCACGCTCGACACCATGCGACGTTGATCAACCGGTCGGAGCGGCTGTACAATGCCGGAAGCGAGCATACCGTGCTCAACATCTCTGCGGAGGGGATCAAAGGCGACATCCAGAGGCGGGGGAGCGAGGTGATGCGGTTTGGAGGGCCGATGAACGCGTCGAACTCGAAGTAGGTTGAGGCATTCCTCCCAATGCAAACATTGGTATCTGCAACTTTCCTCCAGTACGAACGCCCATGGGGCTTTGAATCGGTGTCTGCTGTATCTCGTCGTGCGTGCTCTCTACGTCGTCTCGTCCCAGTTATGGTCTCGATTGATTTATTTCGTTAATGTTGCTATTGCTTCCTTGCTTCTCTCCCTCGTTTCATCCGTCCGTCGATAAATAGAATAAGGGTAGTAGCTACGCCGCGTGCCCCGTGTAACAAAATAAAGCTAGAGTCAGTAGTCGGAGATGGCAAGATCCATCGTGAGTTCTACCTAGTCGTGTCTGGTCTCTCAATTGTTGGGAGTATATCTACATAAAACCACATCTAACTTGAGCAGATTCTCTTGTTTACGTTTTACGTTTGGCCAATAGTATCGTCCGATCTCGATCGAGTGTCTACAATAATACGTACGAAACAGCAACGAAAGCAGATAGCGTTCCAGACCAGGTAGCCGGCTCGACGATTGGTCAAAGCATCTCGATGTCCATTGGTTCGTCTACGGGCTCGTCTACCGACTCTACCATTGGCGTGCACGGGCGCGTGTCCTCCATCGGCACCTCCTCCACCATTGGCTGCAACTCCTCCACACTTACACTCCCCAGATCTCTCTCCTCCTTCCCTTCCTCCTCGTCGCTCGGGCCCTCCTCATGCTCCGCCGGTACGATGAGCGGGCGGTATAGCACGAGCGCCGTCGCGGGGCTCGGCTCCGGCCCGAGGGCCCCGAGGGCGTGTGGTTTCGGTAGGCGGTCCAGGAGCGCGGACGAGATCTTGAACGCCGGCGCGTCGGGTCCCGAGTCCGTGGCAGTGCGGTCCTCGTCCTCCGCGTCGGAGTCCTCGAGATCGGTGATGACTATGCCTGTATCGTCGGGAGGCGCGTCAACTACGGTCGGGCGGGGCGGGCGGCGGAAGAGCGGCCTCCGGGTGGAGCGGGCCGTGGACGGAGGGGGGACGTGAACGGGGTGCAGCAAAGGGATAGGACGTACGGTCTTTCTCAATCTCGTACCACGAGGGGCCCTTCATAGACACGTCCGCGACCTCCGCTTCGCCCGTGCTGGCCTCCGGCGATGTAGGCTCCTCCACCGACCCAGGAAGGACGACCGATGTGGTGATGTTTGCGAGTATAGGCGTGACATACGGGTCCTGCGGCGCATCGGACCACGGATGTGATATTGTCGACACGACGGTGGGTGTTTCAGGGTGCTGAACAGCGGGCGCAAGATAGCTGGGGCTCGCGCTGGCACCGACGACTGTCCTTGCCGGACCGCCAGAAAGCGTGGTGTATGATGTTGGTGGTGCCCCATAAAATGGGAGTCCGCCCAACGTCAGCTGCGACATACCGCTTTCGAGAACGTCGCACCTGCGGCGTTTGGGACTTGGGGTTGGAGACAGCGAGCGACGGGGCTCGTAGTACGCGCTCGGCGTGTCTTCGTCGTCACTGAAATCTTTGCGCTTTTGTGAAGGCATGCGAAACCAGGGATGTAGTTGGTGAGGATCCGTCCAAGCTGCCGAGGTCATCATCTGTGGCAAGTGAATTAAGCAGTCAAGAGTTGAAGAGCACTACCGAGTGTGCGAGCACGTTCGAGTTCGGATTTAAACCAGCCACAAGCGCGCGGGCTCCCCAGAATGTTCTAGCTCCCCGAGTCCGTTTTTGGTCACTAGTGTGAGAACTCACGGAGCGAGTACCAGGTACTACACTTCGCGTTTGCCAGCAGATATACATTAGACAAAACGAGATGAGACGAATCTCAAATGATACAAAGAGGACGGCATGTCATGGTGGTTGGCATTACTGCATGGGAGAGATACATCACATAACAAACATAATACCACCGTCGATAAGCAAATCCGAAAGCAACAGACCGAGAAACGTTTAGCCACGCTTCTTCGACACACCAACGGTCTTTCCCCGACGACCTGCATACAACATAAGTCCCTGTGCACTGATAGCACTGGCCCAAAGATGCACGTACCAGTCGTCTTGGTGTGCTGACCCCTGACACGGAGACCCCAGAAGTGACGGAGACCACGGTGAGCACGAATCTTCTTCAGCCTCTCCAGGTCGTCACGGAGCTTAGAGTCAACACCGTTGGACAAGATCTGAGAGTTCTTGCCGTCGACGATGTCCCGCTGCCTGTTCAAGAACCATGTCGGGATCTTGAACTGGGTGGGGTTTTGGATGATGGTGACAATACGCTCGAGCTCATCCGAGTTGAGTTCACCAGCGCTGCCGAAGGATCAGCAGAACGGAACCCAACAACAACGTACAATAGCATACCGCTTGTTCAGGTCGACGTCGGCCTTTTTGCAGACAAGATTGGCGTAGCGGCGACCGACACCCTTAATCTCAGTCAAGGCGTACATGATCTTGCGCTTGCCATCAACGTTAGTGTTGAGAAGACGCAGGATGTGCTACATTCACGGTGATCAATATACCACCCAGCCGCATGGACGCACTGACGCAGACCGACCTGGAATTGTTGGTGGGCCTCGGGCACAACGAGAGACATGCTGGGCGAAAGCGAAGTGACCTGAAAACGGCCGGAAGAGGTCAGTCAAAAGTGCACTCACAGAGGTTCATCCGAGCTCGCGCGACGGCATCCAGCCCCAGATACATCTCCATCCGTCCGATTCACCACCACAGCACCCTGCAGTATCTCCCCGGGGGCCCTTGCAAACGATACAAAGGCAGCATTTACTCACCGGGATAGTCTTGACGGCCTGTGGTATGAGGCGGTAGCTAGAGGTCGATGCCTGCTTGCTGGCCCAACGCCCGGGACTACCCGAGCGCCTTTCCAAATCAGGGAGGCACTACTCAACCCATGGGCGCTCTGAGCTGTTCGCATCCGTTTCTTCGCATCTGAAATAAGAGCCTGAGCGACACCTCCCGACAAGGATCATTAGCCTCATTCTGAGATAGCGCCCAAAATCATCCACTGGAAACGTCAACAGGCGCAGTCAGCACTATGTCAACACTTGGTGAGGCAGGCGCTCTGCACTCCACTTGGAACCTTCTGTCCGCCCATATCATCTACAGAAACTCGGACGCACAGCTCAGGACACCTGTCAATCACAAGAGGTCATCGCTCGCAAACTTCTTCTAACATGAGAGCTTCTTGCAAAGGCCCGTACATCAGCAACAAACAAACTCCTGAGGCGCTGAATGCCTCCGCCCAGAGGTAACAGCGCAGCTGGAGGTGGGCCCCGAGCTTCCATCACGTGCTGGCAGGTGTACAAAGACTCTTCAGGGATGTACTTACGAAGTGGCATGATAACTTGGAGCGCTCCGAAGACGTCTGGATCCTCCGGACGACACCTAAAGGGAGCACGAGGACAGGCCTCCGGGAAAAATCCGCAGAACACATATTTCGACGCGTAGGTGAGCCGAGATACCGTAGTGCTACACTGCAATCATACCAGAAAACCCGATGTTCTGCTGCTTGTCAGCATGTACCCGGGTGATCACATACTCACTTAGCCTCACGGACGTGTTGTGGTGCACCTCCGACGGCCCGCACAGCGGGGGGGTCGAGACGCTACCAAGGACCGCAATGTAGCAATTTCTCTCCTAACTTCAGGATATTGTCGAATCTAGATCCCGCTTTCTGCATTCTGCTTCTCTGCTCTACAACACTCACATACCACTACTATCGACCTCGACATAGCTACCACTACTCAGCTCTTTGGGCCCTCATCTCCCATCAACGTAGCCAAAGTTGCGGTGAGTCCCTCTTCGACGTTGAAGACTCAGGGCCTCCTGCCGCATGGCTCAGCTACTGCGGCAGAGTTTGAAAATTGCCGTCGCAGTGTATTCGTGCGTATACTCGTCCTCGTTCACGAACAATGTGAGTTTTCCGGCATGAGCGTTCATTCGCTAGCTCGGTACAATATACTTTCATGTTGCCGATTATGTAGGACGAAGAAACGTTGCTATCCTGATCGACGAGGAAACTGATCTCCTCCCGAGCGCGGGTGTCGAGACGATTGAGAGACCATGTAGAGCCTCAACTCTGAGCGTCTAGCTTTCCAACTTCGATGCAAACGGCTCCAGTAAGCGAACCTGGATACATGACTTGCGTTTTGATAATCAGACAGACGATATCGTTAGCAGACTGGAACAGGCCCGCAATTACTCTAATGTAATGGTTGGCTATGCATCCGGAGTCCCGACAGGGTGGAACGATGGTGTGCCACAAGTCTATCAGCCACCGACCGAACTAAGCCAAAGGCAAACGGTCCGCCGAAGCCGGGAGTCAATTCGAAGATGCAATTGGACTGGATCCCATATGGCCTTTTGAGCGTCCCAGTCAACAATAAATCCCTGAGAGCTGTCACATTGTATATTGAACCAATCCCGAGAGTGCTGATCAAGCACAATCATCTGCCTACTTACCCTTCTTTTTTAGCCATTCAAGCCAAACCCCAACGAGGCTCGCTGTCGCGACGACTGGCCAAGTAAAGGTTACATAAGGAGGCGTCTTATGCCCCGGAAATTCTGATAAATTTCCGACTTGGAGAAGTGTTCGAAGCCCACATCTCCGCTCTTAATGTGTGTCGCCTTCACGTTCACTCATGAGATGCAGGAGGAATCTCACTACATGAGGCTCATAGAGAAAGCTTCAGAGTGCATCGCCGTAGCCTGTTGCATCGTTCAAAACCGCGGGCCGCGCGAGACGAGACGATGTCAGGCACGGCAACCGGCGCAAAACATGCATGACGCTATCAAATGGAGGAAACAGCGGCAGCTAGACAGCGCCCGATCGGGTTACCACACTTCGGGTACGAAGGCGCATCAGGGTTGGGCCTGGAAAGGCAATCAATATCGGAGTGGTAACTGCGCGACGAGGTAATGATCCCGGTTTTGGTACCTGGCGGAACAGGTCTACGACGCCACACATCGATACAATATGCAGCATGTTCCGCACAATATGTCGACGCAGCTGCCCCTTTTGCCCTCAACCAAGCTGAGCCTCTTCTGTGTCTGCTCCCCGTCTTCTGTGCATAACTACGGCAGGCCGGGCAACAGCCATATCCGGATACATGAGCCCTTGCCTCGCGTGTTGCCTCGCGTAATCTGTCCTCCTCTCCTCACCCCAGACTTCAGGGCCAATGGCCGACAAGGCGGCGTGGCCACCAGCCCCTCCCAAGGACGAGAACGAGGGTGAGCGCGCGGCACGATTAGAGGCGGAGCGTGAGGCAAAGCGGATCAGGTATGCGGTCATTCACCTGTCAATTGACCTCGTCTCCCCAGGCCTGACACGGACGGCTCGACAGCGATGAGATTGACCGTGCGCTCGAGCAAGAGCGGCAGGAGCTCCGCAAACGTCGACCCCAGACGAAGATTTTGCTTCTCGGTATGTCGTCACATGCCGTGGCTCACCAACGCGTTGCGCAGCAACTTGTCGGTCTGTCTGACTCCATATTATATCGCAGGCCAGTCCGAGTCCGGCAAATCTACCATGGTCAAGAACTTCCAGCTGTATTTCTGCCCGACGACGTTCTACGCCGAAGCCGAGGCGTGGCGCGCCGTCATTCACCTCAACCTCGTGCGCCATGTCAACCACATTCTCGAACTCCTGTCTACGTCGGACAGTCCTCCGGGGAAGCAGATTCCCAATAAAGACTACCGCGTGCTTCAGATGCGCCTGTCGCCCCTGAAGCAAGTGGAGCTCATTCTCACTCGTGCGCTCTCGGCGGAGGCTAGCAATAGTTCTTCGACCTCGCCAACGGCCGAGAAGTCCACATGGCGTCCAGATCGTGTGACAGAGGTGTCCATTCGTGGGGGTTCCGGCTGGAAGGCGCTGATGCGGAAACGGCGAGGATCTATCGCTCGTTTGCCAACAATACCAGACGAGGTGGACGATGCGCGCCGCATCCTGGACGCATGCAAGGACGATGTTGTAGCGCTATGGAAGGCTCAGGAGCCAGGAAACTTGGAAGACGGCAGTGCTGACCATGGACGATAGTGGGTTGTTCCTGCGAAATCGGACGCTTCCTTGGGCTGACGATCGCCTAGTTTCCTGAACAACGCGGCGCGGGTGTCGGACATAAAGTACATACCAACGGCCGACGACATACTCCGCGCTCGCTTGCGTACACTTGGTGTTGAGGAGTACCGGATGGCGATGGAGACAGGTTCGTTCACCGCATATGGCCGCATAGAATCCTGTCCTCAACCGATTAGCAGCAGCAGAGAAGGGTACGGAATGGGTTTTTTACGACGTCGGAGGTGCACGGAGCCAGCGAGGTGAACATTCATCCAGTCATTCGGTAATGCCACCTGCTCATTGGTCTCTCCCCGATCAGCGGCTTGGGCCTCATACTTCGATGACGGTGAGTTCTGTATACCCGCTGAGGTCGCTCTTTCTGAGTGCCGTTGTAGTGAATGCGATGATCTTCCTGTGCCCTATAAGTGGGTTCAATCAGCAGCTGGCGGAGGACGTGTTCGTGAATCGGCTGGTAAGCCCCGTGTCGTGCATTGCTCTGGGCTGACTGACGAAAATGTCGTGAAAGGCCGATTCGATGGAGCTGTGGAGTACGGTTTGCAAGAGCAAGCTTCTGGCGAACGCCACGTTCATTCTACTTCTAAACAAGGCCGATCTGTTAGCTGCCAAGCTGAAGGCCGGCTTGAAATTTGAAGACTTCGCACCGAGCTATCGCGGTCGTCCGAACAAAGCTGAATACGTCGCGGAGTGTGAGTCCGCCTGGCTCACGTATCATGTATTCGGGACGCTGATGCGTTCCGCAAGATCTCCGTGAGCAGATGATGGCCACCCATCGATTCTCTTCGCCGAAGAAGCGACAGCTACACGTGCACGTAACATGTGCAATCGTGAGTATTCTTGTCCAGTGGCATGAAGCATGCTGACAGAATTGGACCAGGATACGAATCTCATGGGGGTCGTGCTAACGAGCGGTAAGTCCCGCTAATTCATATGTGGCTGCACGCGTCTGATCTCGACCCCAGTCCGGGATGTCATCCTCATTGATACACTCCAACATACAACACTCTTGTGATGCTGGCCATCCGAGCGTCGTCGTCTGCAGACGAGATTCTGGGCCGCTCTCAGAATCTCACCAGTACTTTCCGCCAGCTGCAGCTATCTTGTGTCTTATATCACGACGATCTTGGTTATTGCTCTACTTTATCACTGCTATTGGATTTTGTACTCACTCACTATAACTGTCAGACGTAGTCGGCTGTACGGATAGTTGTTGCCTCGTCATCCCCGCAGCATTTCATTCACTAGGCTAGAAGCTCCGGAAGGTAGTGCGACCATTGAGTGCGTCGCGTACTGTATTGTCATATGTCTATATCATCTTATCGCCCTCGAAATTGGATACTCACTGTATATCTCATGTTCCCACAGGCGTTCGTATTGCGGCGCTTTTGGTAGAGTTAGGTATCGTGGAAAGCAACTCAAAGTAAAGCACTCGATAATAGAGCCTTGAGAGTGTCCATGGAGGGGCCTCTGAGACAGCTGACCTGTCGTTGGGCACGAATCACTTGGCCGGAGTGGTGCGGCATTCCACGACCCACAACAAAAGAACAAGCCAAGGATTCTACGGGGCCTTGTTGGGAACGATGATGGATATTTTCACCCGTAGAGGACAAGGAGACAAACATCAAAGAGGACGATGGTTCAACCCTGCACCCCAGGACGTACCGTTCGACCCGTATCACATTCCGGTGGCTCGACTTCTCGTGCAGTTGTCACGATGACGGTTGCAAGCGGACGCAAGCGAGATATACATTGGGCATGAAATGCTATGCAACTAATGGTGTTCTTCATGCCCGGCTTCATGGCCATGGTGATCGTGCTCGTGGCCATCCCATGGGTGCTTGAGACCCTGTAGGGACAATCAGTGGCTGGACAGTACAAGCACCTCATAAAACGCACCAGGAGCTTAGCACCATCCTTCCTGTGCTGATAGTGAGCAAGGCGCAGGATAAAGGCACAGAAGACGTACCGTGCTCGGTAGAAGATGAAGAACCACATCGTCGCGCCCAGCGTCGTGGCAAGGATCCTGTGCTTGAACCCAGGAAGATGCGGGTTAAACCCGGAGCCTTATGTCGCACCCGTTCAGTCAGCAAGAAGGAAGGATAGCATGCCCTAGGGATACATACTGTGTTGGCCAGCCATAGTGGAGGAGGGTCGGAGGGAGTGTTTGGGCGTATTGACGCGCCTGCCTCGGACGGATTTCATGGGCGCCTGTGTACCCTTCGAAATCCTCTGCACGCGACGCAGCACACGGCCTTGCCTCGGGACTCTGCGCGTCCTCGCCACGCGATTCCTCGACATGGAGACCCACAAGCGTAATAGGGACGAAGACGGCACGCTGGTTACGTTCTATGCGCCGAATAGGACCTTTGCGCGGGTGTACAAGGGTGCGTCCCACAGTGCTATACGGTCATCCTGCGCGGAGATCCAACGTCGAATACTTCGATCGTCTGTAGGCCAGTCGCTTGAGGAGACGAGAAGTCTCGTGCGGAAGAAGCTTGGGCTCCCTGACGATACGTCTATACGTTTCTCGAGGCTTCACGAGGGGAAGGTCATTGAGTTGGATGACGGTGAGTCCTGCGAAGGCTTTGGATTGGTACTTCCTTATAAAATGTCTCGTCTAGACGAGGATTTTGAAGCTTTCCGTCACCTTGCACGATATGTACCCTCTCTTGACGTGTCGGTTTTTGTTGGACAAACCGGTCCACCGTTATTCACGCAGCAAGCTACGCGGGAGTCGACTGTTAACCTCGTACGCCCGAACTTTGCTTCGATCGTTCCCCAGCGACTGATCACTTGTAGAGCAACCCGAAGAGACGTCCCAAGAAACGACAAGCTGCTATTCCAAGCTCTGTTGGTCCCATTGATTCTACGACTAACGGCATAACATCTGCAAAGGATCGACCGTCCAACATCCCGGATAGTTCATCGACCTTGGATGTCAACGGGGTGCCAAAGAAGAAGCGTAAGCGCAAGGACGGAACTCACATAGTTGACCGGTCGGTTTCCTCGCCGGTTTCCCCGTTGCCTGCATTCCAGACGGTCCCTGATGGGCATGAAAGTCTGTAGTGTCCCGCTGCTGTCGTGGCTTTGCATGAACTTACTTGGTCTTACTGTCAAGCTTCCAGCTTCAGGAACCGAGAGCCTGCGCCCCAGCGTACACGTCCTATTCTCCCTCCTTCTCCGCATGGTTCGGAACCGCCAGCAATTGAGGCTCTCGTCCCACGCAAAGGCTCCAAACGGAAACGTCAAGACTCGCCCGAGACCCCGGCCGCTGTACCTTTGACCATTTTCGCTCCTACAGTCCCTCCACCTCCCTCGCCTGCACGTTCTGCATCACTCTCATCTCCTGCGAAGAAGAAGCGGAGAAAAAACAAGCGGGCGGAGGACTCTCCGGCAGTTACTCCTGTTCAGATGACTGCGACGAGATTTGATAAGACAAGCAAGCGTAAACCTAACGATACAGTCTCTGCGTCTCCACCCCCTGCTGCTGCCCCTCTTGCCGCAGAGACTGACCTTGGTACTGAAGACACCGTCGTGGGCAGGAAAGCGACGAAGAAGGCGAAGACAGAAGCCAAGCTCCGCACTGTGGAGGATGACGACGCCACCGCATCATCCAAGGAGGATGCGAAGAAGTCCAAAAAGCGTAAAGATAAGGAGTCGAATAGAGAGCAAGGCTTTGCTACGACTCCTGGCACGTTCTCCTCTCCTCATCTTACTTGAACCCGATGCTAAGACTAGAATGCGTAGTCGAATCTTCCCCAAATGAGACGCCTCCTGCGAGCATAGAGCCAGGTACGTAATGCTGACAGGGTAACCTTCATCGTTCGTGACTGAAAGACGCCCGCGGCCTAGCGAAAGAGAAGCGAAAGAAGCGTACTGAAGCCACTGAACTGCCTGAGGCAGTACCGTCTGCGAGCCCTACTCCAACGGCTTCAACTGACGCAACAGCGGCGAAGAGCAGCAAGGAGAAGAGGCGGAAGGCTAAGGGCCGCCATAGTGAGCAGCTCAATGGTGCCCTCGCTATGACTGGATCAGAGAATGGTATGTAAACGTACTATCCAACGAGATATTACTTGTTCATACCTGCTACACAGAGCCGGTTGCGGGCCCCTCTGCTGCAGTAGAACCTGAAGCTGACGGGGAACTCAAAGGTGCGCTCGTACTGGTGAATACGCGAGTAGGTATTGACTTGGCAGACACCACAGGGAAGAAGGTGCGACGCAGAAAGACGCTTACGGCTACTTTGGCGAGCGACGCTGAAGAAGCAACGTCGCCCATGAGTAAATCATCTGGTATGTACCTGAAACTCAGGACTCCACATGACTTACCCTCCTTTTGTCACAGCCGCCGAACCCGTTTCGCATGAGGACCAAGTGACTTCAACAACACAAGACAGTTCAGAGTCCGCGTCTGCCAAGAAGTCCAGGCGCGATCGCAAGAGTCTGTCTGCTCTGTCTTCGCATGGGGAAGGTATGTTATCATCTGATCAGTGCCTACGAAATACGGTTTGCTGATGGCCATACGTCGTACGAAAGGAAGCACTTCTGAAACTGCCGCCTTCTCTGCAGTGCGAGCTGCTGCCGAAGCAGTCTTGGCTCGTGCCTCCTCAACGAGTGCAGGCCCTAACTCTGCTCCCGCGTCTCAGCAATATGCGCCTCCTCTATCTGAGGCCGCCCTTCCTGGGAAGAAGAGGAAATCGGGCAAGTCAAAGCTTAGCCAAGCATGGGGACCCAATGATTTGGTGGAGGAACAGGAGTCAGCTTGCGCATCGGTCGCGACACCTGCACTGGATAGCACCTCTGCATCCGCTGCTTCTGTACCATCGACCTTTGTCAAAATCACGGCTAAGACAAAGGCTGCTCATGCTCAGAGAACCCCTCGTCCGTCAAGTGCGCCCACGTGTCCCATATGTGATGAGCCGTCCTTGCATCCGCGTTCGCAGTGCCCCGTCGTCGAAGCCGGTCCTATGGCCATTCGCAAGCGTATTGCTCAGCTCAAGAAATCCGGCGACTACGAGCTCGCCGAAGAGCTTGACGTCCTCTACAAGGAAGCGCAACGGCGCAGGAAAAGTGCTGGCGGGAAGCGGGCCGCTAATATTGCCGCCCTCACTCTCGTCCCGGCTGCTAATGCAGAGACTGAGGTGCCTCAGCCCTCGCCCGCCATGTCTCTGCAGTCGTCATCCACATCGGCGCTGTCGAGGCCGCGTCTCGGCGATCGTTCGCTCTCTTCTCCTCGCCTTCCTGCCGGATCTGAGATATCTGAGGTTGTCGTAGAGAGTAAAGACGAAGGAAGCAGCAACGAGAGTTCTAGCGACGACGAGGACGAAGGACCAGTGCCCACGGCGTCGTCGCTCCCTCTCCTGGACCCCACCAACCTCGAAGCGCTCCTCTATGTCCCCGTTAAACCCCGTGTCAGTGTCCTCGCCCAGATCCCATCCTCCTCCGAGTCTAGTGAAGGCGAGGAGTCCGACGACGAGCCCCGAAATGACAAAGACATCGACATGGACGAGGAAGACAAGCACGACCGCGCTTACCACCGCATGTCTCGCAAGTTCGCGCATGCGGGATCTTCGTCGGACGAAGACGAGCCCCAGCCTGATTCGGACCAAGCCCAGGAGCTGGATACCACCGCTGACACGGACGTGGACGACCATATAATCTCCCCTACCGAGATGGATCCGGGGCCGAACAACAGCATAGACAGGCAGGTACGTCGTCTGGTGCATAGAGTGGTGGCGTGGTGCTCAGTCTTGTTCTAGGACGCACAGCAGGTCGAGGCCGACATGTTGGCGCAGGACACTTCTGCCATTGAGCGCCCAGCCAAGCAATTGGACGACGAGTCTGTAGTGTCCGGGGACCACAGAGAGTTGTCTGAAAGCGACGAGGATGAGGACGAGAAAGAAGTGGAAGCCCAGGCGAAGTCATCTGGGTCTCCAGAACCACACGCTGCCGTCGCATCAAACGCCGAGACGAGCGAAGCCGATATAGACGAGCCACAGGGGATCCCTGAAGATCGAGGTGATGACCGTCGTGCCGACACCACTGCCGTGGTTGATCCTCTCTCGCAGGCGCATCCCGAGCCCAAGGAGCCGGAAGGGTCCGAGGCCGACGACGGCGCCAAGCAGCAGCCCGACGGAGGTGATACAGTAGATGTTTCTGCTGAGGCCCCTCAGGCCGACGAGAATGTGCCAGAGCCAGACGCTCGGGTTGATTTCGTTAGGGATGGTGCCCCGTCAGAGGCCGATGACGTTGAGCAGGATGCTCCAGCTGCAGACCTAAGGAAATCTTCCCCTGAGCTTGGGGGAGACCTCTCTCCCGCCCTCTCCGGCACCACCGCACAAGCCGAAGTCGAGAAAGTCAATGGTACTTCAGACAGAGAAGACGAGAGCGCAGGCGAGGATACTGCCATGCGCAACGAAGACGACATGCAAGTGGAGGTGGTCGAGCCGTACGCCGAGGACCCGAACGACCCCATTGATGCGTTCAGCTCCGATCACGACGCAGAACAGGACGACCCCATTGAGGACCCCGACGTGACACAGGCTCCAGCCCAGGAACGCGAGCATACCCCGCCACCAGCGACGCCCCGCACGCCCGGGACCGTAGGCCGCATGAAGGACCGTTATGGTCGCCTCTCTCAAGCCCGCGGCCGAGAAGCGGGCCCCCGCCTGTCTCAACTGGTGCTCGGAGACCTAGCGTTGTCGCAGGAGGACATCACACTCAAACTTCCTGCCCCAGCCGGCACGCTTGAGCCGTCTCTGATATCGGATCCTGAGGCTCAGGCAGAGATGGATGACGACCCGGAAGCGGACGAACCTGAACCAGCCAAGACGCCAAATCAGAGCATGTCTTCTCTGCGCGAACCTCAGCAAGAAGCACAAGGGAAGGTAGCAGACTCTGCGGAGGTGCAACCACGCCGCCCAACACGCGCGACGCGTCGCACTACCTCCATTGCGCCATCCTCCTCCCTCCCGGAGCCCGAACCCGAGCCTACTCCGACGCCCGCGCCCACGCAGAGACGGGGGAGGCCCCGTCTGACGGCCGAGGAGAAGGCTCGGCGCGAGGCGGAGAAGGCGGTGATTGCGGCAAACAGAGCGGCGGCGAGGCAGCAGAAGGCAGCAGAGAAGAAGGCAGCAAAGGAGGCAAGGGATGCGGCGAAGCAAGCCGCCAAGGATGCGAAGCAAAGAGAGAAGGCAGAGAGGGCGCAAGCGAAGCGCGGCGGTGCTAGGAGCGGAAGAGGGCGCGGGGGACTGGGCAAGCCGGTGTCGACACGGTCGCAGCGCGTGAAGGAGTCCGTCGAGCCTGAGGATGAAGAAGGGGTCGACGAGGACACGTCGGGGTTGGACGGGAGAGAGGCACCTTCGGCCGCGGACGTCGCGAACACTCCTGGAGTTGCGAAAATCTCTTGGGCTGTCTTACCACAGTCGGACTTGGGGAGGACTCAGGAATCCGTCGGCGAGACATCTATGATCGACGAGCTACAGCCGAGCAGCCCGGAGGTCGTCCCGCCTCGCGCGCTCTATGTCAGAGAGGAGAGCCCAGCGCGCGACGACACTATTACTCAGGAGCATGTCGACGAGCACGATAAGCACAACCCCGCAGTCACACCGAAGTCGAAGTCGAAGGGCGCTACGAAGGATCCGCTGTTTATCCCTTCCAGCAGCCAACACCCTCCTACACCATTCAGTCTCCCAGCGGCGGAGAGCACGCCTTTTGCTAATGGCAATGAGGGCAGGAATAACCCCGACGACAATGACGACGACGGTGAGCCCGAAGAGGAACCCGAGAGGACTTTTACGGCGCCTACTCGTTCGCGCGGTTCCTGGCTGCCGCACTCGTTGTACCCCTCGTTGACGGTGCTGGCGGGCCAGGCGTTATTCCCGACATCGCAGATTTCCTCCCCTGCGCTGTTCTCGCAGACACCGAGACAAGAAGCGACCTACAAGCGCTCGCCGGCGACGTACGGCAACGGCAACGGCAAGGACAAGGAGGATGACGATGATGATGATGACGACTCTAGCGACGAGTCAGACTCGTCCGATTCTGATGGCAGCACGAGAAAGAAATCGCACATACCCCAGAGTCGTCGGGCTGGGGCGGGTGTGCAGAGAAAGAAGAAATCTAGATTACTGTCCGCATATACTTAGGCCCTCTTCCAGCGTATCGCATGTCCTGTTGCATTCCATCCTGCATTCTCCAACATATAGCATCATTGCACTCACACATCCTCACTATAGTAGAAGTAGGATAATATCTCACACTATGCTCAATGTGTTCCTATCAGTCGCATGTAGTCGTTGTAATCTTCTCGTCGGAAGCGCTGTCGAAAGTACCACATTGTCTTTGTAAGTAGAGCCTAAGTTGTACACTCCAACAGCCCGCCTCATGTTCCTTTGTCCGCTCAGTTTCGTGTTGGCACTCCACACGTCTGCGCGTGCTGCCAGTATTATGGTCACGCCCATCACGACAAGCGAGCCCAGATCAAATCCACAAGGCCGACGTGAACACCGAGCAGGGGCCAGAGCACGACGACTCCACCTTGAACAGCTTTCTCTCCCATGAGGAAGACGAGTGACTCCTCGTCAATTGCCAGGAGCTCTTCAATTAGGATAAAGACGTACGTACCTAGGCTGAATCTGTTCGGTCTCACTCCGGCCGCTGAACCTAGGTAAACGTTGTGCAGAAGGTCGTGCATGCGTTGACAGTCGGTAGACGAGAGTTCGCACCCCTCAAGTACACCCACTCGGACATCTGGGATTGTCGCTTAGTCGAGAGCTAGGTTGCCTTGTTCTGCGGGCTTTCACAACAACAATGCATGTATAAATGAATATATGAGAATGAATTGTACAGTAATGGACCAAACAAGTAGGTGAAGGAATCAAAACATCAGTATGTTCTACATCATAAGATCGCTCAGGCCCACATCCGCATGCCGCGCAGGGTCCACCTTCGGAATCGGTCGCGGTAGCGCGGGGTCTGGTGGAGGGATCCCCGCTTTCAAGCATGCTTCTACGAGGGAGAACCGGACAGTCTGCCACAACTGCCGCAAACCTAACGCATAGTTGTAAATTCAGTACCGATCCCACGAGCCATACAACGATGAGCCACTCACGCATATTGGGCCAGTACATCATCAGAAACTCTATGTGCACAGAGATGCGTTTCGCGAATTCGAGCGCGTATATCAGGCCCTTGTCGGCCTTCCACAACGCAAGAGCTCTGATGTGGCAGAAACGATTGTGAGTATACAAATCGAGTTCGCGTGACTGGAATACTCACTTCCGAATGTTCGCCACAAACCAGAACAACAGGAGCGATTTGCGGTGGTCCTGGTCAGGAGATTCCGCGCCTAGACTCAAGGACTCCCAGACCGACTGGCCTGCCTCATCTGTGTATTTGACTGACGACCGTTTGGCATCGATCAGAAGACAGGAAGGGCAATTTAGTAGAGAATCCACGCACGCCAAGCCTCGGCCTTGTCGCGATAGAACAGTGTGGGGCCAGCTCTACATACTCGCACATATACTGAGTACCAACGTAAACTCCATGCATATCGAGACGACCACTCACGTTGTCACTTGCGGTATATACCGTTGGAACTCGTATGAAGTCAGCATCCTCAGGCTACAGAGCATGCATGTAGTCAGCATAACATTCGATACGGGAAAAGAGGATAAAATACTCACCCGAAGAGCAACTCCTTCGCCAGGAATCCGAACGAGCTGTCCAAGTCGCAGTTGTGGCGCGCAAGGCGCTGCTCAATGTCGTCGATCTCGATCCACGCCTGGACCGAGAGCTGAGCGCGCTCCGCGGGACTCAAGTTAGGGTCCTCTCGGGTGCGCATGCAGACGTGCAGCAGGAGCATCGAGCGGTAATTCAGCGTCCATATATCGTCGTAATCAACCATCGCGCCCGTCTTTGCGAGCGCCTCGCTCGGGAACAACAACGAGAACTACACGGCGAGTGAAACGCCAAGGTAAGGCAGGATGATAAGGAACGGCTAGTGAGGAGTACTCACATTCTCTGGTTCTCGCACAATCAGCTTCGCGTGCCCGCCGATCATCACATCCGGCACAGCAGCAGTGTATGCATGCAAGTTCGCAATGACCATGACGCTGCTCCAGACGAGCCGGCGGCACTCTTCTCTCCTGAACTCGGCTTCGGTCAAGCCCTCTGGCCACATCATTGTCCCTGCCCATGAGGGCGCGAGTTTGTGCACAGAGGGCCAGTGTTTTCCCAGAGACACTGCAACACAACTGCAACCAGCGCGGTGGGATGGCGGGGAGGAGTGGTCATGTTCGTCCCAGCGAGGGACTGAGCCCATAGACATCCCATCGGCCAAGCCCGGAATGGTGTTTGGGAGTGGCATAAAGTCTGAGGCTTGTGCTTGAAGGGGAACGTTGCTCGTCCCCGGCGTACCGTAACTCGCGGTTGGCAGAGACTGAACAGTGCCGCCCATATACGCGGCCGGATTATATCCTTGGGGTTGTATGGTTCCGTAGGGCGAATGCCCTCTGGGCTTCAGGTTCTCATCGATCCTGGTCAGTCCGAATAAGCGGAAAAGCGAGTCCAACAGGAGCAATGACGACTGGGAGCGCTCTAGTGACTGTTGCGGATGAGACTGCATCTCGAAGAACACGATCATCTGTGAGAACAACGCGTATATGATTACTTACTCAGTACACCTGAGGTAGATCCAGGAGAACCTCACCAATGCTGCTTGCGCGAGGCCGATATCTACCCAGCCTGTCGAAAGGCTGGCCTCTAGAGCGCCATTCGCCATATCTAAGAGCTTCAGGGATTTGGCCCTGCCCTTGGCTCCGTACTCGGCTTCAGAGCTTTGAGCAAACGTCCCGAGAGCAAGGGCAGCCAACATGAGACTCGGTTGCAGTGAATTCCGCCGCACAGGGCTGAATAGTTTGTCAAAGAACCGCGGGAGGTGGAGGTAGCTAATCCAACATGGGGACGCCTGGAGTAGTGCGCGGAGGTCCGAGACGATGGCCTTCATGGACGCAGTGCGTTGTGCTTGACTGATAGAGGTGAGCCGCATATCGGAGTCTCCAAAACCGTCGTCTGCGGCATAAAGCGAGAGGAGAGCATCCCACCAAGTCTCTCGAGCAAACCGGCTCCCAGGTCTGGGAGGGATGGACTCGTTATCTTTTTCCTCGTTCCCGTCTTCGGGAGGGGTGACGACGATCATGGGCTCCTGTGTTGATGCAAAGTCTGGGATAGACGAGAGACCAGCCAAGAACGTTGCATCGGTAAGAGATGCCGCATCATCAAGTAACGGATCATTCTCCCAGTCCATCTCCATCTCCTGGAGCGAAGAGCGTCAGTACGCCATACCCACCTCCATCTAGCGTATACGCACGTTGGAGAATCTATACACGCCATCGCTGTTGTAATCGTCCACTGCAGTGAAGAAGGGCTCGTCGCTGCTGTCAGACAATACCGTGTCCTGCGGCCGGGCTGCTCTCGGAACAACGGGGGGAGGATCCTTGTCACTTTGTGGACTGAGCTTCCGTTTCGGCGTCTTCTGGCTAGCAGGCCCCCGGGCTGCACGAGCACGAGCACCACCGCTCTTCTCGCGTCCTCGACGATTCGGACCAGAGTCGTAGTTGCAATGATCGGCCTTCGAAGGGCGCTTCTGACAGTTGCAACATATGGGCTTCGCACCATCACAGCGGATTTTGCGAGCACGGCTAGAAGTAGTCCAGGGTGGTCAGCTTCAACTATCACCGAGTGTCGGGCTTTATAAGCAGTCGGAAATACCATTGGTAGCATGCGACGAAGACGCGTATACGAGGGTTCCCTCGGGCTGTGGGAGGTTGGCCAGGGGCGAGGTCGACCTTGGGACGGATCCTTTTACGACCTGCGCCCGCTGTGGATGATGCTCGAACAGGGGATGAGGATGAACTACGAGAGGGACCAGCGTGCTCGGGTCCTAGGTTACCTGCAGGTGAGTCAGATAGCCTAGAGAACTCCGACATAGCAGAAGACCCAGTATTCGGATATAGAGGAGAAGAAGCAGCACTGAGAAGGCTGTCGAGGCTAGCTGCGTCCATTTGGACCAGAGACGGGTCAAAGAAGGCCGAGTCAGTCATGTTGAACTACGAGCTCGTAGCACGCCCGAGACCAACAAGTTGTGGAGAATCTCTATATAGGGCTCGTAAAAGGACAGGAACTACTGCGAGAGGCGATGAGGAGAAGCAGAATATGAGCTGACAAGATTTACAAATCGCAGCGACTCCGACTCGGATCGCAGTCAGGGAACCCATGGCGTTGCGCCCGGCACTGCCACAATTACCACTTATTCGTCGCCGCCAATCAATATAGTTCGAAACACTGCAATCGCGAATGCTTAGCATCCAGACTCTCCATATACACAACAAATACACCGTGTATCGTACACAATAGCTGCAAGAGTACGCAAGCCTGTGCAGCGTACGTATCTGCGGATCACTCCCAGTCACTGTCCTCTTCCTCTCCCTCTTCATCCTCATCCTCGTCTTCGTCCTCATCGTCTTCATCGTCCTCTTCATCATCATCGTCGTCATCGTCTACATTGCCACTCTTCTCGGCTCCCTTTGACTTGGCGGTGTTGACCTCCTTAGCGCCGCCGTTGCTCACCTGTGAGACGACATCGTAGCTGTCCTCGCTGCTCTGCCTCGGACTGACATTTACCGGAGTGGAGACGCGAGACTTCGGTTCCGCAGTAGACCCGCTAAGATGTACCGGCGATTCATCGAGTCGGGGTGCGGACGGCGTTGCTGGGAGTTTCGTGGTCGGGGACGCGCTTTCCTCATCATCATCCTCCCAGCTAAAATCGTCTTCGTTATCAGTAGTGCCTAACATATGTTTTTCAGGATCGTCAACTCCTTCCAATAGCTTGCTAATTTACCTTGGATGATGGCCTTCCTACGCGCTTCTTCGCGCTCGACCTGGTGCACGCGGAAGAAATAGCGCGTCCAGAATTCATCGTATGTCAGAGTCTCCGGTACTGCAGGGTCCGAGAACATGTCAGCTAATACTAACGGCTTATCGACCGACCCTGAGCGCACCTAGCGTGTCCATCGTCGCCTTCAATGCGGCGCCGTCCACCGGATCTGCTAGGGCACGTTCGACCTTGTTCTGCCATGCCGTCGTACCCAGCCCGCGGTCCTCGGAAGCCGCCTCGCTTGCTAGCCAGTTGCTGTACACATCGCGCACGTTCCCGTCATCCTTAGGATCAGCCTTGATGACCTCCGGGTCGTGCCGTAGCTGCTTGAGCATAGACTCCGCGCGAGTCGCTACCGACCGCAGCGTATCCACCGATGGCCTCCCAGAACTGCCCGACGCCTCTCTTTCCTTGCCCTTCCCCTTGCTACTACCAGCCGCGGGCGAGGGCGACGCCGCGCCGCTCGTCGTGGGCAGCATCCATACATCCGTGCCGTCCCAGATCAAGCCAGGGTAGACGGAATCGCCTTCCTCCGGCGGGACGACCTTCACCGCTTCTTTGAGGAACTCACCAGCCTCGCGCAGGAAGTCTTCGCTCCGGTGGACGTACTCCTCAGTTGCGCCCTGGACCTTCTGTAGCTCGGATGCGATGGTACTGCGCAGCTGTGCGAAGTCCAGCGCTGTCAGATTCGCACTGCCGACCCGCGCATGCTTCAACGTCTCCTTCAACGTCTCCGGAAGCTGGCTCTGAACGTTAGCCAGTGCGGGGGGCAGCGAAGCCTGCAGCCGAGCGAAGATCGTCTGGGGCTGCGCCGGTTGTGATGGGGAAGATTCAGGCGCGGCTTTGTCGGTAGTCTCGGTGGAGGTTGAGGATGCGGAGGATGAGGTAGATACTGCATCTGCTGCGTCGACGGGCACAGATGCTGCTTGTTCTGTCGCGGACGCACTGGGCTCCGGAGGTGTAGAAGGAGCTTCAGCAGTGAGTTTCGTGAGCTCCTTCTGGGCTTGCTGCACGACCGTCCCGAGGTCCTTCTTCGCCGCCTCGAAGGCAGTCTGGCTCTATGACATAGGAAGAAGATTACAGTTCATGCTCAGCGATCTGAGTGGGGGGGATAAGGGGAGCGTGCGTACTTGTTTCCGGAAGCCACCCCAGAATCGACTGAGCTGCCCGACGACCTCCGAGACCTCCTCGTTCAGACTCTGCGTGGGTTGGGCGGCCGCTGGAGCGGTTGCGGTCCCAGATATATCGTATGCATCAAAGAAGTTCATAGTGAGGGTTTCATGCAAGTCGAGCGCAAGAGATGGTATGCATCCATCTCGGAGACTAGACTCGCGGATTCCGGAAGCGCCCAGCTGCTAGAGGACCTGAATATAGCGCTTCCTTGACATTGTTACTTTCCATTCAACAGCTTCATCCTCGTAAGCCTTCGAGGGCAACGAGATAAGATAGGACAAGATCGACATTGTAGCCTTCAGGTAAATAGCAACTAGGCCGGCCCGCTTGTGTTGCCTTTAGACGTCAGCGGCTATAAGCGAATCCCACGTGGAGTTCCATTGAAAAAGTACGTACCCAAGACGCGAGTCATTCAAAAATCTTCGTCCTTCACCGCGACCTGCCGTCTTGAGCTCCAGCACCCACTACCCTTAACTTGAGCTACCCAGCTCGTTCATGATCTTCACTCAGAACACTCGCGACGAGTAAGTCCATAGCGCCTCACGTTGGCATCTCTACGGAAGGCTCGACGTACTGACTTTGTCCGCGAAAATAGCTACCTCAGCGACCTCGTTTTCTCTCTTCTTGCGCATTAAAAGAAGCCCTAACAGCCGCAATATGTTGACACGCAACCTGACCCGTTTCACTCGCTTTTCTCGAGGGCTCGCCACCCATGCACCTTCGTCGTCGACCTCTCTGCCCGCAGTCCTTCACCTCAAGACTGGGCAATCGTTCAAAGGACGTTCTTTCGGCGCTCCTCGTAGTATCTTTGGAGAGACCGTCTTCTCGACTTCCATCACGTCTTGTGAGTGACATCCACTCATGTACTTGGGGACCGTTAGATTTCCGTCCTGGGGCACTCTTGGCGCCTCCATAGCGAGTCCGCTGTCGCGCCAAAGTAATGTTTGTAGTCTGGAATGAGGCGTAATGGACATTTGGGGTCCATGCGTCCTCTCTAGGCGCAACGTGGGTACGCACCAGAGCGCACCAGGATGAATGAATAATGTTCTGGACATTCGAGGGACACGAAAACTAATCTGGGTTCTTTCCAGACACTGAATCGATGACCGATCCGTCCTACCGCGGTCAAATACTTGTCTTCACTACTCCCCTCATCGGAAACTACGGTGTTCCTTACAACAAGACTCCTATCAATAGTAATGACGTCGGTGTCATCCTTGAATCGGAGAACATCCAATGCAGCGCCGTCGTGGTCGCCGACGTAGCAGAGAAGTTCTCGCACTACACAGCCGTCGAGTCTATCGCTTCGTGGTGCCAACGTAACAATGTCCCTGGCATCACTGGCGTCGACACGCGTGCCATCACCACCCTTCTTCGGGACCAGGGCACGACTCTCGGCCGTCTTGCTGTGGGCGCCGACGCGTCGCTGGCTCCTCCCAAGCCTGAGGAATACTGGGATCCAACAACAGAGAACCTCGTCGCCCAGGTCTCTACAAAGGCCCCCTATGAGCTCAACCCCAATGGAGATGTGAGGATCGCTGTGCTCGACTTCGGCGCGAAGGCGAATATCCTTCGCTCGCTTGTCCGTCGTGGCGCGGCAGTCACCGTCCTCCCTTGGAACTACAACTTCAACAACATTCGGGACCAGTTCGACGGCCTTTTTCTGAGCAACGGCCCCGGGGATCCGAACCACTGCTTGGAGGCCGCGATGCACCTCCGCAAGACGCTCCAGGAGTGGGACAAGCCCGTCTTCGGTATCTGTATGGGTCATCAGGTCATCGGCATGGCTGCTGGTCTTGAGGCGTACCGCATGACATTCGGAAACCGAGGCCACAATCAACCCGTTCTAGCTCTCGCGTCGTCCGGATCCATCAAGGCTGGTCGGGTTTATGTCACCAGGTACGTCTTCACATACTCGGCCCTCATTGGTTGGCGTATGCTAAATGTTCACATAGCCAAAACCACCAATACGCGCTGAAGCTCCAGGATCCCTTCCCCGCCGGCTGGGAACCCTTCTTCATCAACTGTAACGACTCTTCGGTTGAGGGCATCAAGTCCTCCGCTGACTCTGGCAAGAAGGTGTGGGGCGTCCAGTTCCATCCCGAGAGCGCGGGCGGACCTCTCGACACCATCGAGATGTTTACGGACTTCCTCGCGGAGTGCCGCGCGCACAAGCTGCAGCTGAGCTTGCCCACCTCGCAACCGATGGATGCGCGTAAGGTCGCTCCTCGCTTAGGTGTGGAGACGGCGAAGATCGAGACGCCTCGCCGCGTGGCCGTTACTGCTTGAGGATGGATCGTTATCAACTCGCATTTTGGACTCTGTAAATTGACATGTACGATGTAACTGCTTTGCTCATAGAAATCACGCATTCGAGGCCGTCGAGCATTCTGTGGCCTACACGACAGAGCGGCTAGGCTATCGGGAGCATTGATGAAGCCAGGTACTTCTATACTCGCATCCTCCGAGACTTACTAGCAAGTATATGGATGCAAGTTCGCGCGGGTCGTTTCGCATCTACTAAGTGGCAAGGTACATCACGAAGGAGCTTCAGCAGTTCTTCTTTCTGCAGCGGCTTGTCCGCTATCCTTCGCGCCCTTCTCTCCCTGCCATGAACCTCCTCCAGCCACTTCACTCGTCGTCAACATCGCCCTCTCCGTCATCCTCCTCGTCGTCAGAGCTAGGCGCTCCCGCCTGGACATCATCCCAGTCCTTGTGCTCCACCCAGTCCATGTTCGCAATCTGCAGGTTGATGAACATGATTCCGATCGCCGAAGGCTTGAAGCGATGGGTGTCATATCCCCTCGCTCGCGCGTCGTCCTCCCTGTCGTCCCCGGTGTCCTCGAAATCATACTTAGACAGCGTCACTGCGAGGATGCCCTTCTCGCGCCACTCCGGGGTCTCCGCGATCGCAAAGTAATTCGGATCCCATTTGCCGGCCTTGTCCAGCGCACGGTGGTACTCGACGACGGCGTCGACGGTGGGGTGCTGGGGCTGGGGCGCGGGAACCATATACTGGGACGTGTTTCCGCCGTATGCTGGCTTTGCGCTGGTCTTCATGCAAGCGGTAGAGATCGCTTTGAGCTCGTCGGGGGAGGCGGCATATAGGGCATAAACTGCGATGTCGGTACCGCCGTCAGACATGTTGAGAGGAGTAAGTATGGTGCGGCACTGAGGCTCGGATACACAGTGGGTAGATGCAGGCTCTTCAATCTGATGCTCGGCGATAGTATATATACTGCCCGAGCCAATGAAGCTGATAGCCTAATACTCCGGTCGACGTCTGTATTCAGCTCCAGATCTCACGTTTGACCCACAGGTGCAGGGCAGGCAACTCGGAAAAAAAGGACCTTCGATCAGCGAAATGAATTGTAGTACTGATGGACGCATGACGGCAACAGTGTCAGAGGGGCGCTCTGCTGGAGGCCACAACGTAATCCTCAACTCTATCTGATATACGGCCAGATGCCGCGTAGTGTTTTCTAGCTAGCGGGTCTGTACCTATGTAGTGAACACAGAATCCGAGCGGGTCGGTGTTGGACTCTGGGTAGTCATGAAAATATTTGGTGTTCAAAAGGCAATGTGGCAAGATGGCCGAGCGGTCCAAGGCGTGTGACTCAAGCGAAAGCTTGCCTGCTTCAGTGGGTTTCTCATCTGGGTATCCAGGCGCGGGTTCAAATCCCGCTCTTGTCAATTTTTATTCCCATTGCCTCAGCATCGAGCAGGTCCTCTTGGAGAAAGTGCGGTCGGACGTGTGAGTTCTAGAGAAGTTAGTTCACGGTGGGCACGGCGGCAAAGAGGCCACTGACACGTGCGATAGTGGAAGTTGCACGACAGTCTGTGACGGCCCTGGCCAGCTCAACACACCCGCTATCTCCACAAGCCCGCGATACTCTCTTCCACCTTTGTCCCCTCTGGCCTCCGCATTTCCTCTTGCACATCGCTACCTTGATCATCCATAGCGCCCTGCCACGTAATCGCCCAGCGTGGGCCCAATAAACACCCACTCCCAGACCCGAGCTTCTTCGTCATGCTCACAGCATCGCGCAGGGCTCTGCGATCCACCCTGGATGCATGTCTTTCCCCTTGGGGACTTCTCGATTGGCTCAGGCTTCTCTGGTGCATAACTGTCCTTTGGTATGAGCTCGCGTCCTTCGCTTGGTCGCTCAGAGCGTGTTCCTGGCCAGACGCCCTTCTATCGCCGGTGCGTCGGTCTGTTCTCCTGTTCACTTCCCCCAACCGAGCACTGACATGTGTACGATCCAATTTTGCTGCGAAGAGTCGAGAACGGCCGGCTCACATATTACTGGTCGCGGACCCTCAAGTACGGGAGCTGTCAACGTCCAGGGCTGCGGGATTTGCCGCGGTTCGCCTGCATCTTACCGAGCTCGCACTCAGACGCAACTGGTTCTTTGCGTCGCGGCGGAACCCTGATGTTGTCGTTTTCTTGGGCGACATACTCGCCTCATGGAGATTGATCAGGTCTGACGAAGAGTGAGTCTCATTCCACATTCGGAACATGGGTCCTGCGCCCGACCGCCCGCGCGGTTTCCCAAGTAACGTGGGGTAGTTCGATCGCTCCGGGTTCAGCTCCAGCAATCAGGACCACTCGCACCTCGCGTCGACCACCGCGGAAGAGAGCGCTTGACAGCGTGGTCGCCGCACCACCAGCTCCTGGTGCAGTGGGTGCCTTGTCAAGCGCCCATTGGCGGTGGATGCGGGATGCGAGGGGCCTTGTGCTTTAGCTGGAATCACCCCTCCAGTGTCAAAGCGCCTGTGAAAGGACTCCATTTGACCTGGTGCTGAACCAGTTGCGATACGAGTGTGAAGATGTTGTGGACCTTGCACGGCTTCAATGCCTAGGGTCAGGGGGTGCGAGGAGATTCTCTCTTTCGACGCCCAGTCGTTTACCCAAGAAAATCAACGGTGGGGATCGTGTCGTGCGCACGTTTGTTTGCTCTTCCTAGCAGACAGAAAGGGCGCAGCAACTTATGGTTCCCTCTATGGCCGTAAGTCTCGTTATGTTCGAATATGTACCAATAATCCTTTTCTTCGGGTCATCAGTTACAGGCGCAATTACGACAAGTTCGTGGATATATTCCGCTCGGATCGGCGCATACCGTCGTACTTTGTACCTGGGAACAATGACGTTGGGTGCGTGCTGCGTTTCATATCGCCCAGTGTCAAGTGGATTGAACTATCTTGGCTAGGCTGAACATTGATCCGTCAGCTGCTCGCGAGGCCCGCCGGCGATTCACAACCCATTTTGGGCCTCTTAATCATAAAATACATGTTCACAACCATACGCTTGTAATGTTAGATGCTGCTGGACTGGTAGAAGAGGACTATCTGAGAGCAGCGAAGTACATTGATTACGATCACTGGTCTCCATTGCCGCATGGCCCGGTTGAATTCGTCCACTCCTTACGAGAAGGTACGTCACGCACGCAGCGTCGGCTGGGAGACGATATGACAATTAAGCTCGCAACTCTCTTCAGAAAGCGAACGCTATCCGGACATCCTATTTACGCACATCCCACTCCATCGACCGGAGACGGCATCTTGCGGGCCACTCCGCGAGAAAGGGTCGATCCGCCGCGGTGTCGGACCTAACTATCAGAACATGCTAGATAAGAAGACGACCACCTTCTTGTTACAAAGCATAACCCCAGAAATCGTTTTCAGGTAAGTTCTTGACTCAAAAGTCTTGTGGTTATATCTGATAGATGTTTGTCGCGTCGCACAGCGCCGATGACAAGGACTACTGCGATTACGTGCACGTCCCTCCACGCGCCGTCATAAAGGCGGTGGACGGCGACTCTCAGGAGGCGAACGACGCCCAGCATCCGGTCGTGCAGAATGTCCGTGAGATTACTATCAAAGCATTCTCGCCGTCCCCCGAGATTAGACATCCTGGCTTCCAATTACTATCCCTGGCTCCTCCTTCCTCCGCCGATCACTTTGAGCCGTCTTTGGCTACCACGCCTTGCTTCCTCCCTGATTACCCTTCGGCATACACCTGGCGCTATATACCCCTGTTCTTCGTGACAACCCTGGTCCTCGTCTTGCTCCGTCGTAAGCAGCGCTCTCCATCTCTCCCTACACATCGGCAATCCATCTTCCGCCGGTCGATTTCGCTTAGTACCCTCCCGCCTGTACCATGGACCCCTCTCCCGCATCCGTCGACGCCCTTCTCCTCAGACTGGTCCCCCAGCACGCCAGGCTTCTTCACCCCCCGGCCGCGCTCCCCGCACTCAGCGAAGAGCATACCGAGCCCTACCGAAGAGTTCCCCAGGGGCTCCCTCCGCGCGCCCCTTCTGAGCGCTCGCACCTCGAATGGGGACGCCGAGCCGCTCCAGACGACGCCCACCCTTCGTGCGACCGCGCATTCGGACCCCGACGCCGGCGGGAGCTCCCAGCACCTCCCCACCGGTCCCACGCACATCGAGGCGGACGAGCTCGAGGACGACTTCGCGTATGGCCTCCAGCGCCACGCCCAGCCGTTGCGGTACAAGATCGATCGCGGAGACGAACCCCTCGGAGTGGTTTCGGACGGACTCGGGATTACGTTCACCCTGAACGGGCAGAGACGGCGGATCTCGCTGTGGAACCCTCTCAAGTGGCGGCAGCGCAGACGGATCCCGAGTGGTGGGGGTGTAGGGGCGCGGAGGCGGAGCGGCAAGCGGGCGTTCTTGAAGAGGGTCGTGATGGACTTGGGGTATATCGTGTGGCCGGCGGCGCTGCTTTGGCTTGGTCTGAGATGGCTGATGGCTTGAACGGCCGCGCGCGAGGGACAGAACTGACAGACCTTGGACCACGACATATCACTATGCACGTATTGATGGCCACCTTGAGAAGGCAAGGACTCTGCTCGCAGTTACGTATATTTAGATGCATAGACTATGTAGCGCTTGGATAGACGTGTTGAGACGATGCCCGAAGAGCTTGCGTGTAGTATGTACATATCGGAAGGTGCATTCGCAGCATACTCCAACGGAGTAGGATTGTAAATGGTGGAATGGTGGGAGGGTGTAGCATGGACTTCGGATGAGTGGGCTGTCGATGTCGACGGTGACGCAGAGGTAGACACACGACACACCTTTCACTCCGACGCTTTGCTGGGATTGTACTTGCACCGTAGCACATCGCTCCATGCAGGCAAGCTCTCCCGACAGGTCCAGTCATCTTCTCCGAAAATCACGCAGAGCGGGTGTAATGCACAACAACGGTTGAATTGACAGAACCAAGTTATACACGGGCATATCCACACCAAACTGGACTCCACAAGTGTTCTCTCATCAACAGTAGGTCCCAAATGCAAGGCACGACAGAGATAGGGATCTACGAGGGAATCCGGCGAGTGTAGATACGCGAGGATGTCCTGGGGTATTTGATTTGCTTTCCTCGATCGCGCTCGTTCCAACTGGCTGCCAACACGGCGCCTGCGGCCTCGGCGCTGACCGGCGCGACCAAAGTCGCATATGTCCACCGACGCTTCGATCAACGTCAACGATCAACTTGACGTTGTACGAGGCCTCGCCAGGCATATAAGTCACAGCGCCAAACTCGCACTGCGACCTCACACCACTGTACGTGCGCAAGTACCGAGTAAGTCTCAGCAAGGCAGCTTTGTGCACCATTAGACGCACATGAAGGGCTCTCGGGCTCTCGGGATTCGCCCATCACTACCCATCCGGCTTCGTGCCGCTGGTAGTCGTCTTGCTCTGACCGTCCTCTAAGTCCGTCCTATGGACTCGGGCCCCTGGCACTCTGGCCTGGGGAGTCAGTCCTCTGCCCGACCCCACTATAGACGGTGAACGTTAAGCTTACAGATACAGATCAGGAGTTCAATGTGCTCACTCGATGTCATCTGACCACTTGCAATCGCATCACCGCCATGCTCTCCGGCATCCTCGTATCGCTCTCACAGCAATCAGGTTCTCGGAGCAACAGCCCGATGTGCATATTCACACAGCTGCGGGACCATGGTGAGACAGGAATAACATAGCAGCAAGTCCGAACAACATACCAGTCGATCCTGGGTCGCCTCTAACCCCGAAGGTGACTCCAGCTGAATCTGGCAGTCAACCTTACTGTCGAGGAAAGGAGTCCATTGGAGAGATAGCGCAGAGCGCTCGGCCGCTGATATACCTGAGTTCAGGGCCGGCTGAGGGCCTAACCGTCACGTGTAGAAGACGCGTGAGTTAGACGCGCGGACGCGAGGGCGCGCCGCGCGACCGCCCGGTTCACGAGGCGCGTTCTGTCTCGACTCAACCACGTCTTCCTCCTCGCAAGCTGCAGTAACTCCCATTATAAACATCTCTTATGGCTCCCGCTGCAGCAAGGAAGCCGAGAGGAAAGAAGGCAACGAAGGAAAACACAGTCAGTGGATTATTACGTTACTGAAGTACCTGTGGCATCAGGTTCACTATCTTCTCCGTAGTCACGCCAAACTTCCTTGCTCCATGCCTTCGCGGTTCGTTCAACGTCGAAGAGGGCAACCCCGGTGACCTCGGCTGCCCCCTCCGAGAATGGCTCTACCGCGGGAGAGGATGTCATCGACATCCCGTCCTCCGACCCGGAACCGCTCGCGGACCTGCCAGTGGATTCTTCCAGCCCGATGACCGTAGACGAGGATCTGGGACAGAAGGACAGTGCCCCGTTGCGAGTGGAAGTGAAGTTTGGTGAGTGACGTACGCCAGGTATATTCGTCCGCCTCAACAGTATACTAGGTTCTGCAAATCAAGCTGGCGGTAGCCGTGACGCACCCATAGTGGTCGCCGACAGTAGCCCCATCGCTTCCCCAGTATCTCAGCCGAAGCCCAACAACGCAAAGCTTCCTCCTCCACCTAAACCACTATTCTCGATCTTCGCGCCAAAGAAACGACCTGACGAGCGGGAGTCATCACCAAGCAAGCTCTGCGGCAAACCAACCACTGTTCCTCCTCCCTTTCCAGATGAGATTACTCAACACGTACGCGGACCTCAACTCGAAGCTAGCGTACCCCTGACACAGCACACCCGTCGCGATGCTCTCCGCACGCGAACAAATGCCGAAGAGGATAGCGCCATCTATTCCCGACTTAACCGGAGCTCTAAAACCCCATCTACGAACAACACTGATTGTACTTCCTTTGCCACCCTGATCGAGCCTTCCGACTCTACCGCCACAGATTACTGTGTCAACAGTATACCACCTCATCACCGACAATACCCTGCCATCCGCCGCCTCTTGAACCCACGTTCCCCTCCAGCGTCCGCCTTAGCCGATGGCTCAGAGAGCTCCAACTTGCTCTGGAATGACAAATGGCGCCCGAAGCGCGCTGACGAGGTCTTGGGTAACGAGCAGTCCGCGCTCTACCTTCGAGACTGGCTCCTTGCTACGAGACTACGCATCCACGGCACGGACGAAACACCGGCGTCTAGTCAGGTAGCCTCTGACAAGAAAGGAAAGCAGAAGGCAGCAAAGGCCAAACCCAAAGCAAAGGGCTCTCGTGGTGTGAAACGGCCTCGTATAGTCCGAGACGTTGGGCGCAAGCGGCGACGAGTGGACTCCGAGGAACCTGAGGACTTCTGGATAGCAGACGACAACCCGGACGAAGGCGCGGATTCCGACGATCCTATAGACCTCATCTTCGCATCCGAAGATGATATCATTGGGCAGCCTATATCGCGTCTCAAACGCATAGGCGACAACGACGCTGAGATCGATTCAGAGCTCCTTCCCATTGATGAGACGGTTGAACACCCACCTGGGCCACCATCGGACGGCGTTCTCCCATTTGCCTACAAACCCGCGAAATTCGGGGAAACAGTGGGGAACACGATACTCTTGGCCGGCCCCTCCGGTTGTGGGAAAACAGCCGCCGTCTATGCCTGTGCAGAAGAGCTGGGCTGGGAGGTCTTCGAAGTCTATCCCGGCGTCGGAGAGCGAAGTGGCGCCGCGTTGCAGAAGCTGATAGGCGACGTCGGCAAAAATCATCTGGTCAAGCAGGCTCAGTCGAAGGTCAAGTCCGAGAAGGACAAAGCACTGGCGGAAGCGAAACACAATTTCTTCGCCAGACGCGTAGTGTCTGATGACGAGACCGACGTCTCAGAGGCCCCTCCACAAGCCGCAGGCGTCCAGGTCCAGGTCCAGGAACCGCCTCAGCCTGAGCCGGCGGAGGTCAGCCAGTCAATTATTCTAGTTGAGGAGGTCGACATCCTTTATCGCGAGGATGCAAACTTCTGGCCGACGATGATCAAGATCATCAAGGACTGTCGTCGGCCAGTAGTGATGACTTGCAATGGTAGGCTGTTCATCGTCTAGATGTGGTGATTATGCTCACGAAGCTGCAGATCCTCACCTTGTCCCAACACACGATCTACCTCTGCAGGCTACGCTCCACTTCGTGCCTTGTCCACCTCTTCTTGTTTCGTCATATCTGCGTCTGCGATCTTCGACTGCAAGTCGTAAGACAATTACCGGCTTGGCGAGCCAGCTATACGAGGGCCTGGCAAGGCATGTTGAGCGACAAGAGTTTCGTTCCGACAACACACTGCATCCTCACTGGATCTCTGAGACGCCACCCGACTTACGGCGTACGATCAACCAGCTTCAGATTGGTACTCATGCACTCCATGAGGACGATTATCGCTCCATGGATAATCCTAGCAATGACCAATCTCTGCAAAGGCTGAAGCGAATAGCTTGGTCGCTAGAGCTTTGCTCCTTCTCAGACAGTTGGCTGCGCCGACCTGATGCTGAAGTTCTGCGTGTGCGTATGTCGTTGTATGGGGAAGTAGTTGCATGTTGACACCGTCGCAGGACTTGTTGGCGAATGGCTCCTCGCCTTGCGGGGACGATGTACTCGGCTTCAAGCACCTGTCGGCAGAACCCTGCGACATCTCATCAAATCTCCCAGTAACGTTCTCAACCTACCATCGCGACGAGACTATCCGTGAAGAGCTTCTATCGCACGCCAAACAATTCGACCCTGTCCCTGACGACAATCTACGCGACATCCCAAGCCTGCCTTCGCTCCACACTGCCCACTGTGGTACCCTTCTCCCGATCTTCGATCGCCTCCGCATTCCCCGCGAGGATCTCGTCCGGGACCCCAACGCGATCTTCCTGGACTACGAGCCCTCGATTCGTTATATGGTTCGTGCCGACGACGCCTGCGTTGCAACCAACCTCGCGAGTGGGCGATTTGAGGGCACGACTCGCCGCACGCGAAACTCACAGCGGAGTCAGCTGGAACTCCAGCGGTGGGTCCCTCTAAACGAGGATGAGCGTGACATCCTCTATCGCACTGCGCTCGAGGTGAACGATGGAATGCCAGCGGCGCAGCATGCGCCCCCTTTGTAGCACAACTGTGTACAGTGTGTCTCCTGTATATGTAAACGAACGATTTATCGGAGTATGCAAACGGTTAAGGGCAGAAGAGAGGCGGCTTGAATCGATTCTTTTGAACATGTTGCATTCGCGCTCTTCATGGCGTTGGGGGCTTCACGTCTCGGTTCTGCTTCTGAGACTGAGCGACACTACGGGTATTGTGCCCGTACCACAGCCCTGCTGACACCCCACGTAGTCTCTGACTTGATCGCCCCTCTCCAGAAGATGTGCCGTTGAGTCTGTCTATCTTTATGACCGAAAATGTGGGCCTCGCTGCTTTGGTCACAGGATACCTCATAAACTGGCGGCGGGTACGACTCCAGGAACGGCGCCCTTGATTCTCGTACAAATGTCATCATACACAGCCTTTCCTCAGACGATCGTGTGAGTCAGCGGCCGTCTAACAATCACTTCCAGTCTCGAAAATGAGACTTATCTACTTGCTAACTCCATGACGATGCATGGAAAGGTTTCATGACCAGGTGAGGATTGCACCGTATGCGATATGTGATTGGTGTGGAATATATTAGTAATAACAGCTCGGTCTGTCGTATTAGATAGTAGTGTAAGACCTGATCCTGAGCAGCACATACGACATGGTTACTGTAGGCATTAGCACTGAACAATTAGAAGGCTATGCGAGGTAGTAAGATTAGGATATATGATACTGAATGCAGCTTCTTCAAGCACGCCAAGAGTCAAGGGTAGTCTGGGAGTTGCCTCCTGGAGCTTCCTCAGCCCCAACTTGTCTCTGAAGGCCGAAGAGATGCACAAGCTCTGTCGGAAAAGAGGATTAGTCGACAAGAGGCTGAGCATATTGATTTACGAATGTACCGACCTTGTAGGCGGGCTTCCTTCTTCTGCCTCTTGGTGTCAGCGTTCTTGATGCCGGCAAAGGCCTATAGGACGTCCGTAAACACTGTGCCCTTGTGCTTACAAACGATTGAACGATTGTGAAGCATACCTCCGAGATAAGCTTCTTCTTTTTCTCTTGGATCTCCATGACCTATAATCGCGTCAGCGTGATCCTCGGGGATGGGCATGGACCAAAGTGTACCTTGGACTCAACAGTATTCTCGGCAATGAGCTGGTAGACGTTGACTGGCTTCTTTTGACCGATTCTATAAACCTTCTCAGGGAATGCGATGGCCTTTCATTTCAAGTCGACCTACCGGTTGCAACGGTCGATAGCCTGGGACTCGATGCCTTCCTGCCACCAACTGTGATGACACAACTCAGTTCGACGGGACGATATAACCTACTTCTGGAGCACTCACGGATCCATCCTAGTATTGGTTACATCAGCGGCCAAAGTCAACGTTTAGTCTCAAGCACACTCACAAGTAGACATTGTTCGCAACGGTCAGGTTCAACCCCAGTGCACCCGCCTTCAAAGAGATGAGCATGACACGAGGATTCACGCCATCGGATTCCGGGTTGCTCGGCGTAGGCTCGCTAGCAGTGCCACAAGACTTTTTACCCTTCGCCTCGCCTTTTCCCTCGCCTTTGCCCTTGTTCGACTTGGTGCGACGAGAAGCGAGGTGGTCTTCATCATCACTGATGAAGTCGTCATCATTGTCCTGCTCGTCGTCATCGAGCTCATAGTCGCCATCGGCACCATCGTCAATGGGACCTTCAACGAGGACAGAGTGAGAGGAGCGGACCCTACGAGACCGCTGGGTTGACGCAGGCGCCTGACTGTCGGTAGGCGGGGGCACCGACGCCTGGCTGAAGGAACGTCCACCGCTGGCGGCTTTGATAGGAACGGAGAAACGAGCGATAGTCTCCTGACGGCGCTTAGCAGACATCTTGCCGTCGAAACGGACATACGGAATCCTAAGGGGCAATCAGGACACGGTAGCAAATGACCAGCAACGTACGTACCCTTCCTTGTCCAAGGTCTCCGCAATCTACAACGTCTCCTCAGCTGAAATGCTCATGTGAATGCAGGACGTACTGACCTTATCCAAAAATGATGTGAATTGAGAGAATACGAGGGACTTGTCGTTGTCGGGAGTGAGTCTGAGCAAAGTCACAAGTTGGTCGATCTTGGCTGATGAACCCGTCCGGAGCTCATTGTTGTCCTCTTCCATATCGTCGTCGAACCTCACGGGAGCTTGGGTGAGGTCCGTCGGCGGAGGAGGTTCCACAAGTTGTGTCAATTCAAGTGCGCGCCGATCCTGGCCACTCAATGTCAGACTCCTACTTGAAGGCCGATGACAAAACACAAACCATCGGACACTTGGGATCTCGAGAGATAACTTCCGTGATACTATGCGTATTGGTTAGAGAATGAGCGCACATACTCAGTCCTCCTGTCGCTCACCAGGGTAAACAAAACATATGTCCACAGAACGTGATCCGCGGCTCGCTGAGGATGCTGAAACAGATGGGGCATTCGTCGCAGTCTTCTATTGCCTGCGCAAGAATGCCTTGAAGGCGAGTCTTCTCCTGGGCAGTAATCTGGACAGGAGCAGACCCATCCTCTTCTTCCTCCGCAGCTTCGTTTCCGGATCGGAGTTGCTCGAGATAGTTAGGCGGCACAAGACCAGGGTGAAGCGCGAGTTGGCGCATACGAGTCAACAAGCTGAGCACATTAGACTGCACAGCAGCGGAATGGATAGATCCGTGCCGGTGGAGCAAACTCCCAACCCGCTCCTTAGACAATTGTTCGACGGCGTCATACATCTCCTACGTGCCACTCAGCGATGTGAACGTGTACTGGTAGAGCCAGCGCCTTACTCTGGCCTGCGGTGTCAGCGTCACCGGAATCATGGTGATCTCTACAGGCGGCAACGGTACGAGAGGCTTCCCGTCCTTGTCTTGCATCTGAGGAAACACAGATCAGGTTGGCGTCTGTCCATAAACAAGGCAAAGCCACTCACCTCCTTCGTTCGCCGAATACAAATGTGGCTCATCAAAGCCTGCGAAACCGTGAGCTTCTGATCAACTCCAAGAGCTGTTGATCATACCCGCAATAGCTCAGCACCAGCAGGGTCGCCGTCCTTAAGTGGACGAAGGACCATGCGCTTGAAAAAGTCCTCGTTGTCCAAAGGACTACAAATTCTCAAGAACGTGAGGATGGACCCCAAATCCTGGATGGCCGGGTAAGCATGCTATGGTAGAGTAGGACTACAGCACCCGTTCTACCTTCGGGGAATTGATCTGTTCACATTGAAAAAATGAGTGATCATACTAGACACGAGATAGTCCTACTACTTACGATCGGGGTACCAGTAAGCACCCAGCGGCGCTGAGCGGTCAGCGCACATACCGCCTTCGCCATCTTCGTCTTGGAATTGCGAATATTATGGCCCTCATCCAGGATGATCCGCTACACGCACACAGTCGTCACTGGCTCGCAGGGGCACGTTGCTTGGCAAGTCCGCTTACCTTCCACTGCATGTCAAACAAGCCCTTGTCCGTCTTCTGCCTCTTCGCAGCAGGCCCACCAGCCTTACCGACAAGGCTGAGCTCGTGGTCTTGCACGACCGTCTGATATGTCGTGATCACGACGTCATACTTCTTGAGCTCGGTGGGAGACATATCACGGGTCTTGCCGTAGTACACGCAGGACGTGAGTGCGCCAGGCTGGACATGGTCCTCGATCTGTTTCTCCCAATTCGACATAACCGAAAGCGGCACGACTAGCGGTGGCTTTGTCAAGATAGGTCTTGTAACAGACTGTGTCGCATGACCTACCGATGAGCGTCGATCTCGAATGGTCCTTCGGGATATCCGACTTGGTGGCGAGCACAAGCGCGAGCATGGTCAAAGTCTTACCCAGGCCCATGCTGTCCGCACAGAGTGCTCCACGCCCGAGAACGGGCACTGCCTCCTGAGGAGTCTTGGTCGCAACTACGAATGCGTGATTAGCCATAAGTGCGCATACACATGGCAGCACTTCGACTTACTGTTGTAATAGTACCTCTAGGGCATCCAACAATTGTGTGAGCGTTGAACATGAGCTGACAACGAAAGTCATATCACCTTCTGTCCCTGCTTCAGCTGCCAGAACTGAACCGGTTTGTCATCTTCGCTCTTGGGTATCTGAGGATATTCGTGCTCAATGCACCACTGCAGCGCTTGGCTCTATCTCGCGAGTCAGCGCTGTCACTCTGGGACGACCTTCCGACTGACCTGATGCCTCAACAAGTCAACCTTCAGCAGTCCGCTCGCAATCCCGGGAGGGTTCGGATGGACGGGCAACCCGAGCACGTCGTCCACAGAGCATAGTGTGTCAAGCAACGAAGCACGACGGCCCTCGTCATCCACTTTCTCCAGATTATTCAAGATCTGTCGGAGCTCCTGCGCCCTTGCGAAGGCCTCCTGCTGCTTGCGTATAGCTTCTTGCTGCGCCTCCTGCTGCTTGCGAATAGCTTCTTGCCGTGCCTCCTGTTGCTTCCGCAAGGCCTCCTGCTGAGCAGCCGACATCTTCTGTGCGCGCTGCTGCTGGTTGGGATTAGGTGCAGCTCGCTGGGGGACAGAAACGGGAGCGTGGATAGGGGCGCCGCGCTGCGTAGGTGCACCTGGTACGGGTCGGATGCCGTTGGGGCCTGGTTTCGGGAAACCGCGGCCACCCGGGGTGGCCCAAACGAGTTTGGGCTCTAGAATATTGCGCCTCTCGGTAGGACCGTAGATCTTCAAAGTCCTAAAATCTGGAGATCAGACTGCGAAGATAAGGGTGGCTATGTTCGACCCACATGTCAAGAGAATAGGTGAAGCCCTGCACTAGTAATGTCGCACAAGTCAAATAAGAACTTCGTCAAAGTATAAGTAAATGTCGGGCGCGTACAATTGCCTTCATGCATCACGCCCTCTACGGTGACGGAACCACTGTCCAAGAGGGGTGCGAGCTTCGCTGCGATGTTTCGTGGAATATGGCCGACCTATCATATTGGATGTCTTAGCGCATGTGCAACCTATCCGAAGTCTTAGTAATGGCAGACCTGTGTGCCGCCGATGTTCTTGACTTGGATTGCATTCCTATATCAAGTATGCGTTATGTCTGCGTAAGACCTACAGGAAAGTGCTCAACTACTCACCTGTCATATCTATTGTGAGGCTCCCGAACAAGTAACACCTCTTCTCCTGGGCCGACCAGCCCTATATTTCAAGTGTTAGCCAATGACAATCTGACATCAGCAAAAGCGCCATGTCGTTGCAGACGCGAGCTTGGTTTAACAACGGCTCGCGTATGTGACGCAATGGCAAGCTCACTAGCAACAATTTGGCGTTTCTGCTGATGCTGGTCGCGGTGGAAGCCATACCTTTGTAGTACTGGACCCCGACTATACTTGTCCTCAGCATCACATATAGCTCGTCCCTGTTCTCTTCCTCAGGTTCGTCCTCTATCTCTTCAGCCAGCCGCGAAAGCTGCGACAGGGGTGGCCCAGAAATACTGCGTAGAGGTTGCGAGGACGATGGCTGTGAGTAGCTCGGCTGCGAGGAACTTGGCGGGGTGTTCTGCGAAGCAGATGAGGATTCATATTGCAATTTCCGTTTCTTCTGACTAGGACCGGGCGTGGAGAGAGCGGGGCCCTTAGCGCTGGCGGGAATGTCCGCGGAGTCGATGCGTCCAAGGCCCACTGCGAGTCGAATCTTGCTCTGGTCTGCAGGGCTGCGGCAGCGTCAAAGACCGTCATTCAGTAATACAGGATCGACTTCAGTACGTACGAGAGGTTGCTGAAGCCAGGAACAGTCTCAAGCTTTGCTGCGGCTAGCTTCGTGAGAATGTCGGGCGTAACGCATCCCCTGATGGACGTGGGGAAGGCAAAAAGTCAATCAGCCAGGAGCGAAGCGCGTGTAGCAAGAGAACCATACCAATGCCGCCATTCGACAGTCTCCCCGTACTTGCCTGCGCTGACCTGCCCGTACCTTAGGGACCCAAGCTCAATGGGAGACCCTTTGCATGGCGCCGGGCCATGGCAAGTCGCGCGACTGCTTTTGCTATACTATACGGAACGCGTTCAGCAACGCGCTCACACATGACATCGACGTGATCCGTACCTCAAAGACGTGAATCTTGGACATCCGCGATGGTCTGAGTAGCGGAGGTGATGGGGGATGGGAAAGCGGGGTTGCCGCATTTGGCCACCGACGCGACGCGTCTTCTCGTTTTCCCACGCCAAACGCGATGGGTGCCGTTCTGGGCCCTGGCCTGGCAGCACGCGCCGACACTGATCTTCTCCTACTCTGCTATGCTGTAATTTGCGCTCTGCCCCTCGTTGACTTCAATCTTACGTCTATTTACTGCCCGACTGTGGCCTCAGATGGTACTCCCAAGACTGGTCAACTTCGCACGCTTGGTATGGCTCCTGCTCGTTGCATGGTACGAGCTTGGGGTTTTCTACTCCCACGCGTCAAGTTGCCCATGGCCAGATGAAACCCTCCGAATCTCGGTACGTCGTCTAGGAAACCATCTTGAGTTAGGGCTCATTTAAGCAGTCTCGGTTTCGCGTAGACTACGTCGATCACTTCGCCTACCCATGTACTCATAGTGGCAGACCCACAGATCCTCGACCGTCGTTCATATCCAGACCGCCCACCGTGGCTCGTGCGACTGAGCCAGCTTATAGTAGATCTGAACCTGCGCAAGAGTTGGCGTGGTGTCCTGCGGCAGAACCCACATGCTGTAGTATTCCTCGGCGACATGATGGACAACGGGCGGTTTGCCATGTCGGACGACGAGTGAGTCTTTCGTTGCCGTTAAGACATATCTTGCGTCCCTTGCTGGCAACGCCGCCGGCCTCACGTTCCCCCGAGCCTCATTTCGTATGAGGAGACGGCAGGGGAGCCCCCGAGACGGTGTCAAACCATCCGTCATGACATAAAAGTGAAGTGGAAGTCGTGATCATTTCAGCTGTTCCTGCAATGTTCTTCGGATCAGTATCAATGGGGCGGACCACAATTGGTGTAGGGATTAGCACGGGCTGCCCATGCGCATTCTGACCTGACACGCACCCAGACTTGTGCGCGTATCCAAGTCAGACGGATACTTATTAGAGGTCGAGTAACCTGTGTATGAGGGGACCATGTCGCAGCGTGCTATTAGCTTATCCTGGCGATACCGTCTAGGGATCTCTGCGGAGACTGAGAATCCACACGACGAGCAGCCTCTCAAACACAGCAGCGCCAGTGCAACTGCCAGATGCCCGCTCTGTCTCCATCAACCACGCCCTAGGGCAGGTACAGTGTTGATGTCCAAATTGCCCCGATTTGTGAAGCCCTTCGACCACAGTGGGAGGAAGTTTCACCTCTCCCCCGGTCCATGGGTTTGCCCCGTCGGGTACGGGTTTCGATCCAGTCGACCAAGCTCTCACGTGGGCATACATACCCCACCTGTGTCCAACCCTAGTTCAATATCGCAGCGACGTCCGATTGTCTGCTCTGCAGTTCCTGTTGGCGTTTGTTGGCTTGTGAGCTTTGGAGGCTTGGATTCCGTTCCGCTTCATGCTCGTGCTTGGCTAACGTCCATTCAGATACGAAAAGTACTTCCGAAGATTCAAGAGCATATTCGCCGCAGACGAGAATCTCCCTGTCTACTACCTCCCAGGAAACCATGATATCGGGTAACTCCGTCTGGCGCTGCATCTGCAATCCCCCCACTCATACTAGTCTTTCCATTCAGACTTGGTGCATCATCGCCGAGATACCAATTCTCCGACCATGCTCTCGAGCGATATGTCACACATTTCGGCGCACTCAACCAACGCATCATCCTCGCAAACCACACGGTTTACATGATAGACGCCCCCGGCCTAGTAGACGAGGAACTTGCGCGCGTATCTGCCGGAATGTCCTACTCTCAATGGGCGGAGGCCAGGCCCGACCGCACAGTCGCATACCTACAATCTGCAGCTCAAAGTACGTATGACGCATCCTGCGCCTTGCCTTTCACGTGCAGAGATTTGCCGAGACTTCGCCCCCGGGCGCACAAGATGTTATCACTTCTCGGTCTTCGAGCGCTGACGATATCTGTCCGTCGTATTCTCCCAGGCGTGAGCGCGGATCCCGACCAACCGACTTTGCTCTTTACCCATGTCCCGCTCTTCCGGCCCGAACACGCAGACTGTGGGCCTCTCCGCGAGCGCGGCACCATCCGCCAAGGAAGGGGCCTCGGGTACCAGAATCTGCTCACGGAGCAAGCGTCACGGCTCGCACTGCAAAGCCTCCGGCCCGCCATCATCTTCAGGTAATGTACAAGTTCGGACCCTGATCGTCCATGCAATGCAGATCCTGATAGGAAGTACAGCGGGGATGACCACGACTACTGCGAACATGTACACACCGTCCCCGTAACCGACACGAAGCGTCCGTCGCCTCCCCTCTCCGTCCCAGAGATCACCGTCAAGTCCTTCTCGATGGCCATGGGTGTCCGTCATCCCGGCTATCAGCTTCTCTCCCTCGTCCCTCCTTCTACAGTGGGAACCAGTCCATCCTTCGCGCACCAGCCTTGCCTCCTCCCGGACCAGCTCGGCATCTACCTCAACGCATACCTCCCCCTTCTCTCGCTGACGCTGATCGTCCTCTTCGCCGCAAACGTTCGCCGTGTGCTATTACGCCACCGCTCGGGCCGGTCCGGCGATTCCCTGTCGATACCCCTCGCTTCCTCAACCGAAGAGGACGACGTGAACTACGACCTTCCTCCCCCAAGCGCCTGGCGCTCAAAAGACTTCCCGCGCGCCGCTTGGTCGCGATCATGCACGTTCGTCCTCGGGGGCCAAGTGCGCCGCGTCACCCTTTCTCTCCCAGGCCTAGTCAGGCTCGTGGTGAGGTTCCTGTGGAGCAGCGGTGGCGGGGGAAGAGACAGCGACAGCGCGCGGAGGAGGGACGGCATTGTGAAGGGGTTCACGAGAGACTTCTTGGAAGCTGCATGGGCGCCTGTTGCACTGTTCGTCGCGATTGCGTGGTGGGTTTGGTGAGCGTATAGAGTACGTGGCGACGTTTCGGATGTCGGGGTTGCGTTTGGGGCGTGCTCTTCGTGTGTGCACTAGTATTGTAGCCTTGTGTTGCAACGTAATCTATACTGCGTATTCGGTCCTCTGGGTCTCTCTGTCTCGATTGCGCTTGAGCGTAGAAGCATTTTCCTGCGCCTGGATGGCTCGATTCCAGAGGTCTAGGTCAAGGTCCCGCGCCTCTTCCACGACGATGGCGCGAAGGACCAGTCGCGGGTTCACATCCACAGGAGGGGCATGAACGTGCACTTCCGGTATCGAAAGTGGTTTCTGTTCTCCGCATTAAGATTGAGTGAGTCGCCACAGCAGTGGATGATTCCACACGGCCTACATTGGTCAATTCGAGGTAGCCCAACACCATCACGGTGGATCTGCCTTCGCGCAGCCAGAGAGAGGCCTTCGATGTGCTCAGGCAGAGCGAAATGTCCACGAAGAGCGCGTCCTCGCCGTCGTGTATCATAATGATCGAAGACGTGCTGTCGTCGTGCAATAAGCTATATGCGAGGAGGTCAGAAAACCGGCTCGCATAAAGTATATCCCCCGTCGGTAGGATGAACACTCGCCGTCCTGCGACTCTCAGCTTCCTCGAGGCGAGGAGGGAAGAGATGGTCGACAGTCGCGTTGGTGTGCCATGTTCGATTTGTTGATTCGGCATTGGTCAGACCCGTCCCGGGAAAAAACCTCCGAATGAAAAAACCAGACCGGCTGAAGCAGATATCAAGCACTGGTGCCACAGAGTGTCAAGTGTCAGCCTGGGCTGTGGGCGGTTGTGGTACCAGCTTGAGTTCCTCCTTCAGGGCGCTTAGGAAACGAACCGTCATCGAGAACGCCGGGACGCCGTGCAGATGGTTCAATGGGCTGGTGTACATATGTAGTTGATTGTGCACTTACTTACGCTGCACAACGCTCTTCAAAAACATCCTCAAGTGAGAAAGGGTGGCCCTCAATGCAGCGTCCACGCATCTCGATGGAGTCGAGGGCAACGTTCTGGGCCGAAGTAGTCAACTTGAAGTGGTGGATACCATGTACACATGAGCATATGTCTCTAGCCAAACTCTTGGGAGGTAGATTAGGGAAGTCAATAGCAAGAACAATTCCGTTGGATTCAAGGACCAATAAGAGTACTGCACGCTCGGCAAGCAGCCTAGAGATACAATTGTACTCCATGCATATTCCTTACGGGTCAGCTAGCAAGTAAGTCGTCACACCAGCGAGCAACTGTGCAATAGGTGTTATATCTACATGCTCTACACCCCCATAGGACCGGTGATTTGCGGTAACCGCGCAGCTGACGGAATTTGAAGGATCGAATTGAAGGGCTACGAATATTCCCATCCACGCAGCTCTCCACATGTGCTCCGCGCACACGAAGCACAACGGCTTCTGTCCTATCACCGTCGAACGAGCTCGCTGATATTCGATGACGCGCGAACAGGAACGTCAGTCGGATGACAGCGTCAGCGCATAGTTGTGTCCATCCATTGAGATGAAACGGTCCAGAGTCCAGACGCCAGTCAATGAATAAGATGCCTCCGGGGACAACAGTCATCCACACGAAGTACGTCAATCCCTGCGCGTCATCCATAGGGCAGGTGTGCCGGCCACGTCGAGAGTTGACACAGAAGACGGTCATTGCCCCTTAGCTTGAGGTCTCACCCACCACCGTCTTCGTCGGAGGCAGTAGGAGGTCGGCCTGATGCGTCTGCATGTCGTACCTGTTCGGTGGCAGAATCATTCATCTAGACGCAGGAATAGACGACAAGCAGACCCATACGAGCACCAGTGCGCCCGATAGTCACGTCAGGATATGATGCAGGCTCACAGGGCTCGAGCTAGGGAGCCTGAACAGATACCAGAACCAGCAACTTCCTCTCAGCAGGAACCCAAGAAGGCGTAGTCCAGGAGGCCAGGCTGCCAGTATGGAACGCTCGAAGATGGCGTGAACAAGATTGCAAGAAGGTGCGATACGCAGCATGCATCCATCAGGGACGCACGGGACCGGTGATAGACCGACAGCCACCGAGCAGCCAGGTCCACAGTGCGTCGCTCAACGAGACATGGCGTCCCGCGCAAACGGCGGATAGACGTCCAGCCTGACGTGAGGGACAGGAACCAGGAGAGGAAGATGGAAGAGTACGGTTCTCCTCTAGGTAGCGAACTACACCGGCCTGGCAAGAACTGGCATAACGGAGGGAGCGCAGCCGCTGGGAAGGCAGATCGGGAGCCAATCCTGGGCGACAAGAGAGCACGAAGCACGGGGAGTTGAGCGGCCGCGGCAAGCGGCTCGGTCACACACCTCGCACAACGTGCACGGCTTTGCCAATGCACGCGTGCAACGCGCGTCCACCGGAATAGCGACGAGTGGAGTGAGAAGCACGCGCGACGCGGCGGATGGCCCTTGGCGATGGGTGAAACCTGATTGATGTCGCCGACGCGATGGCGAGGCGGCTTTTGCTTCGGGCACTGGAGGCAGACCTCGCAGGATGGAAGTGGAGGAGATGGGGCGGCGCAGGACGCTGCGAGCGAGGGGGGGGGGAAACAGGGACGAGAGACATCGGTAGATAAGGGGAGGGAAGCCCGAAAGAGCGGCATCACCGCTGAGGAACGCAAAGAGGCCGGAGATGCATCAGCGGTCTAGAGTTCGGATCTCTTGCGTCGATGTTGTTAGAGAGGGACCCGATATATTCGACCGCCACGGAAACTGGCGTGGGCGAACAGGGCTGAGGACGATGAGTACATAAGGTGGGCGGCCATACAGGCCGGCTCGCTTGGTTCCTACGCTGCTTTATCTCTGCTGCTGCTCGTCGGAAGGATCTCGGAGGCCATAGACGAGATCGCGGAGTGCATATTCCTTGTTGCGCATCGAATCAAAGACGGACGCGGAAAGGGCTGAGCGCGGTGTAACGACGGCGAGAGGATGTACGCACGTTGGTCGGGCGTCGGAGAGGAGCGAGGACGGGTGGTGTGGCCGCTGGCGGAGGCAGAGAGCAGCTCGTCGGCGATTGGCCGGCTGTCGCTGGGGGGCCAGGGCGTGCAGCCCGGCGGGAGGCCGGGCGGGGGGGCGAGCGCAGTGACGACGGGGACGACAGCGTCGGCGATGGGGCCGGGACAGCAGCGACGATCGATCTGCGAGCCTATCCGGGAAGAGAGCTCGCCGAGCAGAGACGGATCTCCGAGCAGGGACTGGGACTCGCGAAGCGTCCCTTCCAGCCCAATCATCCACTCCAAATCGATATTCGCTCTCTCGCCCGTTTCGGACATCACCCTCGACGTATATAAACGTCATCACCGTCCACGAGCTCCCCCAGTCCGCTCCTTCTCCGCCCCCCACCTCCCGCTCCTCATCTCGACGAACACAACAAAACCCATCCACATCAACAAGCCGTACGTATCCACCACTCTTTTTTTATGCTTGATCCCGCCCTCATCCCCCGCATCCCATCCAGACCAATGGCCTCCGACTCTCTTATGCCCAGGAGCGAATCCTTCAATGCCCGCGTCCGCGGCGCATCCCACATCGACTTCAAGACATCCACCACCGGCGTCGCCGCGAAGGCCATGCGCAATGAGCTCAGCGCCCTCGTTAACACTGTCAAGGATCCTGAGACGCGCAAGGTACGCGTTTATCCCCTCTCATCTACACCTCCGATGCTTAGATCCCTTTCGATGCAAGGCCTTCGACACCGAGATGCAGTCGTTCTTCTACCTCTTCACGCGTTACCTTTCGGAACGCGCTCGCCGCCAGGAATTGTGCGCGTCTATCCCAACCCCAACGGATTCATCTACTAATCATTTGCATCTACAGGGACTGGGATCGTATCAAGTCGCCTTCGGAGGACAAGATTGTCCCCTACGCCAAGCTTCCTTCTGGGCCTGCAAACAACCTGAACAAGCTCGCTGTGTTGAAAGTCAATGGTGGTCTCGGAACCTCCATGGGTACGTTCCCATCCTCTCCAAACGCGATCCCCCCTTCATCATGCTCGTCCAGGTATGACTGGCGCGAAGTCTGCGCTTGAGGTCAAGGACGATATGACCTTCCTCGACCTTACCGTGCGCCAGATTGAGCACCTCAACACCACGCACCGCGTCGACGTTCCCCTTATCCTCATGACGTCATTCAACACCCACGAGGATACTCTCCGCATTATCAAGAAGTACGCGAACCAGCAGCTGCGCATCACGACCTTCAACCAGTCGCGCTACCCGCGTATCTTCAAGGAGACTCTTCTTCCCTGCCCGCGCACCGCGGAGGACGACAAGAAGCACTGGTACCCTCCGGGGCACGGTGACTTGTACAACGCGCTCCTCCACTCCGGTGTCCTTGATCAACTTCTCGCCGAGGGAAAGGAGTACCTGTTCGTCTCAAATTCGGATAACCTTGGTGCTGTGTGAGTGGCTATGCACTACTCTCATCCGGTCGCGTTCTGAGAATGCGATGTCTCCAGTGTCGACGACAAGATCCTGCAGCACATGATCGACTCTCAAGCAGAGTTCATCATGGAGGTGACAGATAAGACGAAAGCTGACATCAAGGTACGATGACTTCCACTCCTGCGTCTTGAGTAAGTACGCTAACTGTTCAACTGTTATTCGACAGGGTGGTACTCTCATCGACTACGAGGGGTCTATCCGTCTGCTGGAGGTCGCTCAGGTGCCGAATGAGCATGTGGAAGATTTCAAGTCCGGTGAGAGATAATCGCCTTTTGGAACGATTATCTGTGTACTGAGAGCCCTCCTAGTTCGTAAGTTCAAGATCTTTAACACGAACAACCTGTGGATCAACCTTCGCGGTAAGTACACTGATTCGGCGTTGCTGGGCGTCTACTGATCACACGCGTTCTTAGCACTCAAGCGGATTATGGAGACCGAGGGCATGGAGCTGGACATCATTGTCAACCCGAAGACGACTGACGATGGCCAGGCTGTCATCCAACTCGAGACCGCGGCCGGTGACGCCATCAAGCACTTCAACAACGCGCACGGTGTCAACGTTCCCCGTAGCCGATTCTTGCCAGTGAAGAGCTGCTCGGACCTGCTGCTCATCAAGAGCGACATCTACTCGCTCGAGCACGGCCAGCTCGTCATCAACCCTCAGCGCATGTTCGAGACGACGCCTGTCATCAAGCTCGGCGACCACTTCAAGAAGATCGCACAGTTCCAGAAGCGCTTCAAGAAGATCCCCACCATCATCGAGTTGGACCACTTGACCGTCACTGGCGACGTGTACTTTGGCCGCAATGTCACCCTGCGCGGAACGGTCATCGTCGTCGCGAACGAGGGCCAGAGCATCTACATCCCTGATGGCTGCGTGCTCGAGAATAGGCTGCTCTCGGGTAACCTCAACCTGATCGTGAGTGTTGTCCTACATCCGAATTCATCGAGCAGTTTCTCATCCTATTTCAGGAGCTATAATTGCTGCACGCTCTGCATGTCGAGTCTGCTTGACTGTCCTACCTTGCTTCATAATCGATGGACGCTCTCCTACAACAATGCATTGCTCTTCTGGTTCTCTGCGCCCGTCGTGTCGTCCACCAAAGCACTTCATATCACTTTGCAACACATCACTTTCGACGACATGTGCCCATGCGCATGCGTCATCTCTTTGCTGCCACGCCGTACCCCTTCCTCTACGACAGACACCTATACCTCTTCCGCCGTTACGACGATTTGGGTTCATTCGCTCGTTCATTTAGTACTTCAAATAGATGCGCCGGGGAGGAGCTAACGGACTATGACCACGGTTGATGAGTTCGGATCCCAAAACAACTGATTTGTACGTGTAGGTAGTAATTCACGCAAGGCCTTCCGGAAGCGAAGTTTCGCAGTTCGGGCAGGACCGTGAGGTTTCAACTTGGATCTATTTCGATCTCCGAGAATCAATATTGCACACACTGCCTGCAATCATACCTCGGGTAAGCCTCACAGAGCAAGAGCCAGAGCTGATGATAATTAGTACTGGACTTGTATCTCGATGATGTGTGCCATCAATTGTGAGAAGTCTAATATATCGCATGTACTTAAGAATTGCTAGGTAAACGCCTTGCGTATGTATAGCCGAAGCTCGATTGCAGCGTATCTGAAGGACGCGACTTCGCAGAGCGCAATCGAGAAACCTAGTCTGGAGGAGGACGGCGGGACTTACTTGTCAAGGTACACTTTACTCGCGGAGACAATATCAGGTCGTCGCCGTTCGGGTCACTTTAGCAATGACTTGCGAGTCTCGTCCGTGTCTAGGCCTAAAAAATGGGGCGATTCAGGTTAAGAGGTATTTGGGAGCCATTGTGATCCCTGCCTATCAGACGGTCATATCGCAAGGTGAACGCCCACATCGCCACGGTGTTTGCATCACAAAACACGACTGACCTGCTGCAGAAGCGGGCGTGAGCAAGACTGAATCTCTCCTGGGTCGGCGGGTCGCGATCTCTTGATAGGAATCATGAAACACCAGCGGAATGCAGCGGGTCCGAGTGTGAACATTGGGTACGAGGACGTGCACGGTGCCCACTTGGACGGGTAGAACCACCTCTGCACTGATGATCATTGGAGCATAGAACGACAACGACTTCCTCATTTTTCCATCGATTCGATAAGGTTGGGATGAACATACCTTATGTAACCTTTGGTCCCGCTTGCATGGTAATCATATTCGTAGTTGGCACGCTTTGAAGCGATAAGACTTGGTTCAGGGATCAGCGAGAGACGATCGTCATTCACCTGGCTTGTCATCCTGAGTCCTTAAAGAGTGGATGAAAACGGATGGGAGCTGCAGGGAAGGACTCTGTTGGAAAAGAGAGGTCAACAATTCTGCTGCGTTTCGGAGAGTCATCACGTGTGAATGACCCCGCATCCATTCACCTGGACCTCTCATATACCACACCCCCACATCCCACTCAGGAGAGACTCGCAGTGGAAAGGACAAATCAGCACGAGGCTAAGCTACCGGTCAATGCTGGCACCGTGACGGCCTTGAACATGCAACGAATTTCAGAACACAGGGCTGTCATCTGTGAAAACAACGACCGCCTCCGACCTGCATCAGCTGTTTTGGGACAAGACACAATTGCGATATTCACTCACCGTGACGCTCATTGCGTGCCGCTCTACGCAATCTGAGTATCGCTTATTTAGGTCAGGAAGATTGCCCTATATGACCTTTTATAAACGCATGACTCAGGGAATGGTCGTCGTGCTATCCCGATCGGAAGGATGCAGTCAGTATGTTGCCAGTCGGCGAGAACGCCACAAACGCACGTTCGAAGAATCAAACACTCTGGCGTTATCTCAACAGACCACATGAGCTTCGCGTCGATGGCCGGTGCGGCGTCGGGGGGTCAACCCCAACAGGCGACGATGAGGCCACTGTGGAGGTTGTACCGCGTGGTCACCGGCGAATCTACAGGATGCATGTCAGCCAAATGCCGAACATTCTAATGAAACTATATATGCGCCCCATGCACACGTCGCTATTCGTTTTGAAGCACGTATGAAGTAAGGCAACTGAGCACCTTGAATGGGCGAATGTCATCGAAGACAACTGGGACAGCGGAGGTACTCGCGAACTTTGACCGCAGCCGCATGGGTGCCCCCGTCGATTTTGGCCACGAGGAGCTGACCCCAGAGGGCAGAACGGATGCGATAGCGGCCAGACGTCGCGCGAAGCCGGTCTAGAGGTGCTCCAGAACTCTGTAAGGTAAACCGACGCGTTCCATATCCCGAACAACGCACAAAATGTCATCTTCGCTGTAATTCGTGGGGTCCGCCATAAGCGCGTTGAAGCATCATCCGCTTCCGAATCCGAAGAAGGGCGGGCCCATACGATGCGGGAAGGCATCGTCTTCTCTGTTCTGCTATGATATCAGGGAAGACTGAGGCTAGCAAGGGCTCAGAACCGGTCTGTGATCTGCTGACCACGCGGAGGTCGGTGCGAGGCGTTGAATAAAGAAGCACGTCGTGTGTCGAGGAAAGTCCGAACTGCCGGGCAGCGTGTCGAGCGACATCACGTCGGCGGCTTTCAAGTCTCGAACTGCTACACTAGTGGTCGTGATGTCGAGCGGTAAAGGAACGCTGTCGTACCATGGGGCTCGTCGCTCGAAGGGTGGCTTGTGAACCTGACGTCAAATTCTCGGAGCGCGTACCGACATTCGGCAATCTCAGTCTGCGTGCGCACCCCATGAGCGTAACTGGGCAAGCGGCGTAGTCAGCTATCCCGCAGTGCAAAACGACCCAAAGACTACGCCTCGCTTTATCAAGGACATTGAGAGACAGCGTTGAACATGCGTTGCTAGAGTTGCGGTCAATGTCGCCATGGTGAGCGAGTAGCGGATGCTAACAATGCTCCTCTTGAACCATCTGACTAGCACTCTGATAAGGACTTGTGCTTATTGCGTTGGGCATATCCTCGTTGGCATATTCCGATGATTGTTGACAGCAAAGCGTGAAGCCAAATTACAGTAGCGGATGATAATAAGCAAAGCTGACGATCGCGCGGTGGTTCCCAAGAGTAACTATTTCACAATTGTCCATCTTCAGTCATGTCCATGAGGTCAAAATCCAGCCGAGATCTCGGTAGGCACAATTCTAACTCACCAAGTACAACTCTCACCATGGCATCCCCTCTCCGCGATAAGACGTACGCGATCACCTGCCCTGTTTTGCGCGTATGACCCGATCATATGACTCCGCGATCGGGTTGCGATATGCTAGTACAGTGAGATGTGCGCTGAGGTATGGTGGCGGTAATAGCGGGTGAATCGTCTCGAGTGCGGCGTTCTGCTCCTGCGGCGGGAAGTGAGTGGTGATTGTGATGGGGGTACGTGGCGGAGACGGCGTCGATCGAAGCGTGAAACTCGTGAGTGCCACGATAGAAGAGCTAGAAGACATGGTAGAGAGCGTCCGCTGTCGATCGTGATTAGATCGGCTCGAACGCTTCTCGGTGAGGGAGGATTGCACGGGCATGGTTGCACTAGATGCAACTGAAGATGTCGAGGTGCGTCGGAGCTGCTTGTGAGCGGGGGACGAAGAGGAGGGAGAGGATAGGTTTGTAGATGCACTCGCTGTTCGGATGCTGATAGGGGAGCCGGCGCGGAGACTAGTAGGAGAAGAGGATGCTGTTGACATCTGCCCAGAAGCAGCGTCCGGTATTACTGTGGCTAGAGGGGCCAAAGGCGCAGGTTTTGACGCGAGCGCGCCTTGCCCATAAGAATGCCCGCGGATGAGTGGATGTGGTCTTAGCGCGTGCGTCGAGGTAATGGAGTGAGTGGAGGGAGGGCGGGTCATGGACTGGCGTTTGTTAGAGCTCTCGATGTCTGGAGAACGACGTGGGGGCGAATGTGTCTCTGACCGGGCTTTGCCCACAGGAGGGGTGGCACTTGAGATCTGGATATCCAACTGCGGCCGCTGCTGATCCTTCGGGGTATGCGATAGTAGCTGCCTCTGTGGCGGTCTCGATGAGATATCAGCCTGCGGCATCTGCTGCTGGGAAGGGGCGAAATCGCGCGCATTCGGTGCAAGAGAGAGAAGAGACGGCCGCGCGGTATCAACACGAGGCAAAGAAGGAGGAGCGGCCTTCGGAGTAGCGACATCGTGACCGGCCGTGGCGTTCGCCTGAGTCTGCTGGACTGGCTGAGGCGCGGGCTGAGCGGCAGCGCGGTGCTTGCTGGATTGCTCGATCGGCGTAGTCTCCACGTCCGACTCGTTGTTGGGGGTCGCGGCGCCGCTTTCACTCGACACCCATTCGTCATCATCTTCACCCTCGTCCGGGCTTGAGATGGAAAAGTCTGCCTTCTGTCGTGTCCCGTTCTGCTTCGTGACTCCGTTGGGGGTGGGCGCCCGACGTAACGCCGCGGGCTGGAGGTTCTCTCTTGAATGTACGCGGATCCCACTGTTTGAACGCAGAAATTGGGCACTCGCGACGCGTGCGGCGGACTATGTGTACCACATGGAATGCATACATATGAATTAAACGACCGTTTGAAGTGAATCATCGCGCGATAACCTGGACGCACCTCGTGATGGAAGTGGGAGGACTTCTTCGCTTTATCAGGCACTTTCTGAGGTGGCGGGTCCTTCTGGGTAATCTGTAAATTGAGACCGGGCTTGGAAGAGCCTCCAGAAGACGTCCGCGAGTGCGTGCGGACGAGGCCGCTGGGTCTATGGGCTTTCGTGGGCATTGCTGGTGGTGGTTGTGGAGGGAGAGACACCGTATTACGCTACGAGTGCGGCGCCTCGATCGGACCTACCGGAACTCCAATCTTCGCACCGACAGCTCCGAGTGTGATACCATATGCGCCCCTTTGCGCCTCGCTTTCTGCAAAGGTCAATCAGCCTTGTGTCGAAAATGACTCCCAGATGCTATCACTGTGACAGCACACTGAGTCCCAAGGAGAGCTCACCAGAGGTGAGAGCGGCTAGCCCAGACAGCCGCATTCTGGCTCCGCCAGCTCCGGCTCCCGAAGAGCAGCAGTCCAAAAGAAGGCGTCGCACGTGGCCCGAAACAAGAATTTCCGGAGCGCCCATCACACCCTCTGCTTCACCACTCTTTTCTTTACCTCGAGATCGCTGAGGCATTCGGTTGGTCAAGATGGAACGAGTACAATTCCAGCAGGAGCAGGTTTGTGGTGCTTGGACCCATGGATTGCATGGAATGCTAACGATGGTGTCAGATGCTCACTGAGCTGAAGGACCTCGTCCAGAAGGGTCTGTTCTCACAAGTGTGTCCTCTCCGTTCATGTACTCGTTCGCACTAGAACTATGTCGTAATTGACCGCTAGTGCCATGCGCGTAGAAAGAGGTGAAGCACATCATGCAAAAGCGGACCGCGTTCGAAACTGCACTTGTGCGACGCATACCGAAGAAAAGCGACTTCCTCCGTTACGCAACTTACGAAATGAGCCTAGAGGCGCTACGGAGAAAGCGTGCGGAACGTCTAAGTACGTGTCCTCGTGTGGTTTCGCGCCCGTCATCGTTCCAACGCTCTGGTGGGATCGCGCAGAAATAGCGAAGGGACCTCCGTCGGTGTCCGACTATGCCCTCGTCCGACGACAATTCCAGATTTTCGAACGCGCCCTCAAGAAGTTCAAGGGGGATGTCGGCCTTTGGATCCAGTACATCCTAGTCGCGAAGAAGGAAGGGGCGCGTGCATTAGTCGGGCGAATCACCGCACGGTGAGTTTCAGAGCGTCGGTGCTCCCCACGCTCCCCCACCCTCGATGTTCTAAATTGCATTCAGGGCCCTCCAACTGCACCCTAACGTACCTGCGCTGTATGTGCTCGCAGCCTCCCATGAACTCGAGCATCTTTCACCCACGGCTGCTCGTGCGTTGCTGCAGCGTGGCCTGCGTCTGAACTCCGACAGCGTCGAGATGTGGAGAGAGTATGTGCGGATGGAACTGGGGTTCGTGGAAAGCTTGAGAAGAAGGTGGAGCGTGTTGGGAATCGATATGCAGCGTAAAGGCGAGGACGCCGGTTCGGGAAAAGGCAAGGGCAAAGAGAGGGAAAGCGGGACGGACGATATCTGGAGTGGGATCGGAGACGAGGAAGGAGAGGCCGATGGCATGGACGTGGATGCTGAACAAGACTTGCCGGAAGACGAGGTCGCACGGAGACACATTATGGAGGGTGCCATCGTCAAGTCCGTGATCTCAAGTGCGGTGAAAGGTGCGGTCATTGTTCCGTGAAGCTCTGGGTTAACACTTCTGTGCTGTGAGGAATACTGATTCTCCCATAGCGATACCGAGGATCGACTTGTTCGCTTCACTTCATGAACTCATCTCCACCTACCCTTCCCCGCCCACGCTCCGCGAATCTCTCCTCGACCACCTACATGACCACCTTCGTGAGACTCTTCCCTCGCTCCCAGCCGCAATCAAGCTTTCCGCGACGCGGAATCTCACGCCCGACATGGTGGGAGAGCCTCTCGTGGACGCACTGAAGAGTGCGAACGAGCAGTTAATAGCTGCCGTGAGAACTGCCGCCAACTCAAGCGATCCAGGTGTCGCAAAAGTGTATTCCGAGTTTGTTGAAGAATGGTGCGGGCAGGAGGTTGACGATAGCCTGGTGAGTTCCTACCTATCTGCCCTTCCACGGGTGACGCGCCAGCACCCGCTCCGGAGACTTCTCCCTATCTCGCGTACTTCGCTCTTCACCCTGCAACCTGACATCCGCCCCTCCTTTCTGATGGGTTTGGTTCACTCGTGGATCTTTCACAAGCCAAGGAACAACCTCTATCGAAGCGCGAGATGGCTGAGAGGCTTCGCCTAGTCGCCTTTGTCTCTGCGACATCCGTACTTGCGCACTTCTTCCTCGCCTTCGATCACGTACAGCGTTATGAGCTCGATCGTGATGACCCCTTCCAATGCGCCGCTGATCACTTCCATTTCATTTCGTCTATCTGTCCCACATGGATTGTCCTTCTTCATGCTCACATGTCACTCGTACACAGAAAGCCTACCTGATCACGTCCGTCCACCTCCTGATACAGCAGCTTCCCGCCCCTGTCCCACCCGACTTGCTCGCGGCACACATACGGCTACTGTCGTCACATCAGGCGTCCCTCGGATCCGCGCTGCTTCCGCCTAAGGCGAACACGCCCGACAAGATACTCCGCGTGGCGCGCAAACATACCAGCAAGGCGCCCACACGGTCTATCGTGTGGCTTGCGCGACTTGCGGCTGAAAAGCAGTTTGCCGAGCCAAAGGACGTGGAACAAGCATGGACGGAGGCGCGAAAGCGCGTCGAAGTTGATGGGATCCAAGATGTCTGGCTCTGGGGACTCGACCCGGAAAATCGGGCCACGCTCCGCTCGACAGCAGCAACAGACGAGACCTCGCCATCTACGCAACATGACGACAGCGAAGCTGATGCGAATGCGGAATTGCAGCTGCTGGAGGTGCGTGTGTACGGCGAATTACATAAGCGAGCCGATGTACTCACCGCTTGACGACTGGTGCGGTCCTCTATACCGTCTGCACAGCTTTTGCTGCACGAGAGCCAGCTTATCCAGGATCCCGCCGCGGCGAGCGCGCTCCACGAGGTGCTCCTGATACGGTACGCAGCGGCCTCGCACCGCGCGCTGGCGCTCCTCTATTGGCCCAAGATCACGCACGACGACCGTCACGGGAGCACGTCAGCGATCGCGGCACCGCCAGCCGCACGATCGCCCTCGCGGGGCGGCAAAGCTGAGAAGGCGAGCGAGCTCGCGCAACGCGGGAGCGCACGTGCGCAGCCGGCGTGGCGCACACAAGACCCGGACGTCTCCAACTCGCGAGAAGCTTACGGCTCGCAGTCGAGCTCCACGTCAGCAGCAGGCAGCACTTGCCGTCCACCCGTCGACGCGCGCCTTGCACGCGTGCGCCGCATCGGCACCGCTTACGTGCCCTCCGCGCGGGTGTGGTCCGAAGTGTTCAGCCAGGAGTCGGGTGGGGTCAGCCACGCCGTGACGAGTGGGGCTGATATTACTGCTGATGGCGGGCAGGTCTATTCTGGGCACGTCGACGATGACGCTCGCGTGCTGCGCTCGGTATACGAGTACTGGCGTCAGCGAGACGGGGTGGGGGCAACTATCGCGTGGGCCGCGTGGTTGCTGCGGACAGGGGACGGGAAGGAGGCGGTAGCCGTCATCTCTAGGGCGCGGAGCGTGCTCGGGGAAACCGATGGCGAGACGGTCGAGAGGAGGTGGAAGGCGGTTCTCGATGGGCAGGATTCCCGCGAGGGGGGCGCGGGAGAGGAACACGGAGAGGATGGCCGTGCGGATGCGGGTCCGATAGATTCAAGAGGCACGTAGTGTGAAGGCATCCTCAGTTAGGATAGTCCGGAGCGCGTGCGCGATGGAGGATTTAGCACGCGTTTAGCTTGCTTGACTTGTTCTGGCGTTGTCGTTTATAAATGACGTGGCGTTTTCTGAGTATTTAGGTTGGTTACGAAGGCACTGCGAGAATCAAAGTGGGATATGTCATAAAGGCAGTACGGCACGCTGCCGCGGATTCTAGTTACTGGGAGCGCTCTATCTGGAAGCAATCGAAGCCGGGAAGCGGCATGTCGCAATTCTAAGTAGTGCGGCAACGGTGTTAGTCTCCGAGCATGTGCTCCAGGAATGGGGATGCCGGCGGCGAGCGAGAGACGTTCGAATCTGGCGTTTCTCCGCGCATTTGAGGACATGCGCGAATCCGACCGTCAGAGACGGGTCTATCAGTTCCGGCCCTTTCACCGGACTCGGGGACAGTTCAGTTCCTGGAAATGTACAGATCGCTCACAAGGGTCTGGATCAGTAGGAACGTAGGGGCCGGGGCGGTGCCTGGCGATTGACCGCAAGCATATGGCTTGGAACGGGCGCACGCACAGGCTGGGTCTTGGATGTCAGATCAAGAGCGCGTACAGCGTGTCGGAACGAGCAAGGGACGAGGGCGAGCACTTGTGCCGGTGAGTTTATGTAACGGGAAGGGCGTGCACCTGCACAGCTCGCGAGTGAAGAGCCGGGTGAGAGGGATTGCAGGCTACATAGTCCGGTGGAACGGAGACTGCAGCGAACGGTCGTGTGGATGAGGTGAGAGAGGAGAGGGAGCGTGATCAGGATGCACGAGGACCGCCGTGCGCAGCTCTCTCACAGGAAGCAGGGAGGACGTCAGTGCGAAGCGCGTGCACGGAGGCAAGATGAGCCCAGTGCGGCCGCGCTGTTGGCAGTCGGGGGGCGCGAGCGAGGACGTCGACGGGCCCGTGACGGTCGCGCGCGTCGGGCGGCGGGTGCGGGTGCGGGCGGGGAAGCAGCGGGAAAAGGAAACGAGGGTGGAGGACGGGTGGAGATAGGGGAGGCACATGGGCTTGGGAGCACGCGGACGGGAATAGAGATGGTGGGTGGGTGGATGGATAGATGTGATTGATGGTATTGAAACGGCGTGCACCGCACTGCGAATAAGCCGTGGCATGAATCAGGGATAACAATGGGTGAAATAGGGAATCGTAGAAGAAGACACGCGTGGCTCCGTGGAAGGCGAAGACCATGTGCTGCGCCAGGTCCTCCCCATAGACTAGCCCTAATCTCTGCCCGTCCGCCCTTCTCTCTTCTCCCTCCCTCCCTTCTCCTCCTCTCGGCCGTCCCCTCTCGCCCTCTCCGTGGTTGTGTCGCAGCGGTGAGTCCTCCCATCCCCTCCCGCAGCCCCCGCTGACGACATTCCACCCGCCCCCCGTGCCCGCTTATATCGCCACGCCATATTTCAACCTCCGCTCGCTAGCTTTGCTTCCTGCTGCCATCTCCCACAAGTCTGCCTGCCCATCGCTTCCTCCCAGCCAGGCTTGCCCCTCGCTCGCAGACGTCCTGGGGCGTCCGAGCCTCCCTCGTGTCTGACAGGAGCTCATCGGAGAGCGACCGCCCCCGTCGACTGGTCAGGTCTCGTTCATCATCACCTATCTGCATGCATATCGAGCCAGTTCTCGTCCGTCTGTAGCCTCACCTCCCCCCCGGACATCTCGCCCGACTCTCCTCCCTCGAGAAGAACAGAGCGCAGAACCGTCTCTTCCCGGCTTACGACCTTGCTTGTCCTCTAATGTTGCAGTACCCAGTCCAGCTCCCCCCACTCTCCCTGTCCTCCTCAAAGCGTCCTCCAGCCGGTAGAGACAGAGACCACGACGATCGGCGCAATGGCCACCTCAGACTCGCAAAGCTCGCCCCTCACGACCCCCGCATCGTCGTCGCCCATCGTCCCCCTACCCTCCCCGTGACCCCAATCTCCATCCCCTCTGCTCTATCTCCCGCCTCCTCGGCCTCGGCCTCCACCTACCCTTCCCCATTGCCCTCGCCCGTCTCCCATCCGGCAAAGCTCATCCATCGCTCTTCTTTTACTTCTTCGCCTCGGCAGCTCCCTAGTCCCGTCGCTCGCTCTCCCCATCCCCTCCGCTCGAACCTCCCGTCATTTGACGGCCGCTCTATCTCAAGCGGTCACTCCTCGGTCTCTTCGAGTACCGTTGACGTCCTATCTCAGGGCGATCTGGTTGGAGAGGGTCTATCATTGCAGGGCGAGACCATCACACGGGTCCCGATCAGCTCATCTGACCCGCGGGTCGACCACGATGAACCGGCGAAGGAGTTTGAGGTCGTAAGGAAGCTCGGTACAGGCAGTTACGCTGTCGTGTATCTTGTGCGCGAAGTACTCTCGCGTCCTCAGTCTTCTGATGACGGCCATGTCGCTGCATTCGGGCGCATGGACCTAGATGATGGATCGTACGGCAACTATTCAACGGAGTACGGTCGGGAATATGCTATCAAAGTGCTGTCCAAGGCGAACCTCGACGAGGATGCGCTTACGGCCCAGCTATTCGAGGTATGTGCCGATTGTATGCGGCGTAGTACGACAGTTGACTGATGCGCTTTCCAGGCTACCATACATCAGTCCCTCCCGGCACACCCCAACATCGTCACTCTTCACCGCACTCTCGAGACCCCTTCCTTCTTGCTTCTCTTACTCGAGTTTGTCCCCGGTGAAGACCTGTTTTACTTTCTCGAACAAGCTCGCGACCATTACGAAATCGACCCATCGACAACCGACACATCGACCTCGCCAAATTCGGACTCAAGCTGCCTCTCCCAAACGCCGCCAACCCCAAGCCTTCTTTCTTCCCTCGCCCCTTCGCAGCTCCTTTCGCGCACGCGCCTCCGCCTTATCGCATCTATGTTCTCACAGATGTGTGACGCGGTCGCCACATGTCACGAACACTCTGTGTTCCATCGGGACATCAAACCCGAGAACTTCATTGTTACCGACGGGTGGATCAAGCATCCTGACGGACGGTCAGAGCGCAAGGTTGTCGTCAAGCTCACTGACTTCGGCCTGTCCACCACCGATATCGAATCGGCAGACATGGATTGTGGTAGCGCGCCATACATGAGTTTCGGTATGCTTTTCATGCGCAGTACTCTTCAGGAGCAAATGAACTGACATTGAGCCTAGAATGTCGTAATAACATACATCCTACTTATTCACCGCGAGCTGCCGATGTCTGGTCACTTGGTATCGTGCTTATCAATATGTAAGTTGCGCATATATGCGCCATGCGAGCGTGACCCTGATTCTTTTCCAGGTTGTACCATTATAACCCTTGGACGGACACCACGCAAGGCGTGTGCTCGTCTTTCGAGCTCTACTGCCAGCAACCCGTCAATTTCTTCATGCAGCGTTTCTCCGGCATGACCCTTCCCGTTGCTCAGTTCCTGGCCAATAATGTCTTCTGTCTCCTCGACGACCACAAGGACGATTCCAAGCGGATTTCCGCCCGTGCCTTTGGTAACTGGATCAAGGACCTGCCCAACCTCTTGGGCGGGCCTTCGATCCGTGGACATACTCGCAACATCTCCATCGCCTCTGTGCAGGGCCACCGCCTTTCTTCCATTCCTCACTCCCGCCGTCCATCCGTTCGGAACTCTATCGTCGCTGGCGAGGGTATGTCCCGTCGTACCTCTCGCAACCTCTCACGTGCTCCATCTTTGGGTCCTGCGTTCGAGCACAAGCATGAGAGTCCTATCACGCTCCCGCCTGTCCCCGACGGCGAGACTGAGCAAGAGAACGCTATGGACTTCCTTCATGACCATCACGACCAGCACGACCACGACGCCGAAGCGGAGGTGGAGGGCGAGTCAGGCTCCCGCTCGACCTCCACTCACAAGCGACGCAAGCGCGGCGCTCGCAAGGGCAAGGGCACGACAGCGACGTCCCCGACGAGTCCGTCGTCGGCGCACGACGTTACCCTCGAGACGCTCGCACAAGCCTCGCAAGCGCTTGCTCGCGAGATTTCCCGCACTTCGCGACACTCGGCCACCACCCCAGTGTCCGCCACTTCGGACGTTCGTCCAGTTCCGTATCCTATTTCTCCTGGTATGGCATTGCCGCCAATCGCTCTTCTTAATGCTTCCGTCCCTCCTTCTCTTACGTCTCTCGGTTCTTCTACGCCATCGATCTCCAAGAAGTCGTCGAAGTGGAAGCTGTCCTTCGGCAAGAACAGTGCCAACGCCGCTGCTGGTGCGAAATCGTTCGCGGCCGAAGATGGCCCCAGTACTCCCGAGGTACCGGGTGCAGGTGGTAAGCAGATGTCCGCGACCGCAAGCAACGTCACGAATCTGCTCATGAGCCTGAATGCCCCTCCCGTACCTTCTGCCGCGTCGCCGCATACTCCCGCTCCCCATCCTGCCGAGCGAGACCGCGAGCGCGACTTCGGCAGCTTTGGCGAGTACGACGATACGGGTTCGTGGAACCGCGGTCGCCGTCCCAAGAACGGGCCGTATGCTGCCAGCCCGAACGCGAGCAGCACATGGGGTCCCTCCTCCGGCTCTCCGTTCCGGTCGTCGCAGGCTCGCGGAAGCCCGGAACGACGCTATGGCGGCCCTATCGGCAACACCGGGGACAAGAGATCCGAGCGCGGGATCTCGCCGTCGAGCACCCGGAGCGGGCGGCCGTTGGCGTCGAGCGCGAGTTCGATGGCGTCGAGCAACTGGCGCAGCTCGATGTCGAGCGCGGGCACGTCGACCTCGGCGTTCACGCGCTACAGCAACAACAGCACGCGCTCGGTATCGACGGCGGCGACGAGCGTGTCGTCGCAGAGCTGGCGCAGCCAAGGCAGCAAGGTATCCCAGGACCCTGCCCACGCGCAGATGCCTGCGAACGTCAAGTGTAAGTTGCCGTTCTTTCGTTTCTCATCTGGTGATTTTCTCACTGATGAATCGTGCAGTTGTCACTGGTACTCCATGGGAGCTGTACCAGCTGCCTCGCCAGATGTACCCGAATCCCGACGACGCAAAGTTTGGCGGCCCGCCTCAGCGCAAGCGCCGGGCGAACAAGCCGAAGGACCTCACGTTGGACACGATCACGGAGCGTCCGCCGCATCCCAAGTCTCCGCTTGGCCTCGGCCAACGCCAGGATGCGGCGACGAGCACCACCGACCTTGGTGGCGACGGTGGCAACCGAGACCGAGAGGGCGGGGACTCGCATGATGGGACGCCGCGGAAGGTGCAGAAGGGACAGATCAACGCTCTCGCGAAGATGCTGTCTGCCCTTCGCCGGTGAGCGTGCTGCCTGACACCGCTTCCGGAGCTCACGCAAAGAGCGCTGTCGGTCTCGTCCCTCCCGTCTCGGTACGTCGTCGCTCCCGGTCGACGTTCGCGGGTACCTGGCGCTGCTCGTCGCGTCGGGTTCGTTCCGCTGTATATCGGTATCCTGCCGCGGATGAAAAGACGAGACTCGTTCATTCTTTGTCGTTGCACGCACATTCATTCGGCTCTCTTCTCTCTATCATGCGCCCATCACCCCTGCACCTGCACGCCTCATCTGCCTCTCACTGCCAATTGCCCGCACACGTGTATTGTTCCTTGTCATAGCCGTAATTCATCCCCATTCCTTCCTGCGCTGCGTCTCTCCTCCGCGCGCGCGCACTCGTGTGCGCGCGGGGGCGAGATCGGAAGTTCGGACTGTTTGGCGTTCCTCCACCTGCTTAGACGATGTGCCCACCCCCCAGTAGCGTACCCTCACAAGCCACCAATGTCGCAACTGCCTGTACGATACTTCCTGTCGTCGAGAATACATTGGCTGGACGTAGTTTTTTTTGCACATCAGGAGGCTCACGGGACCGTCATCGCTGGCTCGAGACGCGTATAGTATCGTCGATACACTCATTGCATTCTCCTCCCGCATTCGTCCCTCATCCCATCTCCAAACATCCAATCCTCTAGCACGCTCGTTTGCTTTCGTACTCGCATCCATCAATAGGCAGTAGTGTACATTTATCAGGCTTCAGGCTTGCGGCTTACATACGGATAGGGCGTAGCTCGTATCGGACTGGGAACCTTGCCCACCCCCACTCCTTTGGCACGTTGCGCGCACGCTGCGCAGTAGTAGTAGTAGTAGCTAGGATCGTCGGATCGTCACACCGGACACTCGTTTAGCGGCCGTTTGTTATTTACTTGCTCCACTCCTTGGGAACTCTCGTGCATGTGTCTGTCTCCGTATCCGGGTTCAAGTGTATGTGTGTGATATTACATCTTACAGCGTCACGAGGCTGGCTCACAGCATGTGGTCGCGGCCGAGTACTAGTATTGTGTTGTGGGGCGCTGCGTTGTAACTATCGTGTTACAGTACTGCTATGGGCGAGACACACGAGTATTCGCTCTAATTTAATGTCCGGCTTGGTCGTTCCGCACTTCACACCAGTGTTCTTCGTCCCACCGCCTTCAGGCTTACCGATGTCGAGGCCTCGACATGTTTTCTACAAGATACACGCAGAAAGCAGCATCCGAGCGATATCGGAGTCGCCGAACCCTCTCCCCCAGCAGATCCGATCCGGACCAACACAGACGGATCGCTCAGGGATCACGAAAGGTCCATGTCTGGCTCGGACTGCTGCTGGAGCGCGGCGAACGCCATATTCTGCTCCACGGTCGGAGGGTTCGGAGACTCCGGAGCGAGCGTGGCAGGGTCAACGAGGATCGTCGACTGCTCACGGCGCCCAGAGCTGCTACTGCGGGCGGACGGCCCGCTGCCGTTTAATCGCTGCGCCTGGAGGATCTGGAGTGAGGGCTGCGGGGTGGGGATGGGGGACGCCTGCGGGGAGGTTTCGTAGTCCATGTCGCTGTCCGAGGATATGCTGCTCGAGGAGGCGTCGGCAATGACGAAGCCGCCCTTGCTGTACGTGCGGACGAGGTTGACGTAGTATTCCTGGAGGACTTCACGGGTGCACTGGACGTGCAGGCATGCCGTGCGCAGTTCGAGGAACGTGGGCGCGTGGGGCATAGCCACCATGTTTGGGTTTGGACAGGTGCAGGCAGGAGAAGCGAATGTCCAGTTGAGATGTCACATTGTTGAGCGCATGGTGAAAGGTTCGCAGTGAAGATACGTGATGCAGTAGGCTTACCGTGAGATTCCAGTCGATCATGCGCAGAAACTCGCGCTCAAGGACATTGAGTTCTGTGACGGGGATGCCGCCGACCTTGGCATACACGCTGTTGCTGTGAAATGCGTCGCATAGGCACTTGCTCGATACGCATATCGACGTGATCACAAAGCGATGGCAAGTGAGGGAAGAGAGGACGAAGACCGGCATCCGCACGGAGATTTGATCGATGTAGTGCAAGGTGATTAGTAGGCATGACCGCTAGCAGATACGCAAGACGTGAATTATTCTATGTCGATGATATTTCGAACACAGACGTAGTAACGCACCTCAGCTTTAGTGAACTTGATGATGCGTCGTAGGTAGTCTAAGACGGAGATCCCGGGGGCTGAACGGGAATGGAAGCGAGTGAGACTTTTGCTATGCGTTTGGAAGTAGTGTCATCGGCAACGTCTCCCTGCGGGACCTGCAAGGGTTGACGCACGGGGAGAGAGGTATTTGGTCGTTGTGAGCCATCAAACGTTCCATCATATCGGCTACCCGAGGAAGAAGAGAGCGACATGAGCGGAGGGGTACTGAAGCGCAGGAGTACGGGGAGTTATACTGACCTATAAGGCGGGCGAGGATGTCTACATCGACGTCCTCAAAGGCAGCCGGTAGTTCGACCCTCTCTGGAGATTGCTCTCAGGATCGGGCCGGCGCTGCCGTACAAGCCGCTGATAAGCTCGTGGGAGAGACGCCCGAGGATGGCCATCGGCTCGGCATTCGGGACGCTCCTGCCACTGCGTGAAGCGCCAGATTACGGTGGCAGGGAACATGCTGGGAATCTGCGTATCCCACGCATGTTCCCCACGGATTCCTCAGCATATTCCCCCTTTATGGGAATCTGCTGGGAACATGCACATTCTCTCTAGATTCCCTCCACATCCCCAACGGCCTTGGCGGATTGCTATGGCAAGGGGGACTTGTCTGTCCAAAATCACTTATCTAACCGTGATGACGTTGTCGCCTGACCCCATATCAGTCTGCCATCGCGTCCATAGGCAACTTGACTTCGTACTTCTTCCATCCCCTCCTTGTGCCTGCCCTCTTCATGGTACGTACTGGCCATCGACTTCCGGATGCCAGCTGATGTCTGAGCCTCACTATGCAGGCGTTTTCAGGCTCTTGTAGGTACGTCTACTAATCGGGGCAATGGTGGGTCCTCTAATGTTGTATGTAAAGTCCCTGCATGGAATCTGATAGCATCTAGTAGGCCCGGCTGTTGTCCAGCATTCATCGTCACTTGATGGTGAGTCTCAGGTCTCAGCTTGATAGCAAACTGCTAACATTGCCCAAGCAGCACCTGTATACTGACATTATTGTTGCATATATGCGCAGTCAGGTACGTGTGTTTGGTATTGTGCGCGCTGTCTCAGCTTTGCCTGATGTCCAGATCAGTTGTAGGACATCACCACACTTTGAAAGCGGCGCATGACATGGATGGGGTGTCTTATTATGCTGGTCTGCAGATTTCTCAGACACTCGGGCTGTAGCGTAGAAGAGTCGGCCTTCGAATATATTTTCCGCCTATGATGATGTATATGTCCTTGCTGGCCCAAAAGCCAATAACCAACCACCGTGAATAGGTGCCTATATTGGGATATATGAGGCGCCAAACTGCAAACCTCATGAATATAAATGATTATTATGGTACAGAAGTGTATATCCCGTTTAATCCCATGTTACGCAGGGTACGGAATGTCTAAGTAATATATGGGGAACATGGTCGGAATGTGAGCGGAAGGCAGTTAATACCACGACATCCCCTAATCCGGCGGAATGTGGTGGGAACACGCTGGGAATGCGGCGGTAATGTGCTCATCCTCTCCTTGTTCCCCAACCTCCGTAATCTGGCGCTTCACGCGGTGTGCGTGTTTCCCCGCATCCCTCCATCATACTGACTCTCGTCGGGAATTGCGCGCACACACCTGGGTAGTTGGCGGACTTGGTCGCCGCAATGGGTGGATGGATGCCGCCCTCTCGGCATCACCCGGAGCACCTATACAGCACCTCAGCCCCTCACAAACCTTATTCTGGACTACACGCCCGCGTGCGGGACTAGACGAATCTATCCGGTCGTACCGTGTATCCTCGCCGCCGTTCCTTACCTCCCCCACAACACTCGCCATGGCCCCCAAGCTTGTGCGTTGCCTCGCTCTTGAGCTCTCTTCCTATGATTGATTACTGCGCAAATTATAGGACCCCAACGAAATCAAGATCATCTACCTGCGGGCGACGGGAGGTGAAGTCGGTGCCTCGTCGGCACTCGCTCCCAAAATCGGTCCTCTTGGTCTTGTACGTTCCAAGCGATGCTTTCCTAGGACTCGTGGCACTAAATGTGCCGCACGATGCAGTCACCGAAGAAGGTCGGTGAAGATATCGCCAAGGCCACTGGTGCATGGAAGGGTCTCCGGGTGACCGTCCAGCTCACCATTCAAAACCGTCAAGCCAAGGTCGACGTCGTTCCCTCCGCATCATCCCTTGTTATCAAGGCTCTCAAGGGTATGTTCGAAGTGCTCGTGCTGGATGGGAGTCTACATAATCACGTCGGTGCGTCTCTCGTATCACAGAGCCCCCACGCGACCGCAAGAAGGAGAAGAACATCAAGCACTCCGGAAACATCACCTTCGACGAGGTGCTCGACATTGCGCGCACCATGCGCTCAAAATCTCTCGCGAAGTCACTTGCAAACGGCGCGAAGGAGATTCTTGGCACCGCGCAGTCGGTGGGCTGCACAGTTGACGGCCAGCCTCCTCACGACATCATTGACCAGATCAACAATGGGGAGATAGAGGTACCCGACGAGTAGACGATGTACATGTATCGCATTTTCCATCACATTATCTGCTCATCATATCGGCGCAGCTAGCACGGTCTAGGGCTTGACCGACATTGGGATGGTGCTATGTATGTACGAGTACCTTTTATCCCGTGTGCATTATGACTACGCAAGTAGCTCTCGCCACAGTCATCCCTCGGGGGTCGATCAATTACAGCATCTGAAGATCCTGAGTCCTATGCTTGCGAGACCAAGGTTTGGCCCGGCCCTCCTTCCATGCACTGTTTTGTAGGTTTACGATAACACTACGAGTTCTTGGGGCAACGTAGACAGCAATAAACTGTAGACTGTCGTAGCCGTGTCGTGGGATTGGATTCAGGCAAGGGAACCAGACGTATGGAGCATGTCACATGCCCGCCTCATGTTTGTTTGGATTCAAGCTAACCTCGCATTCCATACTGTTTAAGCCACTCGGATGCTGCTGTCAAGCTCCCTCCATACTACCGTACCAGAGCCTACAAGAACCAACACTCGTCATACCAAATCTTCTGACAACACATGAGGGAGATCGTCTTTTTCGATTTGTGGACGTTACCAGTATGGCTGCGGTCTAAACTACTGTACTCTCCAGTGCAGAATGTCCATATCCGCGAGTTCGATAACCCATAGGTTTTCATTTGTGGTTGTTGTTGCATGCAAGACATGACAGATGTCCTACTTAAGTAGAGCGGGTGCTCCGGGCCGGCCATACAACTCGATGGTACAGAGCGATCAGATCTGAGATGATCTCTTCGCGCGCTTATCCGTCCAGCTCAAGAACTTGTAATCCTGACTCGGGCGACGTGCTCTTCGCATCCTCGCGACCATATAAACCTTTTGGAGGCCTGCAGCCTCCGCAACAATCTGACCATCATGTCCTTTCCACCGCACAATTGTGAGTAAGCGACAGTCGGTCGTTGTGCACGCCTGATCTAGCCGGTTCTACGCAGTGTCTGCGCCTTTCAACTTCGCCAAGGAGGAAGAGAAGGTCATCGCATACTGGAGAGAGATCGATGCCTTCCAGACAAGTCTGAAGCTCTCGGAAGGAAAGCCCGAGTTTACGTTCTACGACGGACCTCCGTTTGCTACTGGTCTTCCGCACTACGGACATTTGCTTGCAGGGACGATCAAGGTGCGCCCACCTCGCCATGTTACATTGTTTTCGATCCCGGGTGTCGCTCAATTCTCTACTAGGACATCGTTACAAGACATGCACATGCGAGCGGACACCATGTCATCCGCCGTTTTGGCTGGGATACCCACGGTCTCCCCGTTGAGCACGAGATCGACAAGAAGCTCGGCATCACCTCCCGCGACGATGTCATGAAGATGGGTCTCGACAAATACAATGATGAGTGCCGTGCCATCGTCATGAGGTACGCTTCCGAATGGCGCCACACCGTTGAGCGTATGGGGCGCTGGATCGACTTCGACAACGATTACAAGACGTTGAACACGAGCTTCATGGAATCCGTCTGGTGGGCGTTCAAGCAGCTGCACGAGAAGGGCCAGGTCTACCGCGGTCTCCGCGTCATGCCGTACTCTACTGGATGCACAACTCCTCTCTCTAATTTCGAAGCAAACCTGGCATACAAGGACGTCAACGATCCCGCGGTGACCGTCGCGTTCCCCCTTGTAGATGACCGCTCTACCTCGCTTCTGGCGTGGACGACCACCCCCTGGACTCTCCCGTCGAATCTTGGACTCTGTGTGAATCCCGATTTTACCTACATCAAAATTCACGACGAGGAGCGTGACCAAAACTTCATCATCTACGAGGGTCTGCTCAAGACGCTGTACAAGGACCCCAAAAAGGCCAAATTCAAGAAGCTCGCTAGCTACAAAGGTGTGGATATGAAAGGCTGGAGATATGTCCCGTTGTTTGAGTACTTCACGGAGCAGGTGCGATTACGGCCTGGAGCGAACCATGAGGGTGCACTATTCTAACTTGAACGACTGCAGTTCGAGGACAGGGCGTTCCGTGTCTTGAATGACCAATATGTCAAAGCCGACGAGGGCACCGGCATCGTTCACCAGGCTCCCGCCTTCGGTGAGGACGACCATCGTATCGCCATCGCGCACGGCGTCCTGCGTCCTGAGGACATGCCGCCTTGTCCCATCGATGACGCCGGTCGGTTCACGTCGCAAGTCCCGGACTTCCAAGGCCAGCATGTCAAGGTATGAGACTATGAAATCTTATACTGACCTTGGCTGACTCCGATTCAGGCTGCGGACAAGGAGATCCAGAAGGTGCTGAAGGCGAAGGGACGTCTCATCGTCCAGTCCACTGTGAACCATTCATATCCCTTCTGCTGGAGGTGCGTAGGACACGACCTGTTCAACTAGTTTCTGCTGACTCATTGCACCGTTTCAGGTCCGGCACTCCCCTCATCTACCGGGCCATCCCAGCATGGTTCGTCCGCGTTCAGCCTATCGTCGACCAGCTCGTCGCCAACAACAGCGCGACGCGATGGGTACCGCAGCATGTTGGTGACGGCCGCTTTGGGAACTGGATCGCTAACGCGCGCGACTGGAACGTCTCGCGGAATCGGTACTGGGGCACGCCCATCCCTTTGTGGGCCAGCGAGGACATGGAGGAGGTATGTCTGCCGACTTGGGTCCTGCAAAGAAATATTAATCCTGATTTGCGGCCACAAGATCGTCTGCGTAGGATCCGTGGAGGAGCTGGAGACGTTGTCCGGGGTCAAGGGGATCACCGACCTCCACCGCGACAAGATCGACCACATCACCATCCCGTCGAAGAAGGGCAAGGGTCAGCTTAAGCGGGTCGAGGAAGTCTTCGACTGCTGGTTCGAGTCAGGTAGTATGCCCTATGCGTCCAATCACTATCCCTTCGAGAACAAGGAGCTGTTCGAGAATACATACCCCGGGGACTTCGTCGCGGAGGGCATCGACCAAACTCGTGGATGGTTCTACACCTTGCTCGTGCTTGGAACTCACCTCTTTGGCAAGGCGCCATGGAAGAACCTCATTGTTTATGGTCTCGTGCTTGCAGAGTGAGTCGTCACGATCCCTTATCATCCTTCATCATGTCTAACCACAACGACAGAGACGGCCGGAAGATGAGCAAGAGTTTAAAGAACTACCCCGACCCAATTCACATCATCAATCAGTACGGCGCGGACGCGACACGCATGTTCCTGGTGAACTCCCCGATCGTCCGCGGCGACAACCTTCGCTTCCGCGAGGCAGGCGTCCGCGAAGTCGTCTCCCGCGTCCTCCTCCCCTGGCTCAACTCCTTCCGCTTCTTCCTCGGGCAGGCCGCCCTCCTCCAGAAGACGACTGGCCGTCGGTTTGTCTACCACGCTCACGCGAAGCTCTCGTCTAACGTCATGGACCGATGGATCCTCGCGCGTTGCCAGTCACTCATCCGCCTCGTGCGCGAGGAGATGGCGGCGTACCGATTGTATACGATCATCCCACGTTTACTCGACCTAGTGGACGAGCTGACGAACTGGTACATCCGCTTCAACCGGAGACGACTGAAGGGGGAGGATGGCGAGGAGGATACTGTGGCTGCTCTAAACACCCTCTTCGAGACGCTGCTTACGCTGTGCCAGACGATGGTATGTCTGGCCTTCCTGTTACTGCGATATGCCTGCAGTCGTGCTGATGCCTGACTTCTAGTCCTCATACACACCCTTCCTGACTGAGAACATTTACCAGGGTCTTCGAGAGTTCATCCCCGAGGCCCCCAAGGCCGGCGACGTCCGTTCCATCCATTTCCTACCGTTCCCCGAGGTCAAGGAGGAGTACTTCGACGAGGTTATCGAGCGCAGAGTGAAGCGCATGCAAACCGTCATTGAGCTCACCCGCGCCGTCCGCGAGCGGCACAACCTCTCGCTAAAGACGCCGCTCCAGGAGCTCCTCGTCTTCCACGCAGACCCGCAGTACCTCGAGGACGTCAAGGAGCTCGAGCGCTACGTCCAGTCAGAGCTCAACGTCCGCGACATCGTCTTCACCTCGGACGAGGCCGCAGCGGGGGTCAAGTACCGCGCAGTCGCGGACTGGGCCGTGCTAGGGCGCAAGCTCCGCAAGGACCTCGGCCGCGTCAAAAACGCGCTTCCGAACGTGCCGAGCGATGGCGTGCGCAAGTACGTCGAGACGGGCAAGCTCACTGTAGACGGCATCGAGCTTGTTGCGGGCGACCTCGCCGTGCAGCGATACATCGAGCTGCCTGAGCAGGCGCAAGGCGGCGACGCGACGCACGCGACGAACACGGACAATGAGGTCGTCGTCAGGCTCGACGTCACTGTGCACCCCGAGCTGCAGACGGAGTACCTCGCGCGGGAGTTCATCAACCGTGTGCAGAAGCTCCGGAAGCGTGCGGGTCTGCAGGCGACGGACGACGTCGATGTGTACTACGCGTTCGAGGAAGGTGCCGGGGACGACCTCCGCGCGGCCGTCGAGGCGTACGCTGAGACGATCCAGAAGACTACGAGGAGCGTGCCGAGGAGTGTGTCGGAACGTGGGACAGACAGGAAGGTACTTACGGAGGAGGAGCAAGAGATCGCAGATGTGAAATTCACGCTTTCTTTGGCGTGGCGATAGACGGAGAGGTGGAGGGTATGTTGCTTTGCCCCCGTGGCTTTGGGCCTGACTGTTTGAAGAACAAGTAAGCAGTGTAATACAGTGATGTTGTGCATCTAGAATACAAATGTAGCCGTGTCCTCGAGCATGAAGCGTGAGACGTGTGCGAGCAAGCAAGCAAACAAGCGAAGTGGGACAGTATCCGGATGTATTCCTATTTCTTGGTCGTTCCAAACCCTGCAAAGCCCATCATGGCCATCATGTCTTTGTTGTCTTTGGGGGCATCTGGGGCCGCCGTGGCGGTTTCTTGTGCTAGCTGCACGCGTGCGCGTTCACGCAACGCCTTCTTGGCGGTCTTCTTCTCCTCACGAAGAGCAGCCTCCCGCTCACGCACCTCCGCTAACCGCTTCTCGAAATCAAACGACTTGGCGTTCGACGCTTCCTTTGTCTTTTCGCGCAAATAAGCTATTCGCGCCCGGACTTGCTCGACGGTGGAGCGTTCGATCCTGGTCGTCTGGCCCAATGCACGCAAGTCTACGACGCGACTTCACACCTTGTCTGGAGCGCATCGAGAACGAACACTTACGTGCACGACCGTTGATATGGTCAAGATAGCCTGCGCTATCCTTGTATGTCCGATTACACGTCTCGCAATAGAACCCAGGAACGCCGGGCCCGCGGTTGCCCGTATTCTGCACAACGATCGTCTTGTTGAGGTTCTTGTCGAGGTCCAGCGAGCCCTCGCGCCGCTTCATCAGCTCGGTCGGTTTGGGGAGGTCGTCTTTTCGCCCCCGCCGCGGCTTCTTGCCTGTATCCCGTCGGCACCGTGACGCATGTAAGGAGTGAGCGGGAGAAACAGCGGACTGAGACTGAGACACGGGAACGCAGCGCACCCTGCTTCAGCAGCTCCTCGTTCTCCTGCATGCGCTCCTTCTCCTCCTGGTCGTGCTTCCGCGCTTTCTCCGCGTACTCCTCCTTGTCCCATTTCTTGCGGAAGTCGGTGTCGCCTGCCCGCGCGCCGTACGCGCCCTGTTTGTTCGACATGATCACAATTAGTGACGCAAGCTCAGAGTGTGTGGGAGAGTGAACGTCGAGCCCAGACAGAGAACGGGACAGAACAACAAAGTTCGACTGTAGGGAGGGTGCTGAGATGAAGTCCGGCTGTGGCTCGTTAGACGGGCGCCCGTACCGACGGCCCATATCGGGTTGTTTGCCCTTGTTAGGATCAGAAGCTATTCGGGTAACTCAGGTATCCTGACACACAAAACTACAGAATCTCATTTCAAAACGCGAGTTGTGCGGAGATGATGTACCGCGTTTCACGTCGCCGAAGGGAGCTTGTTAAGCGCTCACAATGTACGAACGACACAGACTCACCAGACCCTACCAGTCTCGAGCAGTCGGAAGGCACGGACTGAGATAGCTTTCTAAGCGTGATACTGCGGGCGTGCTAAGGCTTGACTCCTTTGACTAGAATCCTTATTCACCCTGGAGGTTCAGACGAACTAGATGGGCCCGGGTGCCAGCCCGATTCGTCGTACTAGCCGTGGGGCGCGTTGGCTTGCCGTTCGGACGGTCTGGTCCATCTAAATGTTTTCTAGGGTTCTGCTGCTTGATAGTACATGTACTATGTCCCTGATTGCATTGACAGCGGCTATGGTACAAAGAGGCTCCGTGTGGTCCGACCATTGCACACTTGGACCTCCGTCGGTCCACAGCAACGAAGCTGCAACGGCCTGCGGCAAGCACCACTTTACTCCTTTCGGCACTCGAGGTGTTTCCCTAAACGGCTGGTAAGCCCTGCACTATAGCTGAGCTTCTCTCTGAGCACCGGACTCACCTAGGTCGCGTCCAGGAAGGTCTCTATCGTCCTCGCGGAGCTGGGAATGGATGAGATTGTCCCTGGAGTATCGCCAAAAATGAACACAAGAGCGACGAACGCATCAAGAACAACCTCAACGGACGCACCCCGACGCTGATTGATCACAAAAGCAACAATTACTGCCTCTGGCTAGCTGCCTGCCATGCACTTCGACCGGAAGCCCGCCAAAAAACACAGGTATCATGTAGGAAGCCAATCGGCAACGCCACGAAATACGACAACGAGCGCAGGAACTCGTTGCATGAGCTCAAGGACCAGATGTATCAGACAGTGGCTGTATTCCCAAGCTTTTGGTCAAGGGTATGTTTGTCCCTTACTCCTCGCGGCTCGGTGTTTCAGCGATGGACTTACTCTCCTGGCGACTCAGCACGCACTTGGGTCAAATGGGTTGATTCAGAAGGCACAGCCCATATAATTTCCCGATTGCTGTTGAACCCTACCAGAACGGATCCTCCGCGTGCTCGGCATCCTGGACGGAGTGTGCTTGGCGAGGAACGTTTGCTTGTTGGGGAGAAGTGCATCGCCGTAGTCCTGAGCTTGGTCACGTACGTCCACTGTTCCGTCTCGATTGGTTGTGGATTGACAGTGAACCCGTTACTGCAGCTGGCAATACGTTCCTTCTGTCCGCCTCCTCATGCGACCTCCTGAGGGAGATTTTAAATGTCCACAAGTGCGATTTCTGCAGTGTTGCAGTTCATTTTTGGACTGTCTTGGTCACTGGCTTTCGACAGGTGGCGCAATGAGATGCTGGTCAGGCCCGCGGTCAGCAAGGCCTTGGCCCCCGGGCTGTGGAAGGCTACTTCAAGTTCCATCTCATAGCGTCTGCTCAATACAAGCCGGAGCATGGATGTATACGGTTTACCTTTACTGGTCTAGACGCCACTAGCCGGACTTGGGCTCTGCAGCGATACGTACAAGCGGGGCAGACGGACGAGCACCGGCCAATATTTGAAACCTGCATCGAACCCGATCCATTGCTGGGCGTCTACTCAACGCCCAGTGCATGTGACGTCACTTGTGCAGCCACGCTGCTGCTGTCGTCACCGGCAGCAGAGCGCGCGACGCGTCGGGGCCACGACAGCCCTCTATAAAGCACGAGTGGTTGGCCTCCGCTGGTCACGTCTACCACCCTCATACCTCCAACCATGTACGCCGCTTCCACAACTCTCCGCAGCACGAGCAAGACCGTGCTTCGTCGCTACCCAGTCGTCGCACGTCGCGTCGCGGGCAGGCGTACTTCCCAGCGCTTCCAGTCGTCCTCCACAGGATTTGGGTCGGGGACGGGCTCGTCAACATCATACGATGCTTCCCATCTTGCAGCCGGCTTAGCAGGTGGTTCAGTGGTGCTCCTCGGAGGTGAGTCTCGGCAGCACCGTCCGGATGAGCCGTCGCTGATTACTTTGCAGTCTATGCGTGGTACCACCTCTCTGGCACGAAGAAAGTCGTCCAGTCTACCCAGAAGGCTGCACAATACTACGAGCAGGCCAAGCAGGCGATCGCTGAGAAGACGCCCAAGGACCCGAACGAGGCCCTCGACTACCTCCGCAGCTTCGCTCAGTCGTACCTCGTCGTCATCCCTGGCGCCCGCCCGCACATCGACGCCGCGTTTGATACCATCGACCAACTGCGTGACTCGCATGGCGACGAGGTGAATCGCGTCGTCGGCGACGGCTACGAGGAGGTGCGCGTCATCATCCGCGATTCGGGCGCCATGGACGCGAGCACCGCGATGCGGGTGCTTGATGTGCTAAGGAGACGAAGCGGGGAGCTGGAAGAGCTAGGGAAGAAGGCCGGGAAGGACGCGTTCGGCTCGCTGAGCGAGAAGTACCCGCAGGTATCGGAGAAGCTTGGCGGCGGGTACGAAGAATTCAAGCGACTCGCAAAATCGAAGGGCCCGGAGGCAAAGAAGATCTTCGATGACACGGCCAAGCAGGTAGGTATACGCATCTCCCTGTTACGATAGCGGGAGGAGCATTTTGCTTAACCCTTTTCTTCTGACAGATACGTGAGATCTTCAGCAAGGGTTTCTCGCAGGACAACATTAACCAAGCGCGCGAGCTGGTCCAGTCGAAGACCTCCGAGGTCCGCAAGATTGTGAAAGCGTCCTCTCAAGAGGCTTGGAATAAGTCGATAGAGGAGGCGTCTCCGTACCTTGACAATATTCCTGAGATCAAGCAGCTCTTGAACGACAACGCCTCCGCCTTCATCGCCGCCGGTGCCACGGGCCTCACCGGAGGCTCCTCCAGCACGCAAGAGCTTTTCTCTCGCATAAAGGATCTCGCACAAGGCGACGCCCTGAAGAACAAGGAGAAGATGAACGAACTCAGGGATTTCGTGAAGGAGAAGGCGCACGAGGCGGAGGAGCAGGGCAGCCAAGAGCTCGAGCGCGGCTGGCAGAGCCTGCAGGAGTGGATCCGTACGATGCCGGGCGGAGACGAGGCGCTGGAGCGGCTGCCGGACGTGAAGGTGTTCGTGCAAGTGTCGCGGGAGAAAAGCGACGAGGCTAAGAAGCTGGTAAAGGAGACGTACGAGGGCGTGTTACGTGTGCTGGAGGAGAAGGGAAAGAAGGCGAAGCAGTTGGCTGGAGAGGTGCAGGACGACTCGAAGAAGAGGTCGTGAGTGACTTTTCAGGGATTGGGATGAACATCGGGATTTATGGGACGTATACCTTATGTTGCCTGGAATAATAATGTGATGATATGCAATCATGCAATCTATTCATGTCGTCGTCGAATTTGATCACGATGGTACAGGATAGGTCTCGGAAGGAACCGGCGTCATCGGAGGCGTCTATTTTGCATCACTACTCCCCACAATCTCGCATACATAGGATTTTCTGCCTATGGATCACGCACATTGACTCTTGGAATGCGGCTATGACAACGAAGAGCAATATTCTATGCGCGGCCGTGAGTACTGTTCGCTTGGTATGACGCCGTGCAGTCAACTTAATGCACGACGTACTACCTTCTGGTGAGTCTCTCTTGATCGCATCTCGCCCATATAGCATGTCAGGTCAATCAAGTCATTCACAGAGGCACGAGGTGTCAAAATTAGAGTTTCACACACTGTAGAGCTTGATGTTGCGCATTCCTTTTGCTAAAAGGAGTCTGAACTCGGTACGTGTCAACGCGGTCACCAGCATGACGCTGATTTCCCAGTGAGCTTGGCACGGCCGTCGGATACATTCATCCGCTTCGGCCTTCTTGTCAAGCATCGTGCAAACCATTTCAGGAATAGGAGACGGTCCTTCGTTACTACATCAACGGCGGGCCGAAGTACAGTATGTTTTACGCGATGGTATAATAGACTTGGGGAGGGCCGGACCAGCACCCACCATCCTGGACGATCTATAGCCAGGTCTTGTACGCATGCATGCGGTTGGTAGGGCAGAAACCAGTCCTGTGGATGTGGACATGCGGCATCGTGTGCTGCGGTAGGTACGGGCCTCATGGTTGATAGGGTTCTACAGCCCCGCGAACGTAACGTAATGGCTACTCCCTCTGGCTTACTTCTTCGTCCTGGATACCTTTTTTCGCAGGGCTCAACGCGTCTTCGCTCTCGATTTGGCCTGATGATCAACGCAGGAGGACTTCGCGGGCGCATGCTGATCAGCCTGCCTCTGTTACGGGTGAGATCCTGGTCGATCTTCCCACCTCAACGACGCTGTATAAAAATCGTGTGTGCATGTTAGGAATCGTGCAGGCTGCCACTACCCGTTCGGCTTCCATGGACAGCTCCTCGACTCTTGGCGCGCCCCAAAAATCTGCAAAGAAAAAACTCTCAAAATTTGCCGCCCGGCAGCGAGCTAAGGCTACCGCGACGCCTTCAGATTCTGATCCGGCCATACCCACTGTCCCGCTCAGCACTGACCCGGCCATGCAGGACGAGTCTCTCAGCCCCAGTGATATTCAACGTGCAGCCATCCTTGCCAACATCACGGGGCGACCATATGACGACATTAAGTTTTTCGCCTTCTCGCGCCGGACACAGAACGGGACCGTCGATATCCCCCTTTCCCTTGTCGCCAACAGCAGGCTCGTACTCAAGGCTGCCCCTCATTTTGGTCTCGGTATGTCAGGTCTATGCCATTTCTCTGAGACGCTACTCGTCTGACGTAGACCCTGTCAGTCTTTGGGGCCGGCTTTGCTGAGAGCGAAGTATCCGACATGGATGCTGCCTACCCCTCCTCTCGTCCAGCGGCCACAGAGTCTTACGGCTACTGGTCTGATAGTGACCTCGAGGACGAGGGAGAAGATTTCACGGAAGATCTGTCTGGCCAGAGCGTTGTGGATGCCAGTAGTACTAGCGTGCAGGATCGCAAGGTACGTGCACATAATGTTACTTAACGACTTCAGATGACGTACCACCTCCAGATGTCTGAGAGCGAACCGAAGGGGAAAGATAGGGAGGAAAGCGCCAGCACGGCCGAGCCAGCGCGCCAGCTGGACTCGGGACAACTTCCATCGGAGTCCAAGAAAGCAATTGTGAGACCGGGGCGTGTTGTTCACTTGGATGATGTGGCATACACCACGTGCGTACCTTCGCATTCTCTGTCTCTGGAGTTTTTACCCATTCTATAAATAGCTGGAAGGGATTCATCTTCTTTGCATACTTCGGAGAGCTCAATTTCGCGCCTCTCAAATCTCAGCCAGGAAGTCTTAGAATGGAGCCGGCATCCCACGCTGCGCCTTTATGCTCTCCGAAATCAATGTATCGCATTGCACATAAGGTGAATCTTATCCTCTGAATCAAGTTCACGACGAATTGTGGACCTGACGCGTCGTCAGTACGACATCTCGTCGCTGAGGGAAAAGGCTGTCGCAGATATCAAGGCCAAGCTCTCCCCCTCCAATATCCTCGAAGAGATATTCACGACCTTCACTTCGCTGTGAGCCGAACTCTCGTTTGTCATCACAGGCCAACACCATAGAGCTGACATTCCACTACGATAGTTATCCTGAAGTTCGAGATGTAGAGATCGAATATCTGCACTCGAACATAACGGACAGAGGGATCCAAGCGCGACTGCCAATATGGCTGACAATGTTAGGGAAAAACGAGCTCCCCAGTGGTGCATCCGACATCATTGCTTCCCTTATCTCCAAGCTCAGTGTAAGTCCGGAACCTGTGAAGTGCCCTTACGGCTGTTACGGTACTGTCAGGAAGTACTGTAACAGCGGTCATTACTTCTAAATTGAGAATTGATGGCTTCATTATATATCATGGCAATGTTTAGTTCGAGTGGATCGAGGTACGACTGTCATACGTAGCAGCGGGCCAACGCACAACTGCCGTGCGACGTGGCGTTGCGCAGGGGTCCCGAGTTCGTGAGTGCGTATAAGGCGCCAAGACAGTTGTCAGCCCTCTATTATCACATCCTCGACAGAACACGGCATCATGCTCACCCCTACGCCTGCCAGGTGATGTGAATTTTGCCTTCATTGTACTAGTGTTATCTATGGGGATCGCGCCCTCGAGCGCGGGTGGCAGAGCCTGCAGGAGTGGATCCGTACGATGCCGGGCGGAGACGAGGCGCTGGAGCGGCTGTCAGACGTGAAGGTGTTCGCGCAAGTGTAACGGGAGAAGGGCGACGAGGCTAAGAAGCTGGCAAAGGAGACGTACGAGGACGTGTTGCGTGTGCTGGAGGAGAAGGGAAAGAAGGCGAAGCAGCTGGCTGGAGAGGTGCAGGACGACTCGAAGAAGAGGTCGTGAGTGGGATTGGGACGAACAATATTGGGATTCCTTGGACGTCCACTATATCTCATCTGCAGTAAGCATGTGATGCTATGCATTCACGCAATGTAGTCATGCAGTCGTCGAATTTGACCACGATGGTGCAGGATAGGTCTCGGAAGGAACCGGCGTCATCGGAGGCGTCTAATTTGTATCAGCCAACGAGTTGACTTCTCCCCACAATCTCGCATGCATAGGATCTCCTGTCTATATATCATTCACATTCACTCTGTGGGATGCGGCTATGCTCACGAGGACCAATATTCTCTGTGCTTCCTGTGAGTACTGACTTAGTGCAGTCAATTCAATCCACAGACAACCTACTTTCTGGTGAGTCCCTTTTGATGGTGTTTCGCCCACATAGCATGTCAGGTCAATTAAGACCTTCACAGAGGCTCGAGGTGTCATTTTTTAAGAGTTGCATACACCGTAGAGTATGAAACATACCGTGCAGGCCATCAACATCGTCTCCTCTGACGCTGCCTCCGCTCCGCCGGAGGCGGCTGACCATTACGAGGAGAACTGCCCTCCTCATTGGGTTGTACAGCCTGCGGTTGTAGGTCTAGGGCTCCGGTTCGGAGATCGGCTTTTCGAAGACCCCGATCATCTCCAGAGCGCGTCCGACCTCAAGCTCATGTCGAATCGAGACTTCTACGAGACGTAAATCGACGGTTGGTCCCGCAATGAGCCCGGTCCCACATGTGCGTTCAACGGCGTGCACTTGCAGGAATAATCTGGTCTTCGCTCAGTCGTCCTATTGGCGAACAGCGGACCAAGGCGCGATGGATATCACGCGAGCAAGCACTACCACACGGGAGGAGCAGATACTAGACTAGTGAGTATTGAGTATCCAAATCCCCGGTAGTCCGATGTGTCATTGGACCTATTGACGAATGTCTCGAGGATTTTGGCGCTGATGCCTTTCCTTCTTTATCGATGCCATCGTCTGCCGCAGCACATTGCAACCCACTACACCCAACTACAGCCTGACCCATTCAGCGAGCCCTTCCCCACAATCAAGCTCTCCAATCCTACAGAATGTGTGATATACCTGACCGTGCTAATCGGTTGCGCATACTTTGACCGCCGTATACGACAAGGTGTTCGCCGGGATTCCTCTACCATGTCACTGCGAGCGCGAGTCCAAACCACTTAGGCCCCTAGGGCTGATGACGTCTCGGCCCTTCCTTCCTTTTCTTTGACATCTATATTTGCTCCGAAGCTACCTCCACAAGAGAAACTTATCCGCCAGGTGCTGCTTGCAGGGCTGTCTGGCAAGCCATTCGAAGACGTTACATTCTTCGCATTTTCGCATCGTACCCTTGCGGGCAAGATCGACAGGCCGCTGCCTATACTTGCCAACGGTGCCCTTGTCCAACATGCTTCATCACACTTCAATGACGGTAAGCAGTGCTTTTCCGGTGTTGTGTTACCTCATACACTATCTGACCCTGTGTCCTCCATCGCTTCAGTGCTTGTTGGTGGGTTTGCGGAGGGCCACGTCAAAGACATTGATGTTGGCTATCCATCTAACCGCCCTGCAATGTCATCTGGGTACGATTGCGACTGTGATAGCGACCTTGAAGGTGAAGGTGCTGAGACGTCGGGCGCCGGGAAGGGCCGTTCCGGCGAGAACTCGGGCGGGACAGAGCGAGCGGATCGTAAGGCAGACATTTGTGAGGAATTGAAGGACGCAAAACCTGGAGTACAAGAAGCACATAGAGGCTTGACAGACGTGCCATGCTTGGAGGAGAGCAAAGCGGCAGGCATCTTGGACAGCAACTCGAAGCTACGCGCCAGCGATTTGGCACACCTAGAGGTCGGTGAGTGGATTGAGGTCGTCCTACTAGAGGTATTGCATACATACTCATGACTGACCCACACTTTGCTGCATTTGAACAGCATCATCCGTTCGTGTGTCGCGACCAGGTCATGTTGTGTTCTTGGAGGGACGTCGCCCACACCACGTAAGCAAAGCCCCCCCCCCCGAGCGGATCCAGCGCTTTGCTGACGATCCAGGGATTTCGCTCTGTTGAGATCCCGAGGCCCATATTCCCCTCAGCTGCGAGAGTCCTACAGACCTCCTCAATGTTCGCCAAAATCGATGTATCGTCTCGCGGATAAGGCACATTTTCACCGATACCGATTCATGACACGCACCCCGGGCTGACCCGTCTCCCCCCAGTACAACGTTCCCGTGCTGAAGGAGCGCGCCGCCAGCAACATCAAGTCACAACTATGTCTTAGTAACATTTTCCAGGAACTCTTCAGTACATTCACGAGCCTGTAAGTACTCGCAACTTAGCATCATCGGGCTCACCAGTCAATGACTGTTCTTGCAGATATCCTGACATCGAAGCGATGGAGATTGACTACTTGTGTGCAAACATACGACAGGAAACTATACGAAACGAGCTGCCGAAGTGGATGGAAGCGCTGGCGGAAGGACATCTGCACAAGAATGCAGCAGACATATTTACCAAGCTGAATTTGAACTTCCATCCGGCGCCCAAATCTGGGGGATTGGATCGGTCACGGTGACCAGAGGGGAGAGCCCTCAATCATCGCATTCTCGACAGGACGCGGCATCGTGCTCACCTCTATGGGAGGCATTGTGCTCTGCCAAGATGGGGACCATGGTGCTGCGGTAGATTCCGCCCCCTTGTACTGCTTCGGAGATGCCTGCCAGGTGACGTAAAGTAAGACCTCGTTGTATTGTTATCTATGGGGATCGTGCCGTTGGCCCTTCGATTCCTGAAGAGTTCACATACCTGCCAGCGAGCTGACGTGCTCTCCGAATATTCAGGGCGCTTCGCGGACGCGTGTATGTCCCACGAGTTGGCACGTTACAGAAGACTCAGAAGTAGTGGTCCTCGAGTGGCGACTAGTTCAGGATTGAGATATCCGGCTGGAGATATTCCCACCTGTGCACGTTTCGCTATAAAGCCTCTTCGTACTTTGCAGATACGCATCTCGTTCCGGGAACAGTACCCTATCTGACTCGCCGTCATGGTCAGTAATTTCGCAATTGCTCTGCGCAAGTTTGATCTTTTTCTAAGCGAACGCTTCTGCAAGCAGCTTCTTCAGAGCAACCCTAGCGCTCCCGAGCCTACCAACAGCACGCCTGGTACCGATTCCGATCCTCCTGATGGCGAGTCTACCGCCCAGAGCAAATCTCCTGACGACGAGCCGGCCAGCAACATTCCTTCCGACGACGTGTCCGCCTGCAAACAACCTTCCGACTGTCAGCCTAGTACGGATATCGATGCTGCAGTCCCTCCCTCGCCTCCCTCGCCATCCCGGCCAAAGAAGATGTCCAAGAAGGAGCTGATGAAATCGAGACTAGCCTCCAAAAAGGCCAAGGCCAAGGCGACCGTCGATTTGGTTGTTCCTTCTGTCACCCAGACCACCAGAACGGCCGCACCGGACCTGGACCCATCGCTCTTGACCATGGGGATCCACCGTGCCGCTATCCTCGCTAGCATCACAGGGAAGCCCTTTGAAGATGTCAAGTTCTACGCTTTCTCTCGACGTCTACGGAATCGCAAGGCCGTCGGCAATGCCTTGCCACTCGTCGCGAACAGCGCACTCATTCGCAACGTGACCGCTCATTTCAATCCCCGTATGTCACCTAGCATTTGTCGACCACGCCCCATGCGTTGGCGTATATTGACTGTTTACTAGTTCTCGAGACCGACCCTGGGGTCCGGAACATTGGCGCACCGCAACCAGTTTCTCAGCAAGTCGACGCGGGTTCGTATGACTATAGTTCAGATAGCGACCTGGATGACGAAGACGATGTGTTTGAGACGCCTGCAGACTTCATTGGGCTGGGCCGCGCGGAGGGGGAGCGGGAGGGCTCTTCTAGTGTCCAGGTACGCACGTGTCGCCATGTTCACTCGACCAATATAGAACTGATTTTCTGCCGTGCAGGCAACTCGATGCGAAGCGGGAACGAGGGGCGAAGAGAGGGGAGAAGCAGATTGGGCCGAGGTGACACTCCCGGAGTCGAAGAGGGTCGTCATGAAGCCTGAGCGCGTGGTCGTCCTAAAAGACGTCGCATACACCACGTGCGTCGTATCCTTCATGTCTGCCGACAAAGGTCTCGACTCATCTCCCGCCTCTGTAGCTGGAAAGCCTTTATATTCTATACCTACTTTGGAGAGCTCAACTTCGCACCTCTCGCGTCCCAATTGCAAAAGCAAGCTATGAAGGCAGAGTCCGACACGGCACCTCTCTGCTCTCCGAAATCGATGTATCGGGTTGCGCACAAGGTGACAACCTCCCCGGTCCTCTTGATGAAACTCATGGCTGATATCCAATTAGTACAACATCCCATCTTTGCAGAAGAAGGCCATCGAGGACATCAAAGCCAAGCTCTCTCCCCTCAATATCCTCGAGGAGATATTCACGTCATTCACTTCACGGTCAGCCTTTCTTGTCCGGATTCTTTGATTGCCAGACGCGATAAGGCTAATTTGCCCTTACGTAGCTATCCAGACGTACGTAATATGGAGCTCGAGTATCTGCACTCAAATATGGAGGATACAGGGATTCAATCACGACTTCCCTCGTGGCTACGTAAGCTGGAGCAAAATCAGCTAAGTACCCAGTGGCGCGTCCGAAATTTTTGCCTCGCTGTTTGCATCACTTTTCACTACGCTCAACGCCCTGCAATCTTCGACGAAGCCGGGCGTGTCAGATTCTTCTGCGGATTCCAGTCTGCAATTGCCTGGATCATCGGAGCAGAAGACGGCCGAGTAGCGAGTCTACGCAAATGTCAAGGCATATCTCGTAACAACGACTTTAATGTGGACGCTCGCTATAGCACTTGTAGTAGCTTAGGCTTTGACTGATCTACTATGCGTCTGTTGCAGTATCGATCCTGGGACTGAGAGCATGATTCCGACGTGCCGCCAACGTTCAGTCAGATGCAGACATTCCGCGTCACGACGCATCGCGATCTGTGACTAAGAATCCGAACCGGCGCCTAGATGGTGGCCAGGCCTGGTGCACCTGTTGGCCCGCCGCGACGTACCTCATGATTGTGCAGTGGGGATACCTGCGTGCACGTCCAATCTGGGTCTTCAAGCTTTCAAGCTTCATCTCTCTTGTATTTCACAGCAGCCGGAGGCCAGGAGCAGAACAGGATCGGACCATCGCTTCCTCCCCCATGCCCCACTTGTCAGCTGAAATCCGAGCTATGAAGAGGTCTACAACCGGCTTAGCCGAAGGCGAGCCCCCCAAGAGCTCTGCGAACAAGTTCGGCACGTTCCCTTCGCCGGATGTTTACCCGAATGGATCTGGGGATGATCGGTGCTTTGTCCCCGGGTATCATTGAGTATGGGAAGCCATCCCCGCATGAGCCGCAATGCACGGGTGCGTACCGCCTTCACACTCATAACCTGCGCAAGCCGGTGGCCGGTGTCGATATTGCTGCGGTAGACCCTGCAGGGTCTACACATGAGGGACTCGCGTGTCCTGTAACGTCATGACCTGACCTGCCAGTGAATGTTCATCCGCCGCTGAGAACATCAAGAATTGTGAGCAGGGCCGAGTACTTCTCAAACAGTCCAATATTGTGCTGCGGTAGGATGTTCTACTAAACAGTTGTTGGCCTACGGCAGAGGGTGCTCTTCTATCTCGATCTCCCTTGATCATGCGATCTTCCCAAATCCTCTTGCTTTCTCACACGTCAACGAGGTTGCATTCGCAGGCCGCCTGTCGGCGAATATAAGCCAGGCTCACAGGAAGTGATATCGTTCATCTGCTCATGGATCCCCTACTAGAAACCAGAGTCAGAACCGCCTCAACCCTCACTGGGAAGAACTCCGCAAAATCAGCAAAACGTGCAAAGGGCAAACGTACTACAATTCGAGCCTCTGCCGCAGACAGTCATGATATCTCGCCACCAATGGACACCGCCACTAGAGAAGAAGTCTCGCAGTACGCGATGCTCGCCAGCATTGAAGGCAAGGCGTTTGAGGACGTCAAGTTTTATTCATTCTCCCGCCTCTCCCGCTCCGGACGAGTCGATACTCCCCGCGCCCTCTTCGGTAACAGCGCCCTCATCCGCAAGGCATCGTCGCACTTTGACTTTGGTATGTCGCCTGACATTCTATTTGACACGCATTCCTTCAGCTTATCGGCACGGTGTACGATAGTCCTGATCGGGAAAGGCTTCTCGGAAAGCGGCATCACGAACATGGATGCCCCTTACCCCTCCAGTAGACCGCCATTCACCGAGGACTATGACTACGTTTCTGACAGCGATTTGGAGGAGGAACTACTCGAGTCAGATGACGAGGACTCCTCTGAAACGCTCATTTTCAAGGATTCTATAGGCAGTCTTCATACACTTTCGACCACTGCCAAGCGGGGCAAAGATCAGAGTTCTGGTTTGGAGGTATGCCATCTCGAAAACAGTTAGGATTTGCCAATCTGATTATCTTGCGCTCAAAAAGGACACCGATGGAGGTGCGGGAGAAATTGATGGGACCACTGAGAAGAGGGATCCTCCCGTTCAAGATCAAACCAAGGAAGGTAACCTCACCCGCCAGGGGCGCGTAGTGTTCATAGAAGATATCGCATATCGCACGTAAGTCTTATGGTTCAATACTACGGCTCCTCGATAATTCTTTCTGCAGTTGGAAGGCCTTCGTCTTCTACGCATACTCAGGCCGTCTGTCTTTTGCTTCCTTGAAATCGCAGGAGCGTGCGCGGCCCGATATAAGTAAGCGCAACCAGAAAGATTTCTTTGAGCCTCCGCCTTGCTCTCCGAAGTCAATGTATAGGCTCGCAGAGAAGGTATGTGCCACCTTGATCACCCGCTTCTCTCATTCTGAATCGGGAACTAGTATGGGATCGACTCCTTGAAGGAAGAAGCCCTCAAGGACATTCAGTCAAAGCTCTCTCCGCGCAATATACTCACCGAACTCTTTTCCTCCTTCACACTCTTGTACGTTTATGCCTCTGAAGCCCCTTTCTGCACGTGCACTTGCTAATTTGCTATGGATCAGACATCCTGGTGTCCAAGAAATTGAGATAGAATACCTCCGGGATCATATCAGAGACCCGTCGATCATAGAACGCTTGCCGACATGGTTCCAGTACCTCGAGGACGGGGAGTTGCCTCGTGGCGCTGCCTCGGTTCTCGCTTCAGTACTCGTGAAGGTGGTTGCCTCAAGGCCCTGCCCCAACAAATGTAACTCAACCACGTCCATGTATTGCAGCAGCTGTCGCAAACCGTACTAGGAAGTCATTTCGGATCAATCAACGCTGCTAGGTGTATTATCATATGACGAAATTGATCTGCTTGTGTCGTGTCCCCTCAATCTGGGTGCAAATGATGTCGAGATCGCGTTCTACTTGAAAAGCTTGCGACCGCCAATGAATCACGGGACGCTGAGCCACGGCGCGCATGTCGCCTTCGATCCGAGTTACCTCGAACAGGGTACATGACTCTTGCTGCCCGTAGAGTTGCTCATTGCTCACCCCCTTACTGGGATCAGTTCTGGTACTTGCAGATATAAAAAATGTGACCCACAACACTTATTGCGATATTGTGTACCCAACGTCGTGGTGAACAAGATTTCGTAGTAGCGATCACAAAGGGAAGATACAGGGACATGCAGTACTTGGCACCAACAGTGACTTTTAAACAAGCAATTGTTTGCGGTCAAGCGGAACTCCATCCTCGGCAAACACGTTTAAGCCACCGCGCCTTCTTCATGTCGACGTTGCTCCCTAAGTCTTGTAACGCAGTGAATCTACGAACCGCAAGCGCGCACGTCTCGCTTCTGAACTTGGTCGAGAGCCTCCGGTGTACTTTCTGCGGGACTATTCAGCCAATGTGGGCACACGATGCGACAGGAAATGTTCACCATTGCAGCGTTCTCGGATAGCCAACCATCGGGCCTGTCTGGTAATGCGGGGATCCAACCTTGCAGCGCTTTAACTTCAAGATCGCCGAAATTCTCGAGCCAGACCTGCCAGAGACATTCCTCCCAGTCCGTAGAGCGCGAGACATTGTAGAAGAACCGCTCAGTGCACCATGTTGAGTCATCGCGAGAGAGAACGAGAGGAGCCAGCGGCGTAAAGGGGAACGAGGTATGATCGCGCATAGTGAGGACGACAGGCTTGCGATTTGGGATCTGACCAGCCATAGCTGAGGACGAGTACGGTTTCTGCGCCATCAGGCTCTTGTGAAGATTCTTCGGAGGCGTATAGGAAAGGTTGCCAGGAAAGAGCACCGCTTGAGGACTGGGCGAAAGTAAGCGCGCTAGGTTGAGGAATGCGTTCGGCCGAGCTTCCATGCTGGGACCAAGGTGTAGAATGTGCGCCGAGAGCGTCTGCTGCAGCACAGAGTTCTTCGCCTGGAGTTTTACAAGATTGGACAGCAGAGCCCCGTGTCGAGGAGAGCCACGGGACGCCGTAGTCGTGACGAGAAGACTCAAGGGACCTATGGATGTGACGCCAAATGGACAACATGATCTGCATGACTCGTACCTGTCCACCTTTCCGCCCATGGAACAATCATGTCAAGCTCCTCTTCTGTAGCCCATATGCATGCAGAAAACACAGAGCGGTCGATTTGAGTGCCTAGGACATCCGGATCCAGCGTGAGAGTATGCAATGACGAGACCTTGGATAGCAGATGGTCCTGCGGGAGTGATTCCAAGACGGACGGCTCTACGAGATCTACCTTGAGTGATAACCAACAAATAAAAACCAATGAGCGTTACCTTGTGGTGAAACATGAGTGTCAGAGGCGCGCGAGAGGTACCCCAACCCAAAGGTTATGTAGCCAGAGAAGAGCCACACGCTGAGAACGCAATAGAGCAAAGCCAGCGTAGGGATAGAGGAGCGCAAGGTAGTTGGAAGTATACTGTAGAGCCAAGTGTCAACGTGATGAAGCAGAGAATTCCTCGTGCTGTGGGAGTAGGCTCTAGCTCTCCTCGGAATGTGTCGGCCATCTTCAAGTTCCATACTTGGCGCCTTGCTAGCGACAATTCCTCTGGCCTTCGGCAGCGTGCCTGCTGTCCATGTTCGCTCGGCGTCTTCTTGCATTGCAGGAACACCCAACGGAGCAGTAGAGCAGCCAAGACAGTACAGAGAGGGTAGTGGTTGCGCAGGTAAGGGAGGAAAACAGACGTCAACCGTCTGCGCTCAAGCGCTCAAGGCGTCTCATGTGCCGTACATGGAAAAGGCGTTGAGGCGATCGGAGATCTTCATGTAGCGCCCACTGGCAGCTGAACAAGTTGCTCTTCTCTTGACGTGTTCGGCGCAGAGACTTGAAGCCCACCTGCGGATCTGCTCGTATTGTTTCATAGCCTATCATAGACTATCCTGCGCAGCACGATTTTAGGTTGCATCATCAAGTCTTGCAACGCGGACATCACCTTCAACCTCCAGCTGGGAGCTTCAAATTCGGTCATCGGTGTCCTGCCCGAGGTGTTGAACGCTGCCAAATAGCCACTAGGTCGCATTCAGTGTGTGGTGCTCCGGTCATACATTCTTGACGCTCAGGTTAGACCATCGCCCAGTATCCCCTTCACGTTGCATCGGGCTCTTAGGCACAAACCTGAAAGGCTGCCAGCGGTCAAAATCCCCTCCGCCGAGCCATCAGGCCGCGATTGCGGTGACGACGTGCGAAGTCCCCTTGCATTGCTGTAAGTGGGTCTTTCAATGTACCCGACACATTGCACTCAATTGGAGCTTTGCGGGTAGAGTTCACAGCCTCAGGCATCGCATTGATAGGGATCTATGTACCCGAGGCCTCTCGTGATACACTGCAACACCATGCATCTCGGGTGTAATTCTCGGCGGGCAGGCCCTTATGCTAGATACTCAAGGTGCGTGCGCAGTGATAGCTCGTTGAGATGGGCTAGATCATGCACAAGTCAGATCGCTCCAAACCCGCCGTGACAAGGTTTTGCAGACCGGTCGTTGATGGTGTCCTGGATGCACCTTCTCGCACATTCAGATCGCACGAAAGTGAGACCATCGAACGATTCACTTTAGTTGTTTCACCGGCTCATACTATATATACCGCACAATCCAGAAGAGTCCGAGCGTGGCGCTTCCTCAAGGTATAAAGCTGTCCCTCGCAAGCCGTTGCAGCCCGAGCCTTCTTCCCTCAGTTCCCTACGCACGGATGGCTTCCCTCATGCAGAAAGCGCTCATACTCCCCGCGAAGCAAGGCAAGTTCGTCGTCGGGTCCACCATGATTCCCTCTCCCGGCCCACTGGAAGTTCTCGTCCGCGTCGAGTCAGCTGCCCTGAATCCTGTCGAGTGGAAGATCCAGGCCTACGGAGTCTTTGTCTCGACATACCCTGCGGTGCTCGGCACGGACGGTGCGGGGATCGTGGAAGATATTGGCTCCGATGTTACCACGCTTGCGAAAGGCGACAGGATGTGAGTTCAAAAGTTGCGAATGGTACCTACTCGCATATATGCTGAGTGTTCCTGTGATTTAGTTTCTGGCAAGGTTTCTTTGAACCCCAGTACGGCGCATTTCAGTAGTATGCTCTCGTACCGGCGGAGCTCACCGCAAAGGTGGGCACGCAAAGTGACTGGTGTACTACGCTGGTATCTGACATTGAGTTATACCCAGATTCCGTCGGGGTTTTCGTTTGATGAGGTCGCCACACTGCCAGTCGCCATTGCCACAGCGGTTCTAGGCATGTACAACCACCACCCGTCGTCCAAGAGCGCGCACTTCATTCCTCCGTGGGTGGAGTCAGGGCTCACTGCGTATGCTGGGAAGCCTGCTCTTATTATGGGTGGTGCGTCCTCCGTGGGACAGTCCGGTGCGTCGACGCTCCTGCATCCCATGTTGTCGTGATGCACTTCGGTACTGAACTGAGATATCAGTGATTCAGTTGGCGAGACTGGCAAAGTTCTCTCCAATCATCACAACTGCGTCTCCCCGCAACGCACCCTTGCTGACTTCCCTCGGCGCCACCCACGTCCTCGACCGGCACCTCTCTCATTCGGACCTTCTATTCCAGATTGCATCCATCACGGCCGGAACAGCCCTCACTTTTGCGTATGATGCGATCGCGGACCCCGACACCCAGCATGTCGCTTTCGATGCGCTTGCCTCAGGTGGCACTCTCATCATCACTTGGGATAAAGCCATATCGGCCGCAGAACAAATGGCTGACGAAAGCAAGACGATTGTAGAGGTTTTCGCTAGCGTGTACGTGCCCGAGGGTAGAGAGACCGGCGTCGCCATGTTCAAGCATCTGTCAGGCTGGTTAGAGTCCGGGGCGTTGAAAGTATGTCTCCAGCGTCCTCTTGTACTATACCCTGTGTTGACGGCTGCTTCGTAGTCAAACAATGTGGAGGTTCTTCCTGGAGGTCTTTCAGCCATTCCTGCTGGGCTGGAGCGCGTCAGGAAGGGCCTGAATGCGACGAAGCTCGTCGTACATCCTCAGGAAACGACAGGCTGACTCGTACGAGGGCTATGTAATACCAAACTGGTATTTACCATCGAGGGGTAGGCACTCCTGGACGATGTAGGGATGCAGGGTCAGCTTTAGTACGAGTAATAGCACACTTCTGTGGAATGTGATACCGTTTCAAACCAGATCCGACTGCTTCTCGGGAGCGCGAGTGTATTCGGCATACTTACTACTAGTGGCGGCACGGTTTCCGAAACTAGCCGGTGTGCGTCTAACACACTACAGGGCTGAGCTGCACTTCGCGTTAGTCATGTCAATTCTTCATCGGCCTTGCGCAGAAAGCATTCCGACCTCTACTCAAAATGCATAATTTGGTAGGCATCAATGCGCATCAATGTACGATATTGACTTTTATGGCCTCCCGATAGGGATGTGTTGTCCACCTCCAAAGCGAATCCAGAGCATTACATACTGACTAGAGCCTAGAGGTCCACCGCTGTCATTTATCTCACTGTCGCGATCGTCCACACGGGTACAAGGACACCACGCTTACGCTGGATCTTGGGTAATACTCTCGAGTTTTGACCCGCGCGCTTCTCCTGCAATAAATTCCACACCAAGTCGGAGCCTATACAACAACGCAGCGAACCGACGTCCACAAAGTGAAGCATATCTTGAGTTCGATGTCTTCTACGATTCAATTGGCCTGATGTTGATGCATATGAAGAACACTGGAAGTATGGGCACTTGTTGACTTGACCTGCGAAGGCGACTCCGTCACAGCCATGGTACGTAATCCCGTTATCAGATACCGTCTACGTAGGTGGGGTGCCAGGCTAAATGGACGTTGTTCTGCGAAGCCTAGCCGGAGATTACCAAGATCCCCCATGAGAATAATGATGTGTATGAAGTTGTTTCGCTCGCGAGTAAAGAGCAAGACGACTTGTGCTCGGTTCTAGGTGCTCACTGTGAACGTTTGAACCTCCGCGTATCTACACTCGAGCTCGGAGATCACCGGCGCTTATCACAGCAGGTGGGATTTTTCGAGGTACATACCACGACACGCATTGATCTCACGCCGACACCGCAGACCCATTCGGCTTGCACAACACAGTGTTGTATGTTGTTGGACTAAAGCCATGATGTTTGTATCGTGGATCATCAGGACGTTTTCTCAACATGCTCAGTTCTCCTTGTGACACTGTCATCAAGGTGGTCTTCTTTGGTATTCTCATGGAGATCTTCGATGTTACCGCCAACGCTCACAGTAGAGATGAAGAAACTGTCGACAAGGCCGTCCAGGGGAAGGATGGAGTGAGCATCGCCACTCTCTGTGATTTACCCTGACCTCAATCTGACGTGGCTTCCTGCAACCTAGCCTCTTCAGAAGTCTACCAAAGATGTAGATCGCCTCCCTGGAAGACGCCTATAAACTTGATGTCACTGCTCGCCAGGTTCAAATATCTTGGATCATCTTCAATTACGGCAACTTCGCGCTGTTTGTAGAAAGCTATAGCTAGGAAAACTTTGGGTGTTCCAATGTGACCGTCGACTTCGACTTCGATGGGGCTTCCTTGAACGCTTCTAGTCTCTACTGTAATGTCTTCTCTCATATGCGACATGAACACACAAGGAGCACTGGTACGTAACGTCTTCTCTGATGTCATGTGACTAGTGTTCCTCTTGTTGACGAATACAGTGTACAAGCGTCGGTCAGGCTTCGAGACCGAGCACTTGGTCCAAGTGACGGCATGGAATGGTCGAGGTCTCCCGCATGCCTCCCTCTCGACACCTACGTACGTGCTCGACATACACGTACTTCTCGGCAATTTCATCAGGCGACGATATCACTCTTCTCCATTTTTTTCACCAAAATGCGGACGCCGCGAGCACCTTCTAACCTGTCTTCGCCGGAGAAGCCGACATGACGTCGCGTTCAATTAACGGATCTACATCTGGCGTCTCACACTACTCCCACCGTGTCCCGTTCGGCCAGCTCTACATCATGGTTCTCTTCCTTCCTAATGAGCTTCTCATCGCTGTCATCGCCTACGTCGCTGTCTCCGTCTCTGTGGGCATACACCCGTCCAAGCATTCTCAGGCTACTCGTTAGCGGTAACCTTGACGATTCCCGTCCCCCGCGTTCTGTGGAGTGATGCGCCCGCTCTCGGTGACTTCCTAACGAACGGAGCGGACCCAAGCAACCCCTGACCGGCTCCTCCCTTTTCCTAGGCCTTCTGCCCGGGGTGGTCTCAGCTGCCCCCTTCTCGTGAACCCGCACGAAGCTCACCTCTCCACCGCCACGTTTCAGATCCACGCGGGACCTCCCTGCAAATGCAAAAGCGATCAGCCCGCTCGCATCTCCACGACCTGGTCGCCAAAGCGGGCCTGCAGACGACACACAGCGCTGCCGCCGAGGCACACGAACGAGCCACGAAGGACGGCGAGATCCCCGTAAGTGTTTGGCACATGGGGGACTGCGAGAAGCCTGCAGCTGCCGGCATCCCTCTCGGCCGCTTCCCCAGGTCAGCCGGCCACGTCGGGCGCGGGAAAGCGCGGGCGACGTTGGCCTCTATTTGATATCCATCCGTGCTTCGTCGCCCGTGCTTTTCCGGGCCATACTGTCGCAGCGTATGGTAATTGCCTGTGCTTCCGCGGCGCGTTAGAGTTCTAACTACATATGTCAAGATGGTGATTGCCGGGAAGCCTCTGTCCATGTGCAGTGTCTCGCTAAGTGGTCTCTCAATGGTGTTGCCGTTCTACCGCAGTTCGGGATTGACCTTCATCATTCTGATGCGGCAATACATGACACTATCTATGTACTTCTCTCGGACGGACGCTCAGCATAGCTTTCTACGACCATATGTATCTGTTCAGTCGCTCTCCTGAGCACACTTGGACCTACAAGATCCCGCGATCCAGTTGTGCGCAGCGTTGAATGTGCGCATGGACCAGACCACTGTTCTCCATGATTTGGACTGGATGGGATCTGTAGATCAGTGAGGCATGCGGCCGCGATGATTTGGGCACTACTAGTATTCTAGGACACGGGATGCAGCGGCCGTACCACAAGGTGCTCTCCTCGGAGGCTCACAAGCTCTTCGACGACGTCAGACGAGAAGCGTCGATTACGCTACAGACGAAGATGGATTACGGTGTACGTGATTAAAGGTCGCTAAGCACCAGTGCCAATTGAGCAACCCGCTGGAAAACCAGTAATATTAAGCATGAAAATGGGTGATGCACGGCCGATATGCACGTCGGAAATAAGGAGCTACACTGAAATACTGCAGAACGGCGGACAGAAGGCAAGTAAATAAACATGGTATATATGTTAAGAAAAGATAACGCGATGACTACGGACAGATGCGATGGTGGAAAGCAATTCAGCATATGACATGTCAGTATGGAGAGAGGAGCGACGACAGAGCGAGCGACAGGGCAGGAACGACGAGCAGCAGGAGTCAAAGAAGCCCATTAGTACATACAACATACAGAAGTCCGATTTCGATCTAACTGCGCAGAGAGCTCTTGATGGTTGGGGTGCGGAGAAGCGATTCGGTTTGCTGGCGCGTGCATGGGAAAACTACGAGAAATTGCTTGCGAAAGGGCGGAAATGGCAGCCGACTAGCGGCCGGACATGCGAGGGGGATGCGGACGATGATGGTATAGGCCGCCGCCGCCTGAAGGCTGGTGGTGAGTGCCAGGAACGAAGAGCGCACCACGGTTGTGTTGACTCCGCTCCTTACGACGTAGATGGGTTGGTGGAGGGAAAGGTTCAGGGAGCCCCTGATTAGGACCGTCCGAGTGATAGATCTTGGGGCGCCACGCCTCTTTCTCGTCCATAATGCAGGAGTTTTTGAACTTCTCGACGAGTGACTCCTTACCCCTGGACAGGAGTGTAAAATGTTAGATATTCTGATCGTAGCGAGTGAAACTAGACTTACTGGTACGTCGCGTAGCACATCTGCAGGGTCTTCTCGCTGGAATACATATTCCTGACAGCACAACGTTGATGTCACGTTGTCGCTCCCGTTCACAAGGTACGTACCACTTGACACCTATCTGCGTCTTGGCGAACTGCAGGAGATCTTGCACGGTAATGAAGTTGACGAACGCATAACCGACATTACATCCTAATGCCTCGTGTCAAGCCCGCGGCAGCATGATAGACACCGTGTCGATTACGCACCATTCTGGAAGTCCATGCGGAGATACATGAAGTCGATGCGCCGGGGGCATACCCTGTCAATGAAATTCTTGAGGTCCCTATCGGTCATCTTGTTCGGGATATTCTTGATCATAACAGTTGTCCGCGTGTCGATCCCGCTCTCGATTGCTTGGATGTCAAGGACATTCTTCGCCCCAGGAGCGCGTGGTCCTCCCAGCGAATTGTCAAACCCGTCATTACTAGACGCGGTCTGGGTTGGCTCGTGGTGTCCGTTGGTGTGGGACGTCGTGCGATCACCGGGTCCGGCTGCGAGTGGCTGCTGACCCATCCTCACGGACGTGCCACTGATCGATGCGACTGGTTGTGCATGTGCATATACTGGGGGCCGGGGGACTGATGGGAGATAGTAGTCGACTTGGCGTGGATGAGCGCCAGTGTACGTCCAGTTCAAACCTTCGACTTCGGGGCCGTACATCCCCACGTCGTGACCATATACCGGATAAGGGTATGAATGAGCGGGATACATGGAAGGAACCTGGACTTGCAGGGGATGACCGTAGCCATAAGGAGGCTCTGCGTACGGATAAGCAGGGCCAGGGGTCATGTATCCGCCTCCAGGCGGTTGCATCCCGACGTTGCTTGCGAAGTTCTCGGCGCTCGCACTGATACTACGGGGACGGAGGGACGCGGCGTGAGAGGAGTCTAAACCCTGCATGGCAGGGACGCCGTGGCCGTCAGACCTGGAGTAACTTCGAGGGAACATAGTAGCGATACCTTGCCAATGGCGTCGAAGAAGAGGTCATTCGAGGAGCGGCGTCCATGGTCTTGGGAAATGTCCTTAGTCTTATTCAGTTTCCGCGCCGCATCCGGGGTGCCCACGCCTTCACTGACGCTCATGCTCCGAGGACGCGAACGACCTACAGCGGGTCGCGAACAGGGAGATGAGTTACCCACGCTCTGATGTCGGATGAAGTAGAGTACGACTAACCTTCCATATCACGCTGCAGCTCGCTCTCCTGCTGAGCAACGTATCAGAAAGTGTTCGACCATCAGGACGGCAGGCAATCTTACCATACTGCGGGCAGCGCCTTGCATCAGCCGAACAGGGTGGGTCAAAACGTCCTTGTTGGAAACGAGGGTAAGGCGGGCACCGAAAATCGTCCGATTGTTGAGTGCCTTATATGCACTCGCGGCGTCTCTGCAATCATGATAGTCCACATGGAAAGTCTACAAGAGATGCGTGAGAACTTTTGGGAGTAACATAACCACGGACCGCCGCTAACCTGATCGTGAGGGTCGGTTCCCGCACCGTCAAAAGATGCTAGCTCTCCGAAAGATGCCAGCAAATTCTGCACGTCTCTTGGAGCAACGGACCGCGCTTCCACCGTGACGAAAAAAGAGCCGTCCAGTTCAGCCAGGAATTCGGACTTCCCCGTGAGCTAAACGAGGAGTCAGTGGTGGCGATCTCGAGTAGCGCGACTTTCCTACCCTTTCCACATCAGCAGGAGATACAAACGCAGCTGACAAACGGGCATCGCCAAGCGTTGGTATTTGATTGGCTGAGATCTGCCGCAGAGCCCGCGTCGCGTCCCTGGAGTCGTAAAACGCCAAAATCACAACGCCATGGGGGTATTGGAAACGGGCGAGGATGCCTTTGATGTCCCCGATCCCAGAAAAAGCTTCACGCAGAACGGTAGCCGACGCTGTCGATGACACGTTGCGAATCTGCAACAATCCAGACGTCGTTCAATGCGCGTATACGAGGATTTCGAAGGCTGCACATACAAGAACCAGACGCGTAGGCTTATCGGACGTCGCTTCACCGATTTCCAAGTCGAAGACAGGCGCCTCGTCCAAACCGACCACTACGCAAGTCCGTTCATCTCTGGGAGTTATATCGACGCTAGCGAGTCCGGTCGCCAAAGTGGACACATCCTGTGCGGCGCTCGGGGTTTGGACTTTACCCGTACCGTCGTCAGAGGAAAGGGACTGAGAGCGGGCACTGGTTGGGGTGAGGTAACCGACATCATGCGCAGCAGTCGTCGGCGTGGTCATGTATGTCTTGGAGCCGGCGGAATATGAGGGATGGATCAGGGTATAAGTGTGATCACGGTCGGTGGAACTGGCCCAGCGCGACGGAGAATGAGGATCTGGGGGAGTGAAGGGGGTATCGTTGGAGGTTCCGTTGAAAGACGAGGACGGCGTCAGCGGAGGCGTGAGAAGGGAGGGCGGGCGGCGAGCAAGATGTGAAGGGCCGTCCTTTTTAGTCGGCGAGGAAGACGGTGAAGACGCCAGGTCTAGAGGACGAAGGTGGGGGCGGTGTCTGGCAGAGCCCTGGAGAGGAAGAGAAGGCGACAGAGAACCGTAATGATGGGGAAGCCTGTGCGATGCGTCAACAGATCAAATCGAGCCAGAGCGCGCGCATATAGGAGGTTAGCTGACCAGAGGTTTGGCAAGGAAGGAGTGGAATGGAGGCGGGGGGGCACCGAGGGCCTTTTGTCGATGAAGAGGGACTGAATGTATGACGGGCGTTAGTGTAACGTGTGAAGATGATGGATTGCTGAGCAAACGAGGCGGTACGAACATCTTCCGGCTGATGAGTGGTAGGGAATGGTACAGCGTGCAGATCCATGAGCGGGTGGAGGGAACGAGGGCAAGGAGGAAGCAATAGTCGACGATGATGGGCAGGGAGGATGGAGGGGCGACGCGTGCGAAGATAGGCAAAGGGGGCAGCCGAATAAGCCTGCAGCGGTCGGAGCAGCAGATGGCAGAGCAAGAGCAGACAAGAGGAGGATGACGCGGCCAAGAACGACTGGTAGCGCGAGATCAAGAGGCTGGGGGCCGGGCGCAGCAGCGGCGCGTTTTATATCACGGAGAGGTGCTTCTGAGCGGACGACGGAGCTGCATGGCAGAACGAGAGCCACGACAGAAGTCAGACGAAGAGTTCGGACGTCTCCTCCACGCCGGTACCCCCAGCAGATGCAGTCGAAGCCCACGAGGGAAGCCGCCTCGAGCGCGAGCGAGCGACTCGGAGTGGCAAGCGGTGAGGGCATCGACGGCCGGGGACATGCATGGCGAGCAGCTCGCGGATCCTGACGCGACCGGAACGAGTTCAGGCAGAAACCGCGCTCGCCCGCTCTTCGCGCGCCCTGCCATATGGGCTGCACATCGGACGTCACCGCTCCCAGCATGGCAGACCCCCTTCCGCTCCCTATCCAGACACCCGAGGCGCCCATGTCCGCTCCCAGGTCCACGGCTGTCTGCTCTGGCTCTGGCGGTGTTCTCCGGTGACAGCAACCCCTGCACGTTCTCGGCCGTCGACCTTGCCCATACCGATCTTAACGGACAACCCCTCCTCCAGCCAGCCAGCCATGTCCCAGCGCCATTCTCCATGGCAAACAGCATTCACCATCACGGCCCAGCGTTCCACCCTGTCTAATACAGGTGACTGCGATCGCATCGCAGACGATACATCCGCGGAGCCTGCAGCCTCCCACCGGCGATTTGGGCAGCGGGAGCTGCAAATTGTTGCAACGGACAGCATTCAAACACATCAGCGTCAGAGCCAGAGCCCAAGGCTTACACGAACATACCCAGCCACTGGGGGCCTATTCATAGCCAGCCGTCAGATTCATGACAGGAAACACAAGCGAGCGTCAGACCGTCGACAGGAGGAATACATCGCTCGGAACCATCCCCAACGAAGCGGCCTGGCACAATTTCCCACGCCACGAACGAAGCCTTCCAATTCCGTGCAGTCCTCCACATCTTTGGCCGCCCTCTGCACACCTCGGAAAGCTGCTTTTCGACGCGTGTTCCTACCCGGCGTTGAAGCCTCTGTGCGATGTGCCTTTTCGCCAGCGGTGCGCCGTGGTCACCGCGAACGTTCAAGGGCTCTGGTTCGCGGACTTACTCAATTCAGTCTCAGCGCGTCCACGCCGTGCCATGCGGTTCTCGATCGATCCGCGCACCCAGTTCTTACAGCACTCTCTGGATCTGACGTCGGCTCACGTCGTCCATTCTTCAAGGAGACTTGTTTCCTTCTACATCCTCGGCGGGAATGCCAGTGGCGGCCCGCCGCTTCTTCTGCGCCGCATCTCAAATGCGACCCGAATTCACGCTGTGTCACGGCCTATGTCTCCAACGAGGGCTTCTAGACAGACAGTTTGTGATCGGTGTCTACCTGCCCCTCGATTTCCCCTCTGTTCGCAACGAAATAGTACAGAGTGCTCTGCGTCCTCCGTCGCATGCAACGTGTCTCGCATCCACCCTCCCACGTCTCGACAGGGGCATGTGTGGTACGTAGAACCTGCCGCAAACGGTAAGAATTCTCCGGCATACCTTTGCTTTCATTGTCCCGAACGATCTTACAGATCTGCCCTAGCACACGCCGCATACAGGTGACGACCGCCGCGACTGCCAAGCCCTTGCTCCAGACGATAGTCCCGCCGACGGCAGATATAGGAAAGCGACTCCCTAAAACCAAGCCGCAATAGACCCTGAGTACGTATGTTCTTGTCCGCAAGTCAACCCCGATAGAATGCATGCCGTCTAGCCCTTGGAACCTTGCGCGTGCCAAACTTCCCCAGAGCCTGGGCCTGAAAAATTGTCTGGACAATCCGTGGCACTAGGCTCAGAGCAAGAGTCAACGCCTCTTCCAGCTGCCTGCGAGTCTGGCCCCTGGGCGTGTCATGCAACACCACTCGATCGTCCGTCGGGCGCCCCACCCTCGTCTTCGATACCGCTTGCGCAACTCTACGTACAAAGGATGCAACTACTTCATAAGTTTTGACAGCACCATGGCGACCACCCGGTTAGCGTGCGACCCCTCGTGGCCACGCTCTCGTTCTCATTCAAGTAAGCAACCGACTTCCTCGACGCCTCCCCCGGGCGGCAAGCTGCCCCTCCCAAGATCCAAGCCCCCGGATCTCATCTATAGCGCGCCCACTCGTCAATCAGCCTGTCTTCCCCTCGCTCAGGCTCGTCCGCCGTCGGCAAGACGCCTGCCAGTATAGCGAGAGGCACGGGATCTACTTTCCCTTTCGGTAGTCGGCAGGCCCCCTCACCCCCCCCCGCGCGCTGTACCCGCGCAAGGGTCGTGATACCCTCGCTCGTCCTCATCGCCGCTCAGGGTTACCCCCGGAACTGCAAGTCAGATTGACTGTGAGGGGCACGCATGCAGGGCGATGTCATGGATGGCCGATGGTGCAACCGGAGGTCGCAAGGTTTGCTGCGGCGCCACCACGCCCATCGCTCTCAGCACCGTGCCCGTTCGCATGGACGTCATGGGGCATTGAGTTACGTGCACGGGCGTGGCCCAACGTGAAAATTCCCCCCGTTGCAGGCTCACGAAGCTTACTGGCGCCGACGTTCATTCTGCGCGATATAGGATCGCGCGTGGACACTCTTCGCGCCATACAACTTGTTTCGCTTTACCCATGATACCGTCTGCCGAGGACCATCGGTCAAGTCTGCGCTTCTACCTTCAACGTGGCCTCACAAAAGCACCGCCACCATGTTTCATCAACCGCTTCCGAAGATGGCAAATTGAAACATATCCGAGACAACATGTCGATTCATTTCGCGGTTCTCGCCCCATGCATATGGCTGGACGGAGATGCAGCCGAGTCGGGACAGGTTCTGCGGCTTTCCCGCTTGTGAGAGTCCCAGGCATGAACGGTGCCATCAAGCTCCATGCCTTGTTCATTGGCGTCGATAATGTGATGTTCGGCGCTGCTTATGATGAAAATGAATCACTATGCCTAGCCCCATCATGCTGTGGCGAGGACATCGTACCACGAGTGATTTTTCCTGAAACAAGTGTTCCGCAGCCCCTTGGTTGCATTTGGCTGCGCCGCCGCTCAGCGACCTAGCGTTCGGGTTGGTAGTCGCAACAACGGGGAAGAAAGGCCGCAGGAGAGCGCGGAGGCGCGGATGGTCCACAAGCTGTGCTTTTTATCACGGATCGTCAGCAGAGCTTCACTCTAACGCGTCCTTGCTGACAGATCTGCTTGGACGTTCCATGTAACGCTGGAAGACGGTATTGAGTGCTGGAGCGCTCAAGGGCTTTCAGACGCCCGTTCCGATGTATCATGATGCACATCTGATCATGCTCGGGCGCGTCGACGGTGAGGGTTGTGACATATTGTTTTCTTGGGTCATGCATTAGCCGCTGTTCTGACTATCGTGTTCTGAATGCGAGTGTGCTGTTCTGACTCCTGACTCTATTGACAGCGGGACCGGATGACCGCAGTCAGTCACGCCAAGTCATCTAAGAGTACGACTGACCGGTAACCATGACACCAGCCCCCATACAAAGTCGCGCTCGACAGCGAGTACCACCTCCTCGGAATCGCAACTTCGGACTGCCATCGTCAATAGGTGAGTATCTGCCAGTAGCCAGGCGACCTCCACCTACGTACTAATCAGTAAAACCGACAATCTCTGAGTACTGAAAAGTCTTAAATGGCGCCTCCCGCCAACTTGCGCTCTGCATCCTGCGGTGCTCCGGCGTCGGTTCTCCTTCAAATCCGGTAGAGAGCATCCATGGCTACCCGAAATCCTGTATCAGAGCTCTGGTGGCTTGTGGACGCTTTGTGCACGTGGTGTCGGTGACACAATCCAACCTCTTAAACGAGTCCTAGAGGTCTTGCGCGCTACTGGGTGGCGGTGCGTAGACGCCTCGCCCCAAGTCGCCTAGCCCAGGCGGCTCCTAAGTTCCCTTACAAGGCAGCTCTTAGAGCTCTGAAAGGTCTTACTCGGCACTCTAAGACCTGTGCAGGTTTTTCTGATGCTAGTAGCTAACGGACCGCCAACTGACAAATGTCGTCGATTCATCCTCTAGGACGCCGAACAGTTAACACGTTCGCGGAGTTCGGATTCACCGTAACGGCTTGTGACTTATCTGAATCTGTGTCGCCCATCAGGTTCATCGCTCGTCGATACCACGCACACCTCCTCGGCGACAACTCGCGCCCACGACCGCAGCCTAAGCCTTCACTGAAGAACGCCATCATGACGGACCCCAACTTCTATATCGAGTCTCCCCGCCTGTACCTGTCATACTTCCAGCCAGCCCTCGACACGCACTGCGACTTCCTCGTCGAGCTCTGGAACTCCCCCGAGTTCATCCGCGACGCGACCGGCGGCGCAGGCACGTCCATCAAGGACCGCGAGGCCGCCCGCACGCGCCTCGCGACCTTCGCCGCCGCCCACGAGCGCAACGGCTACGGGATCTTCCTCGTCAGCCTCAAGCCGGCCGACGCCGCCCCCGCAGACGCGGACGCAGACGCGGACGCAGACGTGCCGTTCCAGGAGAAGCTCCCGCGGGCGAAGCTGATCGGGACGGTGTCGCTCCTGCGCGGGACGAGCCCGACGGCGTACAAGGCGCCGGACCTCGGGTTCGCGATCCTCCCGGAGGAGATGCGGAAGGGGTACGCCAGGGAGGCGGCGCAGACGCTCCTGGCGTGGGCGAAGCGCGAGCGCGGGTTGGACGTCGCGCTGGGGTTCACGGGCCCCAAGAACGCGGGCTCGAATGAGCTTTTCAGGAGCCTTGGGTTTCAGGACTGCGGTGTTCACACGCTCGTTGAGTTTGGGGGAGATGAAGCTGCTGTGTGGGTCTCGCCGGGTGCGGACACTGATTTGTCGGTGTACGGGATTTGAGGCGTGGAGGATCCAGGGAATTGTGGGGATGCGTGTTTTACGTGAGTATACCTATGGACTTCATCCAACATGTACTATCGTATCATACTATGCACGAATTTGTTGGGGTTTTAGTTGAGTTGCAAGCTGAACAATGGTCAAACATCACACCGCGGCAGGACGTCGTGTGAAAGGGACGTACTTCTCAGCTGGACTCATTGCTTGGTCTTGTCTGAGATTCGCGACTGTTGAGGGCTAGATTGAATGCATGAGGTTTAAGACCTCCCTGTCATCTGCAGCCGCGTCCTGACGACCAAGAAATGGTGGTGTGTAATCCCGGTCCGGTTGGCCGAAACTACGCACTGTGTAACTCTGGGTCGGCCGTCGCCGATCACAGGGTTCTTGCCGACCTCCGCGACTCCAAGCACTCCGACCACCGAGCGAACTTGTTAACCCCATGGCTATCCGACTTGTAACGTTTGACGCACTGCACACGATCATTACTCCCCGTCTCCCCATCTACGTCCAGTACTCACAGACGTTCGAGCCATACCTGGGTGTGCTCGATCCTGACGCGCTCAAACGCTCTTTCAACACCGGTACATACAGCATGATGTTCGCAGTCTCCTCGTGCTGGCCTCGCTGAAATCTTCGCCGATGTATACCCCTGTCGTTCACCTTGCGCACATCGCTATCCGACCGTCTCGCTTCGATCTCTCCCAACGAAACGCGGATGCCATCTTATTCGAAGCTCTCAAGCAGGTGCAGCACGAACAACCCGTGTATCGTGGCGGAGCAGAAGAGTGGTGGGGAGATGTGATCAGGAGAACCGCGATAGGTGCGGGGGCGGACGCGCAAGGTGCGTGCAACGCCTCGTGCCACACACTGCACACACGGTTCAAAGAGCGCATGATGACAAGGTCTGGGTCTCTTCAGCGGTCGATGGTTCTGTTGGCGAGATCGTCCCGCGGCTGCTAAAGCGCTTCAGCTCAAGGGAGGGGTACAAGCTCTTCGATGATACACTTCCCACATGTACGTGCGCTACCACCGCTTCGTCCCAGCCACCTTGGGACCTTTGAACTCTAACTTTATCGATGCCGGCATGCTTACTGTATGCAGTTCAGCGGCTTAGACAGCTCAACGTCCGCATCGGAGTCATCAGCAACACAGATGCGCGAATGAGTAAGTTCGCGAGCGAGCAGCCTGGGACGCCCCCGGATGTTGATAACGGCCTCGTGTGCACACAGGAGCTGTGATTGAAGACCTCGGCGTCATGCATTTCCTCGACACCCTGCTTCTAAGCGAAGAGGAGGGCATCGAGAAGCCCTCGTGCGAGATATTCCAACGCGCTTGCGAGCGTCTAAGTGCCAAGCCTGAGGAAACGATGCATGTCGGGGACGAGCTAGACTGGTGCGTAGCGCCTCCAGTCTCTCGGAGATTGATACCTGCTGGGAACATGACGTCCTAATCCCCGGGTCCTTGCCACTAGTGACTACCAGGGCGCGAAGGCATGCGGGCTGCAGGCCCTGCTTGTGCGAAGGCCTGGGCCGGAAGGCGAAGAGGAGCGAAAGGAAGCCGAAGAGATTTTGACTGGCGTCCAGGTTATCCCGGGCTTGCTTTCCGTGTTGGACCGGGTGCAAGGTCATGCGACACGGTGAAGTGGGATGATAGCGTGCGAGAGCTGTTGCGATTAAGAGGGCAATAATACAATAAGTGTAACATTCCTGTAGGCCAAATGACGATGCCCCACACAGGCCACATGAAAGATTGTTGACCCCAGTCGGGAGATATAGAGTGGTTGAAGGGCCATGCACCAAGTGCCATGTGGTGGTGGGATCAAATTCTGTCCACAGTCTTCTCCACGAACTGTCTGACATCGGTCACCTTCTCGCCGATTTTGAGGTTAGTCCAACGGATGACTCGAGGGTCGTGTCGCATGATGGTGTTCAAGCCACGCAATGTCGTTGGCGAGGCATCGAACTGCATGGTCCAGTAGCTGCAACAGTATCAGGTCTGCTGCTGCTGACACGAACGGATTGTTACGCACTCGCCAATAGTGTGATACTGCTTATTTCTCCGCATGCGTTGGGGAAGAGTGCATGTGCCCCATGAGTCAAGTTTGCGCACGACACCACCCTCCTTCAAGACATGCGACGCAACGCGGGTAACGAGATCCTTGATGTGTTTCTATATGCATTGCGTTTGACGTCAGCTGGGGTCCTCATAGTCAAGCGTGAAGAGGATGCGGACATATTCAGGGTAGTGCGCAGCGATGCATACGAGCTGGTAGAAAGGCATGGTGATGGCGAGCCCGATGGACGTGCTGTGGACGACAGCGAGCTGAGGGAAATGCAACGTGGGAAAGCTGGATCTACTGGCCATTCCACGTGGCCGAGAAAAGCAAGTGCGGTCTGCCAGCGCTGCCAGGCCCCGAATTACAGCTGTCCAAACCTCCCACCTATTCTCAATCATCTACCCCGTCTCCTGCCTTGCGTCTAGCTTATCCGGTCTATCTAGCCCTCAACCATGGCCTTGAAAGCGGTGAGCGTCTTGCGCATACTGGCGGGCGCCATTCACGATCTCTGTGACTGATCTTAGGCTCTCGGAAACGCACCGTGGGTCAAATATTAGATTGTGAAATGTATGGAATCCATCCCTCATGTCTCTGTCGCTCTGTGTCCTGAACATCATCGAGTAACCAGCCGTGATCTCCGGTGACTCCCTCGTCTTGCGCGGAACCCCAGGGCCTCAGGGCCAGATCCCAAAGGAGCGGTACGTGCTCGTGTGTCCCGTTACTATCGGTCGTGTGCGAGAGATCCTGACGCGCGCTCCTTAGCGTACTGCACCTCGCTGATATCCAAGCACCGCGCATGGGCACATCGACGCGCGAGGACGAGGTGGGTTCCATGTCCAAATCCCTGAGCGCGCGACTCACTCGGACCCTGCCTGCCCACGCTCGTGTACCGCACGCGTGTAACTCAGGACTGGGCATTCGAGTCACGCGAATTCCTGCGCGCTCTCGCAGTAGGGAAGCCTATCACGTTCACATCCACGCACTCTCTGCCGCCCAGCGACGACGTCCCGCGCGACATCGGAACGGCGGAGATTAACGGGGTCGACCTCGCGTCCGAACTACTCAAGAATGGCTGGGCGAAGCTAAAGGAGCTCAAGCGCGAGCCCACTGAAGAGGATGTCCGCAAGAAAGAGCTTGAGGCCGAGGCGCGTTCCGCTGGAAAAGGGGTATGGAATCCGCATGGCCCTAAGGTGCGTAGGTGCAACGTCTTGCGCGAGAGGGCACGAGCGCTTGTGCTGGAATGTGGGTTTGACGTTTCACCGGATACAGGCGCACGCGACACACTACACGATGCCCTCGGACTCGCAAGGCTTCATCACTGAATGGAAGGGTCAGCAGATTGACGGTGAATTCAAACTCGTCGCGCGTGTTCGTGTGCCCCTGTTAACTGGACAAATGTTGGTCAGGTCTCGTCGAGCAAGTCAAAGATGGCTCAACTCTGCGCGTCCGTCTCCTCATGCCTGATGGCGACCACCAGTTCGTCAACATCGCTCTCGCTGGTGTCCGATGCTCTCGCGTCGCGAGTAAGTCAGGCGAAACGACGGAGCCATGGGGAGAGGAGGTGCGTTGCATCACGGCACATAACACATCTTCGTGGGACATCTTTCTGCAAGAGCTAATCTGTCGTATGTCGCAGGCAAAATTCTTCACGGAGTCCCGTCTATTGCAGCGATACGTCCGCGTGCAGCTGCTATCTCTTCCTAATGCTACCGCTACTCCATTCCAAGCGGGTGCTAATGCAGCAGCGCCACCACCAGCGTCGATCTTCATTGGCTCTGGTAAGTTTCTCTGATCCCAGTCTCACCACTGCACTACAACAGCTTTCCAGTTCTGCATCCCGCCGGGAACGTCGCAGAGCATCTCGTCGCCAACGGCCTGGCACGCGTCGTCGATTGGCACGCCGGTATGCTCGCGAGCAGCGGTGGCATGGAGCGCCTCCGTGCCGCCGAAAAGACCGCGAAGGAAAAGCGCGCGTGCCTATACGCAAATGCTCCCGCCCCATCTGCGAAGTCGAACGGGACAGCAATCAACGGCAACACGCGGCAGTTCGACGCGACCGTCGTACGCGTATGGAGCGCCGATCAGATCTCCGTCGTCGACCGCGAGAGCGGCAAGGAGAGGCGGTTGCAGCTGAGCTCGACGCGTGGGCCGAAGTCGGTGGTCATTCCTATACTCTTGATCATGATCGCTGATATCCTCGCCCTTCGCCGATAGACTCTCGGATCCGAAGCAGGCATTCTACGCGCAGGAAGCCCGTGAGTTCCTGCGGAAGCGTCTGATCGGCAAGCACGTCAAGGTCCACATCGACTTTATCCGTCCCCGCGAGGGCGAGTTTGAGGAGCGCGAGTGCGCAACGATTCGTTACGGCGGGAACAATTCGTTAGTCGCATCGTGGTTGCTGCGTGGAGTCGGAGCTGAGGCGATGGATGTAGGAACATTGCTGAGCAGCTCATCGAGAAGGGTCTCGCGAGCGCCGTCCGGCATAAACGTGATGATGAGGACCGTTCACCGGACTACGACAAGCTGATGGCGGCAGAGCAGGCGTAAGTATGAGTATGATTATGTTGCAGGCAATGACTCACTTTTGCTCCGAATTCTCAGAGCAGCAGCAGAAGGTCGCGGAATTCACTCCGGCAAGGAGCAGCCGGCCCCGAAGGCACCACTCAACATCTCCGAAGTACACCGGTTATCTGATGATTTTGCCTCCTCCGTTTGCTCACGAGACGAGTTACATAGTCTGCGCACCGTGCAACAACATTTGTCAACGGTTTCAAGCGGCTGGGTCGCATCCCTGCGGTTGTCGAATACGTCGCTGCGGGATCCCGCTTCAAGTACGTCAACAAATCGACACCTGTTCCCCGTTGCTGATTTCTCTACAGGATCTTCCTGCCCAAGGACAACCAAGTACTGACGCTGGTCCTAAGCGGGGTGCGTGCACCTCGCACTGCCCGCAACTCATCGGAAGCCAGCGAGCCATACGGCCCGGAGGCATCTGAGTTTGCGACTCGCCGATACATGCAGCGTGACGTCGAAATCGAGATTAATGACGCAGACAAGTCTGGCGGGTTCATCGGAGCGCTGTACCTGAATAAGACGGAGAATGCTGCGATCGCGCTGGTCAAGGAGGGCCTCGCTACTGTCCACGGGTACTCGGCCGAGAACCTGTCGTGGGCGCAGCAGCTGTACGACGCAGAGGTAAGTTTGACAGTGGGCATGTACCTGTGTGGTGGTAGGAGCTTATTGCGTCATCTCTGGTTCCAGGCCGAAGCGAAGAGTGCGAAGCGCAATGTAGGTCGTTTCCGCTGCTGATCGGGATTTGTGAACTAAGGCCGGTCGTGCAGATTTGGAAGGACTACGACGAACAGGCTGAGCAGGTCGTCGAAGCGCCCCAGGAAGAAGCCAACGGCGCGCTCAAGACCGAGTACATCGACGTCATCATCAGCGACGTCCGCATCAAGCCCTCGTTCGGGTTCTCGGTCCAGATCCTGAACACCGAGGGCATTGCGTCCCTCGAGAAGCTCATGCGCGACTTCTCGCTCCACCACAAGACGGTCGCTTCTACGGCAGGCTTCACGCCCAGGGGTGGCGACCTCGTCTCTGCCAAATTTTCCGACGGCCAGTGGTATCGTGCAAAGGTCCGCCGTGCGTCGCCTATCAAGAAGGAGGCCGAGGTCACGTTCATCGACTACGGCAACCAGGACACCATCGGCTTCGCAGATATCAGGCCCCTCGACCCTAAATTCCGCTCCCTTCCCGGTCAGGCGCATGACGCACGCCTCAGGTGTGTTCTTCTCGTCTTCCCCCGTCTCTTCGGGTCTCGCAGCGCACAGTCTGAGACCGTACCTCATCCAGTTTCGTGAAATTCGTTTCACCCGAGAGCGAGTATTACGACGAGGCCATCGGCCGCTTCCGGGCTCTTTGCGAGGGCCGCAAGCTCATCGCCAACGTCGACCAGAAGGATGGCCAACTGCTTCACCTCCGCCTCATCGACCCCAACGATCCCCCTTCTCCGAATGACCTCTACAACTCTATCAACGTCGAGCTTGTCCGCGAGGGCTATGCAACCGTTGACAAGAAGGGCTGCAGGTACCTCTCCGCGTACCCGGGCATGGTCAAGAAGCTCCAGGAGGCGATCTCCATCGCGAAGCGCGACCGCGCCGGCATGTTTGAGTTCGGCGACGTCGAGGAGGATGACTAGGTGTCAAGCGTACCGCTAGGGGAGCACGTACTGTCGTCCCCTCCACATATTGTATGGGTACACGGGAGGTTTGGTTTAGGAAATGTACAGCGTGTTGTTGTACGAGGCCGCTGTTGTAGCTAACAGCCCACACCGCTCACTTACATTAATTATTCTGGCCGTCAAGTATTGCACCAATCGCCATGATCTGTATCGTTTGTGCGGTGAGCAACTTCCAACCATCTGGATTCAGGTAAATTAACCGATATAGAGCAATGTAACAAGAGTACTGTAGATCTAAGCAAGCAAAGCTGTGGTATGATATAATGATAGAGTGGTGAGGGCATGGCTAAAGTAACACTTCATGATACGTCACATTCTTCGTCGTCCTCTGCCAAGGGTGCAAGCGGACCCTCGCGTGGCTGCGATGTCGGATGCGCGACAACGCCGTGTACAGCTGCCCGTGCGAAAACACCGGTCGCGTTAGATCGACCCCGACGACGTCCAATGTGAGGCCCTGGCAGCTGTTGAACGTCGTCGCATACGCAGGCGCGAGCGGGAACTGCCTGCGCACGAGCGTGTGCCCAGACTGCAGCACCGCGCTGAACGGGATACGCGAGATCAGCACATCCTCCGAGTCCATCGACCCCACACCCCCGACCCCGCGTAGGATGCGCACTGTGACGATCTTCTTCCCGATATGCACTACGACGACGCGCGTGTTCTTCACCAGCCCCCTATCCGGCGCAAAGTTGCACAGGAGCCGGTACACGCCGTGCACCTTCAACTCCAGGTTGTGCGCTGGGATACCGGGGATTGAGTCGCGTTCTGCCTGCTCAAGGAGCAGTGCGGGCGCTGTGTCATCGACGTCTTCTGGGTCTTGCAAGGAGTCCGCGGCGTAAAAGGTCCGAGTATATCCCTCGATCTTTGCTAGAATCTCCGCATTGTACGCGTCTACTTGGCTGTTCGTAGGCGCGAGGATCGCCCTCGCGAGGCAGAGCGCAGGATCTCGGAGAACCTCCTCGGGGTACACGAACTCGATGAGCGAGCTGCGGTTATGCACGCGCTGGAGGAGGTCCAGCGGCACCTGCGGGCCTGCCCCCTCCCCGATAAGGTCGACAAACTCGGCGTATGGCAGGTCTTCGGCGTTGCGGATCGGCCGCTGGAGACGGAACGTTGTGAACTCGCTCCATAAGGGGGATGAGCGGATCGACGCGTCCACGACCTGGCGGCGGGTGCCTTGGGGCACGACGGGGCACGTCTGGCGGAAGTCTCCCAACAGAACAACGATCTTGCCACCGAAGGGGAGGTCGTTGCGCATGACGCGCCTGCAGGTCTCCTCGACGCAGTCCAGGACGGCGCTCTTGGCCATGGGGGCTTCGTCCCAGATAATGGCGGACGCTTCGCGGATGAGCTCGCCTCGTGGGTCGTGGGGTTCTATTGGTGAGACGAGTGCTTCGTTGTCGTTGCCTATAGGCACCTACATGCGCGATTTCAGGGTGAGTTGGGAAGCGCACACGCTGAATGACGACAATACCTGCCTTGAACACCGAGTGGGTAGTCTTCCCACCGGGATATAATTGCGCAGCAAACGCAGAGGTCGCGGTAGGCAGAACAATATGTCCTTCGGAACGTAGCTTGTTGCATATCGTGTTCACCAAGAATGTCTTCCCTCTCCCTGCCTTCCCATCCACAAATGCACACAGCGGCCGCTTGTGCGTGACTGCGTCCATGATCTCCTTGTATATCCCATACTGCTCCTGATTCAGCTTCGACACGGCCGTCGCGCTCCTCGCTGCAAGCATGTCCAGCTGCCCCTCCCACTTCTCCAGCTCCATCTCGACCTCCCGGCTGTGGAACGCGGGCTGCGGCAGCCCATAGTGCGCGAGCGACTTACCGTGCTCCTCCAGCGCGGAATTGAGCTCCTGCAACGCGTCGTTCACTCCTAGGTTCACGTTGTCGTGCTTGAGGATGAAGTCGTGCGCGAGCGCATCCTGGAACGTGTTCCATACCGTGATCGGAGACGCGACGTGGTCATTCACGAGCAGATGCACGAGGAAGAGCCGGAGCTGGTGAGGCGACTTGAGAGTCTGGACGGCTTCGGTGAGGGCATGCTCCGCTTTGTGGCCGTCGCTGAGGATGAGTGCAGGTTTGCGAGAGGGGCCAGCAACGCTGTTGCTGATGCTCGTAATCTTCGCGCGGGGTCCTTCTGAGAGAGCGGTCGTTGCAATGGCATAGTCCGACGCATCTTTGAAAGGGTGTGCCCTTTGAGAAAGAACTGCATAGGGAAGTATCGCAAGCGGTTTAGAAAAGAGTTGTCAGATGCCGCGCGCGAGTGGCTTACATGAGTGTAGAAGGCTGGTATGTGCAGTCCTCGCAGCTCTGGTCTGGTGTCCCTTTGCTAGCGCATTTCTCCACATGTATCTGCTGCTGATCCAACCGACTTTTGTAGGGGATGGAGAGTGGTTCGAATGAGAGAACTGCTCAAACGCGCGCTTGTACTTCGTGTGCTACGTTGGCCTCCTGGCGCTTGCCACACCCCTACCTGCTACTTGCCAGTTCGAACTTCTAAACAATACTTAGATGGCGATCTTCTGGCTGCTCTAGCGTACGGACGAGCTACTTTGCATCCTAGACTTCGCCTCTTTGCTCCAGGTGCTGTCCTCCGAGTTGTCGGTGCATCATCCATTCTGGGTCGTACTGACAAGCCTGAGGGACTGATGTATGCCCCGTCAAGGAATGTGGGAAAAACCTAGCAGGTAGACTGGAGTGGCCACTGGCTCGAGCTAATACTAACTTCAGCGGAGGTGTATAGGCAAAAGATCGCGTGCTCACAATGGCAAGCACCTCACTATGAGGTATTCAAACCTCGCAAGCCTGATTCGACTGATGCGTTGTGCGTAGACACCCTGGCCTTATACGGTCCTGCAAAATCATAGTCACGCTCTGTCCGTCGTACACTAGATGCGCACTTCATGTTAAACAGTTCTAGGAGATAGCGACATGGCTTGGTCACAGCAAATGGTTGATGAGGTCCACACTGAACTTTTCCAGTCTGATTGCTCGGCATTCATCCTCACCAGAAGTACGACGTCTTCACTTCAGCGCAAACTCTTAAGACACACGTATTGAGGTTCCATCACATCTACCGCGGGTGCGTTTAAATCTCAGGCGAGCACCTTGAGCGCTCTATCTGTCTCGAATGAGGCGAACGAACATCTCACAGATAGTTGATCACGTACAGGTACGTGGTCCACATCGCGCGAGTGGAACGGAGACACAGCCTTCGCAACCAACTGACCCGAGAAGACTATGTGCAGATCGTATATGACCCTCACTAGCGAAAGCCGGAAAGTCGTGCACCGCGCGTCGTCTGGTACACGCCTTATACTGTGCGCTCATTCGAGCAGTACCCTCACTATCTTTGTTGCCGCTGAAATTCCCTCTCTTCTCGCCATGTTTCCTTCTCAAATGAACGATGAGGTGAGTACCCTCCGTGCTCAAGTGTGTCTAGACCTGATGTCCCTGATTATAGGGAATGGCCATGTCAGGCACTGTGCTCATGATCTCAGTGGTCCTCGAAGGGGTATTCCTTTTAACATTCCTGACGATCCATAGTATCGGAGCGCGGATCTTTTTTCGGTGTATCTCTGTTTCGGAACGTCTGCGCAAGCCGAGTGCCTTCCCATTCCTTGCAGGCACAGCGATGCTTCTCCTCGCGTTCGCCGTAAGTGAACTACGATCCTAGTCCTCTCGACGCATGCTCATCATTCGAGTATCATTCGTCAGCACTTCTTCCTCAGTGTATACGTCAGCTGCAACAGATATTCTGGTGAAGTTGAGCAAGGGAGGACGCCTTTGTGGTATGTCTCGGTCAGCAACGCGAAGTTTGTTATCTACGTGTCTCAAACATTGCTGGGAGATGGATTCATGGTAGAATCTTCAGGTGCGAATGAAACGGGCCGTACTGATAGAAAATAATAGGTCTACCGATTATATGTCGTCTGGGGGCGGCGTTGGCCTGTCTTAGTCTTCCCGGCCATATTGCTCATTTGTGACATCTGTAAGTCGTCTTCTGTAGGGCAGCCGAGTCTCGCCTCGGACTGACTTCGTATACTCCGATAGTGCTAGGATACTCCTTGCCTTGGCTACCCATGGTACCCACCCCTGACTTCTTTGCCACGTCAGTGTTCACGAATGTCCTCTGTACAGGTGCGTGACCCGATTTACTTCTGTGATCCAGAAGTTGATCGTAATTAACCGTAGTACTCATACTGTGGCGGGTTCTACAACTAACATTCGGACCTCACTCCAGTCCCGTCATACAGAGGGTCATAGAGGGGATCGTCCAGTCGGCTGCCGTATACTCCGCAGCTTCAATAGCACTTGTCATCATGGTACTCAAGAGTCCAGATGTTGGATATGTAGTTTGTTTGAATGTCTTTCCCGCACTTATCGTGAGTCCCGCGAATTCTGTCTGACAGTTTGTTGTCGATCTAAGCTTGCGGCAGGGCCTGGTCTTCTCCTTCATCGTAGTTCGGACTGGGCTGAAGTCGAGGGACGATGACGCCTCGAATGACTCTAGGACAATGCAATCTCAACGTATGACAACCTCGACGTCGCCGCCGTCCACGATCCACCACGAACAATCTCCATGGCACACCCCGTTCGTGAATGATCCCACAGTTCCCGGAGATCGACTAGTCGCCCATCCAGGGGCCACAGGGACTGAATCCATAGTGCCAGGCCAATATAACGTGGTTTCTCCCGCATTTCCATTTTACATGGCGGTAGCACCGAATGCTGAGGTGAGTATTCATGCTGCCGTTTGATCTGTCGTCCGAGAGTGATCATGCGTCAGATGTGACCTGACATTTTGCGACATGACAGCAATCATGACAGCAATCAAAAGGTGAAAGTGGACGGTGCAGAACACGGCCCGGGGCGATTGTTAGGTGGTAATGCAAGGTCTTCCAAAAAAGTAATACGTCGGATCATTGACATGACTATAATTCAATGGTGGGAAATGGGGCGGTCAAGCAATGCAGGTGGATAGATATGACAGTACGCCTGTTGAACTGCAAGACAAGACTGTCGTACCTGCCATGACGTGCATCCGTGGCTCACCCTCCAAAAATGTCCACCTGAAGCAGTAGGATCATACCGTGTTGCGGACTGATACCTTTGCTGCGGCTCTCGAGTAAGTACGGTGCTTCTCGGCCTTCTTTCCCATACGAGAATGGTGTTTGCTGGCCCCCCTCAGCAAGCCTATGTGAGAAGGGAGTAGGGGGTCATCGCCACTTTGCATGGTCACGTCCGTACCGCACCTAGCTCTTAAGGCCCTCCATGGCGGACCTTCGCGACTTGCGGGAGCGGGCCGGATCCAGCCTCATCCTGACCTCGCACAGCAGACCTACGCTTCGATCTGATCAGTGTGCCATTCCACACTCACATCTGTTCACACGACACGCCACAGCGCACGCTTCAGAGAGCTCCAGTCTACTCCGGTGCAGAGTAAAGAGACTGACCAGCGCAATGCGTTGTGTTGCCTAAGTCGGTCATATAATCTCGTGAGGTTTCGGGCGATGTCTACTCTAACATCCTCAGAAAGCTACATTGTATTTGCATTCCGATGCATACTACAGGATAACTCTACCTCTCGCCCATGACACCCCTCATCCAAACCTAATCATGCACAGCTGGAAGAAGACAAGGGCGCAGCCCGAGCATAGAAACCACTCGCAGGCTGATAGGGACGTCTGCAAGGGCTCTTACATGACAGTCCTAACAGCCCGACCCCCCCCCCCCCCCAAACGCATCTGGTGCCCTGTCAGCCACGCACTCCCATCTCGCTGGCTTGATGTTGACTTCTACGACTTTGTTGTCCCGTTTGACCAACGATGAGGCCTTGAGGTGTGTGCTCAGTTGACTTACTCTCCGCTGTCTTCGTCGGATGTTCAAGCGCTCATCATTCATCATAGAGGATGGATTCCTGGGCCATTTCCCTTCTAATTTCCGTCATTCTTGAAGGAATTTTCGTTGCCTTATTCCTGATGACATACTTCCTTGGTTCATGGACGCTTCTACTGCATGCGCCCTCGAGAGGATCACGGAGAGGGAATGTCACCTTGTTTGTGGCCGGGACAGCGATGTTCCTGTTGGCGTTTGCGGTAAGTAACCCGGACAGTCATAGGATCTCTCCTTCTGACTTGCTCACAACACAACTTAACAGCATTTCGCTCTCAATCTACACATCATGTTTGATATAAATCCAGCGAATGTCGAAGATAGAAATATGCCATTGTGGTATGGTACCATCGGCAAAGCGAAGTTTGTCATCTATGTTACGCAAACGATCATTGGCGACAGCTTCATGGTGAGCTTACGCCCAGCCTTTTGAGGTGGCGCGCTCACACAGTATCTGTTATAGGTCTACCGCCTATACATCGTATGGGATAGATGGTGGCAGGCCTTAGTCTTTCCGGGGATCCTATTGTGTTGCGATGCTGGTGAGGTTCCTTCGCGATCCAAGCACGTTTGTTCCTATCATGACAGCACGAGATTCCTCCGTAGCTCTAGGATATGCGGCTCCGTGGACCAAGAGCATTCCTCCGCAGTACTTCTTCATAACCTCATTCATCACCAACGTTCTTTGCACAGGTGCGTGAATCAGAGTAACCTTGTCACCTGCCGTCCTCACGTCATGGTATGCGTGGGTAGCATTCATTATGAGCAAGGTTTTACTGTTCAGTCACAAAGTGGGCACAAGTTCGCTGCTTCGGAAGGTGATAGAGGGGATCATCCAATCTGCTGCCGTCTACTCTGCTGCCTCCATTGTTCTGGTCATCACCGCCTTCGAGAGCCCAAACGTTGGGTACGTCGCTTGCCTGAATATCTTTCCCGCTCTCATTGTAAGTTTGTTATCATCTCGCGAGGTGCTCTCGTCCTTGACCTCGGTGTCCAGGGCCTTCTCTCATCATCCATTGTGATCCGCCTTGGGCTACAGGCAAGGCAGGAATCCTACCTGCCGGTTTTCCAGTCGGTACCTTTGCAGATACTAGTGGCGTCACCATCTGCCGCACATCATGACTCATGTGCTACGCCGCTATCACCGTAGAACGGAGACAACACCCGCCGACGGCGTCCGTAAGCTCATGGCCGAATAGATGAGCGAAGGGAAACTCCCTTAGGGTCTTGTGATAAGGAAGCATCAACTTCGAATGCTATTTCCTGGACGAGCGAGTAAGGTCGAGCCTCGCGAGGGGTTCCTAATATACCGGCTCTTCAAAGATGGATTGCTCACGTCATGGGCATAGCAGAGGCTGCTGTGGGACCATGTCAAATAGGATAATGCATTAGAAACCGTTCGGTGAAGACGCGAGCTAGGTTAGCGAGCTGACATTCCACAATCATGACTGATTAATCATATGTGGTGTTGGAAGAGCGGCGAACGTAGGAGTATCGAGATATGTGTGCCGTAAAGGGATGGTGCGAAGCCTTACACGCCTTCACCTTGAGGTCTCAAGCCAGGTCCTGTGACGATGTCGGCGTCCAGATAGCTCCTCCAGGGCGTTGAATCGAAGCACATAATCGCCCTGAGGGACCTCCGGCTTGCCATATTTACCTTGCAGGTGGATACAGTTTCGCACAGAGAAACCCTTACCGCAGGTCTTGCGCCCTTAACGCAGTCAACTTTTCCGACACCTTAGCTGCGCCGTGAAGCTGGATAACCCGGAGGAAGTCGCTGTGCGCCATTATGGGTTTCCATTTCAGGCACAAGCCTTTGTCCACGTGCCTGGTGACCGGGGACCCGGGTGGCAACGGGACCCCAGTGCAATGGAGATGATAACACAGGTCTTTCCAGCCATCGCTTACCCAGACTCGACTTGACTTCCTCTCCTCGTCACCGTTGCATTCGCTCTCCGTGAACTTCACTCCTCTTAGCAATTCTCGCTCACATATCCTCTAACTACACACCGAACAAGTTGGCACCTCATGTCGAATTCGAATTTTACCAATATGTCGAAACAACAATATAGTATTTGCCCCACGTACGTCCATTTTCGTCGCACACTCTGCCTTGGAAGCTAGCATCCTCTTCATTCCACTTTCTACTACTGCGCACTATATGGCAAATTCCAGCCCATCTCTGGCTTTCGTGTGCCCCATGGAGTTGAATTGTGTGGTTGCGGTAATCACGGCCGAGGAGTGCCAGAACTTCTCAGCCACACCCCATAACATGGATATCTGCCCCCGGTCTCCCGCGTGGCCTACAGAACGCCGGCGCTGTTGAGAGATCTGTTTTCAGTCGCAGTGACGGTCACGGTCGCGCGGCCAAGCAGGCTTTCTCGGCTGGAAGTCCGCCGAGATTGCCACACCTGAGGCATAGACCTGATACTGCCGCTCTAGCCATTTAGAGGTCACTGAATAGTACATCTACCAAGCTATCCTATACCCTCGTTGCAGATGTTACTCGGATCTCGACAACATACGCATCTTACTTCATCGTTCTGCACATGCTCGAACGCATGCTGACATACTCCCTTGTAGCAACGGTCGTCAAACCGTTGGAGATGGGGCTTTCACAACCGACATGACTCCTAGCGTGATTGCAGTCTGCCACATGGAGGGCACAAACTCCATGTACTACTACTCTACTACGTTCTCTGGAGGGCCCGGGGTAAGTCTGTCTTGCCTGGTCATTGCTGCATTTACTGATCATAAGTCTCCTCCTTATCGCCTCATATGTACATCGTTCGGCGCATCCTTCGCACGTTTGCACTTGACCACCCAGTGGCGGTTTTGACACCCCTACCACAAAATGCCCTCCTGACCGAGGGTCGCCAGACTGGGTGACAGACAGTCTGGCGCCATCTACTCTTCCCGCCCTCTCCTCCTCTCCCACTTCCTCCTTCGCCTCTTACAACGACTCTTCCGACTCCACGCTATCGTCAATCGGTCCCCATATTCATCCCAGTCTCCAAACGAGTTTCGTCGCGCCTCCCTTCGACTACCCCCCGACTCCACCTCCGGAGGAGGCGTCTCTCGGTTCTTCCCCGGAGTTCTCGCATGCCGCGCTTCCCAATGTCAGTGCTCCCCGTGTGATCCCTCAGGCCCACCCGCAAGTGCGTCGCACGAGTTCGGTCGCAGCGACGGGACTGGCTACCCCTCCCTTGACTCCGGACAATAGATCGGAGGCCGGTGTTGGGAGCCTTTCCGCTCTCGGCGCTAAGCAATCTGCATTCCTTTCCGTGCTCTTCCCTCGGAATGCCCTCGGAGCCGCTCAACACGCAAAAAGCGTGTCGATCGCAACGCCTGGCACCGGTGCCACGTTCGAAGGCGTCGTGCTTTCACTGCCCGGCAAGCCGAAGACGTTCTATGTTGACGGCAAGTACGCGGCCACCGTAAATCTTCGTGAAAGGTATGTTTCTCGCGACATGGGTACATTCAACACGTCTTATTAATCCATATCGGCAGCATTGTCGCCTTGTTGGACCTCGCCGACGAGCAGCTCGGATGCAATGCTCTCGTAATCGTCCTCGAACGCTCCTCGCCCGCCCTAGGCGATCTTCTCCACTCTCTCATGTACGTGGGCGGTCAGGTGGTCACAAAGCCTCCGTTCCCCACCGATCCCGCGTATGTGCTGGTGGGTATGGAGATTTAAGCTGGGACGCACATTTTCCTCTTCGATTCCGACGAACAAGTTTCAAGACATTCAAGTGGTATTTAGGGCCCTAGGACGAGCGTGAGAGGTGCTCGGTGTCGTTGGACTCAGTGGTGCCAAGTAGGAGGGGAGATAAATCGGAAGAGTAGTGTGGAGAGTAGATTTTATGTTTCCTGCCATCTTCTGTTTGCAATATATACGCCGTGCCTTCTGTTCGTGGCATCTTGCGTGCTTTGCGAGTGTCTTCTGTCGTTTCCTACTGCGCATCGCGTTTGTTGTGGACCCTCCGACTGGTGAGCTGCTGACACAGAGATCACGAGCCTCCGCATGCGGACGCGGGGCTGAACGCGGCATGCGTCGATGACGGCAAAAGTTGTTGCACGCAGACATAGCCGCGAGACTCAACGAGTGGGCGCGTGGACCTCTCTACTTGAGACTTGTCCTTCCTTCCGTCTGCTCGACTAGGTTCCTGCTTGGTTTCGGCTGCTGTGCAACATGGGATTACTCGAGGATTTGCTTGGAGGGCTCCTCAAATGTCTCTGCGGAGGCCAATCTGAGCAGCAACCGGAACGGCCGAACGACGTCTACGTCCCGCCGACGCTTCCCCACAAGCAGGAAGTCACCCAGCAGCCGGCTCCTATCTACCCTCCTACCCAGCCGGCACCTCCCCAGCAACAACCCCACTACCAGCCCCAGCGTCCAACATACGCGGAGCAGGTGTCTCACCAGGCGCCGCCACAGGAAGAGGAACAGTGGCAGCCCGCGCCGGAACATCACAAGAAGCACAAGAAGCACCACGGGCACGGACAAGGCCAAGACCACGAGTCTAACGGTGGCGGATACACCCAAGACTACGCTGCGACTACCCCTCAGCAGGCAAGCCCGCCACCAAGTTCCCCACCGCACAAGCCGTCCTCGCCACCGCCGCGGCCATGGTCTCCCGACTCTGGGCGTCCCGTGCGTTCATATGATCTCACTCGTACATGCATCGCTTGCTTGACGTCGTCCTCGTACTCCTTTATGCGCATCGGCGGGGTTTGTAGGATCCTAATCAGGTCAACCAACACAATGCGCATTACATGGACCTGCGGGCCCGCGCGAACGCGGCCGGGGACGAGATGGCGCGCAACTTTGAGGCGGCGCACCAGGCGTATGAAAGCGGGGATGGGGCGAGGGCTAAGGAGCTGTCGAATGCGGGCAAGGCGGCGCAGGGGGAGATGGAGCGGTTGAACGAGGAGGCGGCGGAGTGGATCTTCAAAGGTGAGCAGAAGTGCTCTTGTCTAGGTCGTGATTGATCGTGCTGAGACTCGTACACGAATGCATAGAGAATAACACCGTAAGTGAAGAGGTCTCCATGTTCATGACGTCCGGACGCTGACTGTCCGGGCTCTGAGTAGGATAGCAACTCTGGTGAAGTGGACCTCCACGGGCTTTACGTCAAAGAGGCGATCCGCTTCACCGACAAGTCGATTGTGGAAGCCCGGTCGCGCGGCGACAGGCAGCTTCGCCTCATCGTTGGTGCGTGCAGCGTGATCTGTCTTCCCATCGCGCATTCCCGCATGTAGTCACTTGTCTGCACTCTGTAGGCAAAGGGTTGCACTCCACGAACCACGTAGCAAAGCTCAAGCCTGCCATCGAGGAACTCATCCAGAAGTTAGTGATACGTTCCCTAGCTCTCCGCCATCGCTAAGCCCTCGCTCCGCAGACATGGACTTGTTGCTGAGCTTGACGAACACAATTCGGGAGTGCTTATCGTCAACCTCGACGGCCAGGCCTCCGGAAGTGGTCGTGTGATGAGCGCCAACGAGATGACTAGAGGCTTGGAAAAGAAGGATGAATGTATCATCATGTGAATGTAAGTCCCAGGGACTCCGGGACTGTGCTTTCAACTTGACGGTATTGTTACGACTCTGTGAGCTGACCTTTTGATGCGGCATCAGCGGCATAGCTCAGACATCCGCGACCTGGTGCATGTATGAGTGCAGGCGCACTTTGTATGGACTCGACTACCTCTTTCTCTTTGTACAACGGCGCTGCTTTTATTATAGCGCTTCATGTGCATTACATAGCTAATGTATTCGATCAGGGATGCGCCTCAACTCCGATCAAGGAGCCGCCGTCCAGCTATTTACAATTCAGCCCGTCAGCAAGTGAAAACGAAATGGAAGCAAGTGTACGTCAACCTTGATCACATTCCCGGAGATGTAGCTCCCTGCTCGCGACGCAAGATACATCACGGCGGCCACCACATCATCTTGGTTTCCAATCCTTCCAATCGGGATGTGGTCCTTCATCAGCGAGATGAAACTACGCGGGTTATCGGGGCTGTTTAACTCGGACGGGACGTTCGCTGGGGCGATGCTATTCACGCGTACACCGAGACGCGTGAACTTGCTCGCGAGGTTGAGCGACATGCTCTCAGCGGCAGCCTTGCTGGCGGCGTACAAGTGGCCTTGAACCTGCGGGGAGACGAAGAAGGCAGAGACGGAGGTGTTGTTGATGATGCATCCTCGTCCTTCCGCCTTGCCGTTGTTACCGGAGGCAGCAATGAGGTAGGGAAGGAGTGCTGCAGACAACCACTGACGAAGCGCTCCCACATTGAGCAATAGTCTTCTCGTAAGAATAGTGCAGAATTTTACCTGGAGCGATCCGACATTCACCGCGAAAACTGTTGCCCAATCCTTGTCATCCACCTGCAGAAGCGCATCCCGGATCTGCTCTCCTGACGCGCTGGACCCCCAGAATCCCTCGGCCACTGCCATGCCCGCGTTATTAAACAACAAGTCGAGCTTCACGTCTTGCACGCCCAACCGGCGTTCAGCCGACACGAACGCATCAGCGAGCGCCTTGCAGCCGTCGATGGTGGACACGTCGCCGACGAGCGGGACGAGCACGCCCGGGACTGCCTGCGCCACGGAGTCGAGCTGAGCAGCGCGGCGACCGGTGATGTACACGCGGGCTGCCCCAGCTCGGGCGAGGCCCTGTGCGACGTAGGAGCCGATGCCGGAGCTGGCTCCAGTGACGAGCATGACGCGATTGGCGATGGAGAAGAGATCGGCGGACATCGTGCGGGGAGTTGGATGGAGATTGGCCGGTGTGTTAAAGACTCAAGATGTGATGTAACCGTTGGTTGCAGGGCATGTTGCTCATTCGCAACCGGTTTATATACCTCTGCACTCCCGTCCACGCGCTGGTGCTCGGTGTTCATCCGTGTACTTTGGAGGTGTTCGAAGCTCAGGGTCCTCGAATGTACCCACTTGCTGTCCGGAGATTCGCTACTTCCTAGCTAGCCACCCGAAGAGCCAATTTCATCGCGCAGCACAAACAACCCGTTCGAAGGACCTTTTTGCAGAGTAGTAATGGGTCCGTTGCCCCTTCAGGAAGCGACTGGAGCTTCTGGAGAGAACAACATCCTGAGGCGTCTCGGAGTACAGGTGGATCTGCAGGCGCCCTCCGGAACAGGAGACGGACACAAGAGATGGTTCTGGTAGAAATTTGCAAATCATCATAACGTGTATCATAATTTCGTGCACTAGGTATACAATCGATGGTACAACTTCCGATTATCCTGTCGTATCGAGTGGGAGTCCGTGTGAGGGGATACCGAAGGTCCCAGAGGGAGAGCTAAAGCCTTGCCAGCATCACCAAGCCGCGCGCCCAAGACGGAACGTCACTCCGAGATGGTACGTGCAAGAATAGTTGGGGTGTACATAGGTGGTAGCGGGCTGAGCAAGCATTGCATCAAACCAACGTCAGCACATCGCCAGACTCGACAAAGGAGGATGGCTAGCGACTCACTCGATCGTGGTGGGAAGCTGGTCTATGCACTCCTTGATGACCCGCATCGTGAGCGTTTTGTCGTACAACACCCTATCGCAGCTGATACACTTCGCGTTCCAGCACGCCCGCGCCGCCGGCCATTCGAGCAGCCCAGGATTGCACACCGTGTCACCCAGCGGCCGCGCGTCCATCTCCATGATGATGACGTACTTGAGCTCGCGCCAGGTGTGGTAGTCGACAAGCGAGCCACAATTGGAGCACGAGGTGTCGCCGGTGTCGTTGACGAACGGCGGGTCGTCCAGCCTCTTCCTCAGCGTCTCGCGCCGCACTCGGTGGAGGGCGAACAGGCTGAGAAGCGCGTCCGTCCCGAGCTTCTGTAGAGTATTTCGATGCTCGGGCGAGTGCAGGTTCAGAGTGAGAGTGGCCCGAGACGCCATCATGGCCTCGTCCTGCCACCCATAGCGGCATGTTACTGCATAGAGGCGAAGAGGGTCGGACATCAGGGGCGGGGTAGAAAGCAGTGCGCGTACGATGGACATCGGTCCAGGCATGTCGTATTTTTCCGCAGCATGGAGAATGGGTTCGATGATATCGTACGAGTCGAGTTTGGGGATGCTTAGTCCACAAGCCATGCGCAGGAGGCCCTCGAGTGTTTGCGAGTCCTCGTCGACATAGACGATGTCCGGGGTCGCGTCCGCACACTTGAGCTCAGGGCGCACGTCCAGAGGGCGCTGCGGCAGAGAATACATCGCCCGAAACCATCCCGAGGTGGTTTTGAGCGTGTACGAGTGTACACGGAAGAGCACGCCATCTTTAGAACCCAGTACTATGTCGCCATCCGGTGAAGAGAAGAGATGGTGGAATTCGCTGCGAGGAGAGGATGTAGTGAGACTATCAGAGTTCTCTGCAGCCTGCATAGGATCAAGACTGGAAGCGTTGTGCAAGACGACTCGGACCAACAGACGGTATATGCGGATTTGTCCTCAGTCCAACCTAGTTTGAAACGCACTCCATCAGTGCATGCTATAACAGGCAAGCACGAGGCAAGCAGACCCTAGTCCTGGGTTTACGGGCGCTGTGGGCGCCGGTCTCGAACGTTCCTTAATCTGCGGTCAGTTCGAAGTTTTCTACATACTGTAGCTGAGAAATCCGACCAAGCACAACTTTCCTTCAACGCCATCAATATAGCAGCCGATAGAAATGACCAGCTGTAAGTAAAGGCGTCTAGGGTTCAAGCAGTCTCGACGCTGATGGTGGATAGTAGTGATGTCCGAGCTCCGCCTCTCCCAGGGTCTTGCAGACCGACGACCACCGTTCAGTGTCTGCCCTTTGCTCATTCTGCCTGCCTTCTATAGGTGTACAAATACAATGATGGAGGTGCGTAAGCACGTGCGTTTCGTCATGGGTTCAGACTTGTATGAGACGTCTGTACGACATGCTATCGAGTTGGGTTGGTCACATACCGGCTGGACAATATTGACGTCCGGGACTTGACATGAAACATCCTCAGCCACAAGGCCCAAGGCCGTGTATCATCCCAAGGCCGTATGCCATACTATGTATCATAGTCCTGAGTGGCGTTGCGATATTCCCACAGTTCGCAAATGCTTCTTGCATCTCCTGCACAAGGCACTAGCGGATGCGGATGCGCCGTCTTCCGCCCAATCTCCTCGTTTACACTGCATGCAACTTGACATCGTATTCTATTCATCCAAACCGTTGAGGTTGTCATATGGGTAGGTGTCTTGGTGGTTTTCTTTGGGACGTACATATTTGAATAGGTGGTTCATGACGACTGAGCGCAACACCTCGTAGTCTCGCACCCAACCTTTCCTCCGTGGTTTTCTCCGTACGACTCTACGCTCAGCTTGCCACCCCGGAAAGCCTCAATCAAATCGGACTGGCACGCACTGTCTTCCTTGTCGCGGTCGTCGCGGTCAGGAACTGCACAGGCCCCCTCGCTGGCTCCTCCCCTTACTCCACTCATTAGGGTCAAAGAGTACAGTAGGCGTCATGCCATCTGTGGAGAGCGTTCCCATCAGCAAAATCCTCGGCCCGGTCATGCTCGGGGTTTGCGTAAATGCCTTCTCAAACGGTTTCAGCGTCCTGCATTTCGTCCAGTATTGCACGAGGTTGTCTAAAGACCCGCGGCCTAATACACAGTGAGTCATCATCTTTGTTGGACAGATCATATCCATTGAATGCAGAGCCGCAACCCTTCAGGCCGCCCGTAACGTGGACATTTTCCGTCGACACCGCGCATACAGTTGCGCACTGTCTTGGATGCGATAGTCACTCATCGTCGACAATTTCGCGAACGTTGCATACTCATTTACGGCGTAATGGCCGTTTACTGCCACTCCCCTCTTCCTTGCCGCGTACGTGCGCCTGCTCTCCAGAGGTCAATTCCGTTGAGATTAACTTGCGACTTGTACTCCCAGCATCGCGGGACTAATCCAAATCTTTTTTCCCACCGCGTGTTCACCCACAGCCGGCCCTGCCTGCGCTACTGGATCATCGTTGCGCTATCATTGACGGACACCACGATGGGTATTGTGTCGACAGTGTTTGCGTTCACCAACGCGAAGTAAGTCCTCCCCTGTCTTGGATGGACCCCGTGAACATCGTCGGACTAGGCGTGCATGATTTCAAGCTTTTTGGATCTGTAATCCGGACACTTGGCTCACTCTCTGTGTCGTGTGTGGTGGCATTGTCTAGTGAGTTGGTTTATCCAGATCTGCATGAATCTTGGTCCGGCTACTTCGGACATTCTTTTGGTGTTGGATCGCTAACAGCTTGCCTACTATCTCATCTATCATTTCGCTCAGAGCACATCAGATTGTGGACGCGAGAGTGGTGTCCTAACTTCTCCACCGCATCACTAACCGAATGACGCCTGGTAATCAGGATACGCACCGTGCAAAAGCCACATGGCGCATCGGATCATCTATTCAGACATCCATTTTCGCGGTATGTCCGGCTGACTGGGGGCAATGTGGTCGGGATTTGACCAGGGAGCTGTTTCAGCTCGCAGATCTGATCACTTACATGGGTATATTTGCCAGGAGTTATGATGCACAGTGCAATTGATTTGGGTTTCGCAGAGTATCGTACCCAACACTGACTTTCACATTCTTTTGTCCATTCATATGGGGGGTGTTTATACGTGCGCATTTCATGTAGTCTGTCCACGCGGACTTTAAGACTAGAGCTGTAGATTGATAAGTGCTTTCCGCTAGATGCTCGAAGCTCGACTGAAGCAGGGAGTCTTACCTCTGGAGAAGTGGTCTCCCCTTCCCCGGAAGATTGGCGCTGAAGTTTCATCTTCAGCTCTGATTTTCTTCTGAACGTCTTGAGAAACTCCGAAGCGGGGCCTCACGCAGTCGAACTTTGGCGCGGTCCGATCTAGCGAAAACCGGGGGTGTGAACGGCAAAATATCGCCGCATGACTTGGATGGATATCAGGATACCATGTCTGGGCATATCGCCACCACATCCAGCGAACTAAGTGCTTAGCCTTGCGACCGCGGAGGTGCCATACCACCGCATTAAGCCGCCCCGGGACTCCTCGCCTGGGCTCCGTACGGCGTATATGTTGCCACCAGTTCACCACGAGTGTTGACCTAAGTGGGCGACGACGGCAGCTGTACCGCGGAGACGCCTGCACCCTGTAGTCCTGCAATTTGTTGATTCAGTCAGTCCATCCCAATGTCGCAGCTGGGCGGATTCTGGAGAACTCGAGCCGGCTCTGGGGCGGCGCCGGGCGGCAGAAGCGCCGACTGGGTGAGTCTCGGGGAGCACGTGATGGGCGGAACGGACGCGTCGGGCGCAGAGCGCGAGTATAATGTGCCTAAAAGCGCCCAGGATCCTGCAACCCAACCGCCACTAGCCCACTCCCTCCTCGCTCCTCAGCACACACCGCTCCCCGCCTCTCCGTCTTCAGACGAGTTGGATCCTTCCACTACATTTGTCGAAAACCGTCTGAACATCCCACCATTCGTTGCTGTCATGCCCGCCACTCGCTCTGGAGTCAGGCAAGGGAGCCGACAACCTGGACCATACCTCCAGGACATGGCAGGGCCCTCCAATCTAGACTTTGTCCATGTTTTCGATGACGAAGGCCCACCGCGGAAGAGGCAGGCAGTAGAGCGCAAGAGCAATAAGCAGCGCTCGAAGCAGAAGGCAAAGGCACCACTGCCTCCCGCGTCCGAAATCATCGAGATCTCCTCAGACGAGGACGAGCCACTGGCCAAGAAGCCGTCGGGCTCGACGGCTGCCTCCGAGAAACGAATCAACGAGCTGGAAGAGGTGCGTCCTCTTCTGTCGCGGGCAGCTTGGGGTGAGTCCTCATTTTCGCATGTTTTCGAATATTTTAGGAGAATAAGAACTTGAAGAGGGCTCTTGCGGCCGCGAAGACGGTCAGTCGTGAGGCTGTGAACGCTTTTGACATGCATTGACACGCCATGCTATAGGCTCAACCACACCCTGTACCTTTGGCGAAGGTGCCCACTCCCACTCCGGACGCTAAGAGCGATAAGGTAAATGCGCGTTTCTCACCTACTACGCTCCTCTCTGACCTACTCTGCAGGTATTATCCGCTATCGAAGAGCACGTGAGCTGCGAAGTTTGCACTCTCAAAATGTGGAATCCATTCACGTAAGTCTAATACATGCAACTGTCACCGCCCCTCCGGACTTATGATCCCCAACCGGGCTGCCTCCGGTCCTTTTCTCACAGGCTCGCATGTGGTCACACCTTCTGCAAGGACTGCCTCCTCGATTGGTTCAGTACCGCACACATGCAGCACCTCACTGCCAACCCTACGTACGACCCTCAACGGCTCATCCCCCTGCACCTCCGTGCGGCGCTCGCTCGTCACGACCTGGCGGCTCCCCAGCGGCGCCACATCGAGCGCGAGATTGCGCTGATCACCGCCTCGACGTCTCATCCGCAATACTCGTGCCCGACATGTCGTGTGCTCGTCCGCGCGAAGCCGGCGGAGAACTTCGTCGTCAAGCACCTTGTTCGCACCATCGCAGCCGCACAGGGCGAATCTCCTCCCAAGGAGCCTCCTCGCGCTCTCCATCGCGCGTTAGAAGGTCCTTTTGACGGATTCTTCCCGTTCGTTGTCTGACGAAGGCGATGCATGGACTGCCTGTTGTTGCTCCACGGCAGCTGTGATTTCTTGTGTGTTTACCTACCCTTACCCTAACCCTAACGCTGTTGCACGTATTCCGGCCGAAATCATTGCCGCTTCTCATCATTGTCTTCGCATGCGTATCATTATTCCGCCTCTCGCGCCTTGCATCACTCGACTGAAATAACAGTTTGCATTGTATACTCGCCCGATCTTGGTCGCGTACTGTTTTCTGCTACCATCTTGGTGTTGGTGACGAGAAATCTGATTCAGTAGCGTCTCACACTGCTCTCCACAGCTCGCAGGAAAGGCACGCCCAAGCTCAAGCATTCACGCAATATGTCAGATGAACTTTGGTTCGGCAGGCGCGTGAGTCCTTATGTTGCACTATCTGGGTGGCAACGCTGCCAAGCAAACAAACGTTTCGCTCAGATACCATTCCGTCTAAAAAAGCGTTCTGATTCTACATATTGATACGCTAACGGCGCCGGATTGAGCTGATCAGGCTGAAGGCGCACGACTGCGTGCTACGACCGTGTCGATACTTGTGTGTTATGGAGGAGCTCCATCGTTGAAACGGACCGTCATCTCCCCTGGCAGACGTCAGTGTCTTCCCGTCTGGAGAGAAACTGGCTACATGGCGGTGACCCTGCCCGGTACTCCGAGTCAGAGAAGCCATACGACATATGAATTGTTTTGCACAGCATACGCACCCACCATGGATGCTGCTCGAGCGTCATGCATCATGGCACGCAGTATATCTTGTCAAGAACGATATCGTCACAACCCTAGCACGAGACTCCGCATCATAATTTCGTGTCCTCGGATAGAAAAAACGCATAGCAGATATCGCGTATATCTGCGTCAGGCGGTCTATAAGGTGTTTTCGGAACCCTTTGCAATGTAGAGCATGTGCGATGTTGCGTTCACGTTGGTGATGTCAACACGTCGGCGAGGACGTCGTCTGGGCACGTCTAGAAGCGCACCAAGGCCCTTTTTCAACGGCGATGTTGCCACAAAGAAAGTATCTCATATTACTGAGAGCCGAGAGTGTTTGAGTATGCAAGATACAATTGGCAGTAGAAGTGCTGACGAGGCGTGAGGTCTTGCCACCCCATTACACTAGTAGCGTCGGAGGCTTGAGAGGTGCAGATTGAGATTTCTGAGTCTCGAGTTTTGTGGTAGGATAGAACACGGCTGAGAATATCATTGCAAGAAACAGCAAGCTCAGAGGGGTCCGGGGAAAAGTGAAGCAAGGAGGCGACTGGCTGGATTGAGAAATGGCTGAATAAACCGAGCGATGGCTCAAAGGTAGAGTGAGTCCTGCAGGAAGTTATAAAATCGAAGGAGCCGTCCCTCCTCCTAAGTTTTATGTGAGAGAGCAGGCAGAAGATGCGGCCGCGGCTGTAGAGCTGGCGATGAGTGACGACAAAGCTGCGTAGGGTGCAGGTGTCGCCTGAAGGCGTCGACGACCTCCAAATGAGGTTAGAGAGCCTTCAGGAGGGGAACCCCAGGAACCGTAGAGACTCAGATGTGTGATATACGGGTTACATAGTTGAAGTATTTCCATATACGAGACAGCATCGCTACGCATCTTAACAGTTAATCCACAGGATGAACAGTCAGAAGGACGAGTCCTTGAGAGGAATACCTCATAATTCACCTCCGATTTGGAACGATAACATTCATTTATGGTGCAGGTCACGTCACGTATCTGTACTATCATACTATTCGGTGGTGGTGGTACTGAAGACGGGATGGGCGCTAGTGTTCCCATAGCTGGTATCCTTTCCGAGACCTCTAAGCGCCGATACAGCTTGTTAAGCTACGGCCACTCGCCCTCGTTTCTTCGGGCTCACTCTGGTTTCCCTTTGGTCTTTCTCCGGCCCGCTCGTGTCAAAATGCAATCATCAGATGCCGAGCCAATCGTGCGTATACGCGATCTCAAGAAGAACTCGGTCAATTTCGTTCTCGAGAATGTGGACCTCTCGTTCGTACACTTCCAGCCACCGTGGTATGCTCGGTTTGTCCTTGACCGTGCGATCACAGGTTCGCGAATTCCTTTCGGAGAGTGATGATTGCGGACATTCCCACAGTGGGTGAGTGTGCATGGGCATCTTTCTGCAGTCTAGAGCGGTGTTCATCGACCGAACGCGCATGCAGCTATTGACATGGTGGAGATCGAGACAAACACAACCGTGCTGCCGGATGAGTTTATAGCTCACCGACTTGGTATGATCCCTTTGGTCAGCACAATGTGCGACGAGGCTATGAGGTACACACGAGTGCGTCCTCTCTCCATCTCTAGCTAGGTGCCTGCCGTATCGACCCCTCTCTCCCGTACGCCTAGGACTGCACGTGCGAAGTCCGGTGCCAATACTGCGCGATCGAACTGCAGCTCAATGTTGCGTGCCATGAAGCAAACACAACCATGCACATCACAAGCAATATGCTGGAAGTCGTCCCGACCAATAAGCCAGGATCGTACGGCTCCTACGACACGGATGATGGAGGCGAGGAGCTTGCGAAGCGGGTGGAAAACTTTGGGCACCCCATAGGCAAAGGTGTGTGTTCATATTCTGACCATGCTTGACACCTCCCAATCCATTGCACATTGTACACAAGACGACCCGGATGTACCCCCAATCCTCATCTGCAAGATTCGTATGGGCCAGGAGTTAAGGGTGCGGTGTATAGCGAAGAAGGTCCGTCCCCTCGCTATTTCTTTCACAATCGATACGTATGCCTTACATTCCACTAGGGCATCGCAAAAGAGCACGCAAAGTGGTCGCCATGCTCAGCTGTCGCGTTCGAGTACGACCCACACAACAAGCTGCGGCACACGTCCTACTGGTACGAGTACGACGCGCGCGCCGAGTGGCCACTGAGCGAGAACGCGAAGGAGGAGGACCCGCCGCGCGACGACGTGCCATTTGATTACAACGCGAAGCCTACTAAATTCTACATGGAGGTCGAGACGGACGGAAGTCTAGGGGCACAGGAAGTCGTGCACAAGGTAGGTACTCGACTTGAACCGCGCTGCTTCCCTTGCACCGTATCCAACCTACTGCACGTGATGGCATCTGAACGACCTCGTTTGCAGGGCCTCCAAGAGCTCCAAACAAAACTCGCGAACCTAATCCTCGGCTTGAAGCCAGAGCCACCAGAGAACGACGCGTTCCAAAGTGGCGCTGGTGCCGGTGGTGGCGCGCTCGTCGGCCAACCAAACGGCGCGCACGACTCATCCCAGCTTGGAGGCTGGGGCATGCCTCCGCCGATGGCTTCCGGAGGGTCAGCCTGGAGCCCCCCGCGAGCAGCTGGAGGCGCCGCCGGAGGAGCATGGGGAAGCAGCCCGGCGCGGACCGGAGGTGGAGGCGGGGGAGGATGGGGAAGTCCTGCCGCTGCACCGTGGGGTGCGCCGGCTGGGGGGAGCGCAGCTTCTGGCTCGTCTGGCGGCTGGGGCAGCCCTGCGGCCCAAGGCTGGGGCTCGCCTACGCAGCAGACGAACGGTTGGAACGTTGGCTAGTCGATGCGGCTTTGTATTCTGTATTCTAGATGTGACTTCCTATCGTTTTCGATCTGACTTTCCTTCACATCACCCCAGCACCGCAATCAGAGCATTCGGCGAGACGACGATAACATTTTGCAGAGCCAGGAAGTCAACGCATCGTTAGTGTATCGTAAAGCTAACACATAAATTACTACGTCTGGAAGATGCTCAGTGTCCTGGACCAATGGGGTGAGCCCCAAAGCAAGGGTAGATAAGGATACGATATAGATGTTGCACCGGAAATCATCGAGTTTGATTGTCAGACATTAGGTAGGCCCGTCCGAGAACGAGGCGTCGTCAACTCGATCTCCTCCATTTGTGCAGGTGAGGCCGTTGACGGTGCCGGCATTGTCACGGCCATAGGCATCCCCTCGGTGCCGGGCGTCGGACGTTGTCCCGGAGCAGGCATCGTCATTTGACGTGGATTTGTCATGTAAAGCTGAGATTGCGGTGCATGCCGTCAGCCTGAAGCAGCGCAACTTCACATTTCATTGCGTACTCACCTGCTCACTCTCTCCAAAGACATCCTGCGAGTCATCGACGATAGCCGAGTTTTGGTCCGCGAACGTCCAATCCGACTTGGGGACCTGAAGTTCCATTGAGCTGCTGTTCGACGGATGTGCGTTGTGCTTTGATGCTTCCTCCTGGCGTAGGACCTCCTCGTACGGTACCACCGTGTACTTCGTGGGACCGGCTGCGGCATGCGGATCGCCCCCGGGACCAAAGATTTTGAGCTTCTCCATAGACGCCTTGAGGGCGCAGACCCACTTGTTGCGGCGCTGCGCCTTCAGGGAGCCCTGTTGCCAGTTACTTTTGTACTTTATGTCGGCCTTGAGCGTGAGCTTCTCTTGGCCAGGCATATCTACGGCCTGTGTCAATCATCCGGACCGATTATGACGCCTGTCTGGGTACGCACCGATCACGTAGACGTCAAAGATAGGCTGGTAGTCGCGACGCTCAACCTTCAGGAAGGAGAGCATGAGGTCACGAAGCCGTTCAATCTGCTCAAACGACGTCGTATAGGCCTGCAGGCAGCGTGAGGACATAACGCACTTTGTGAACATCGTACAGAGAGGCTTACCACATCAAACTCGAAAGGCTCGGACATCTGTGGGCTACGCCGGATGTTGTTGATGAGCTACATCGCCAACCACATGAGCACTACATCCTCTCGACGTGGCTGGTGATGAGCGTACCTTTCCGTTGAGAACGGTGTTCGGTGCCTGCACCAAGCACGCGTTGCTGTCCAAGAAGATGGTGCTGAGCAGCCGTATCTCCTTCACAGTATACGTATCCTTCTCCACCGTCACCCTGTCGCCGACGTCGTACGGGTGCTTGACGAACAAGAAGATGATACTCGTGAGCACCTCAGCCAGGCTGCCGCCGATCAACCAACTCAAACCTATACAGTCATGTCAGCCAACCATATAGGAGTCATGAGTATGAGGCTGAGCCGCGACGACAGACGCACCGAGTATAAGGGTCCCGGCACTGGTGACTAGTGTAGCAACTTGTGCTTCCTAGGAGCGATGTATGCTTAGTCCAAGAGCACTGTATAATCATCAAGTCGATCGTACCAGAGAGACGGCGAAAATGAGAATGACGACGATGAAGTAGATTGTCATCAGGATGTTGTCCAGACGGCCAACAGCGCTGTCCAGATCACGCATGGAATGCTCGATGGACAATTGTTCGCGATGTATCTCCCTACACGCAGTCTTCAGTAGACGCCCCAGGGCTGATGAACCAGCAGTGGACACCTACATGCACGCCATCTCAATCTCATCTCGGTTCACGTCGCCGTTTGAGTCCCTGTCAAAGATTGCGTACGCGGCATCTGCCTCGTCAGGGCTCGCGAAGAATCTCGCGACGTCCTCGACGTGCAGGCGGTCAGCTCCAGGCCGCACGAACGAGTAGAACAGCCTCCGCGCAAGCAGCCGCGACTTGTTCGCGCTCTCGAGCGCGGTCTTGACCATCGCCTGTGGCGAGTTCGGCTGCAGCACCGAAGTGCCCGCGATCTCGGACGCCACGTTACCCAACACCGTCGTCGTTGTCGTCGCTGCGGCACGGACTCCCTTGAGGGCCTTCTTGAAGATTTTCTGTGGGTTCATCATCGTCTTGCGCTTCTGCTCCGCCTGCGGGCCGTCGCGCAAGGTGTCCGAGCGCCAATGGATGTCGGTCGAGTGCTGATAGAGAGTCACAAGCACCTTCACTGCGAACTTCTGCTCGGCAATGCGTTCTTCAGGTCGTGCGTTAGACATCTATGTGCTAACAAATCAGCTCAGTAGGCTGGCTCACCTGCGTAAGAGCGTTCATGGAACTTGCCCGCAATCCATTGAATGGAGACCTTTTCGCCAAAGAGGAGAGCAGCAGATAAGAATAGGCCAAAGAGGAGCTTGCCAAGGGTGCTTATGTCAGTCTTCTGCGACGAACTGTCCGTATGCTGCTGTCCGCGGATGAGGGGGTTCCAGGAGATCCAAATCACCAGCGACCATGCGAAGAAGGCGGCGTATCTGTAGTGAGTTGAGCATGGTTCTGGATGTGGGTGAAACGGTGACAGGCGCAGGCGCATACCTGTACAAGACCTCAAGCCAGTCAATGTATTTTCGGGCGGCTACTATGACGACACCGACTGTGTTCCGCAGAATTCGTGGAGTGATCATCCTGTATTCAAGTGTCAACTCAGCACTCTCACAGGTCATTGAGAACTTACGCTACCGCGAGCGCACCCCACCAGCCTATAGGGATCGTAACATGAGAGATGCTACACGCTACATAGATTATATGCTCACGTACCGGCCCAAATGACGGTGAACCAGATGCTCCAGAATAGGAGTTTGATCCCATACACCTAGAACAACAGCTTCTCAATGACCTGACGTTTGGTGGTCACGCTATCGAAAACTTACTGTGGCGTTCGGGAACTTGGTGAATCCAAGAATACCGGGGATCCATATCAATGCCAGGACGGGCAATATGAAAATCATCCATCGTGTCACGATCGACGCGTTCAGGAGGTAGTTGTAGATTTTTGAGAGCTGCGGAAGTGTCTATAGTCAGCATCCGGTGTTTGACCAGCTCGCGCGCTCTCTTGGTCATGTCCTATCCCATCGTTTTTCCTCCATTTATCTGAACAAACGTTGCTGCGCCCTTTTGCCCGCACGGACTTGCGAGTGCTTCCAAGGGAGCTTTGCCGAGAAAACCTGTTTTCTTAGCGGTCGCGCGTTCAAGCAGGTAATCTCGGCTAGAAGCACGCCGAGCCCGCCCCCATCTGAGGCAGGGTTTAATCCCGCCGTTCTAATAGCAATCTAGAGGTCATTGAAAGTTTACCGGGCCTCCCTATGCTCTCGTTGCAGATGTTGAAGATCTCGTTAGCACGGTCTCAACACAGTGAATTAGGAGTGTGCAGGATTATGACCGCGTCAGACGCGAGTTGTGTCTGCTATCCCGGCTACTTTGCCGGTCGTCGCGGTCGTGGTCGGACCGCCTGGGCGCGGAAACTTATGTTCCCCCACTTGTCGACAGAGGTCACTTAAAAAGACGGGTCCGAGTCACTTCGCAGATAAGTGTATTCATAGCCCGCGTACCCTTCCCGTGACCGGCCAGGACGTCTGAAGTCTATCGCTCGACCTCAAACAACGAGCGCGGTCATCGCGAACCATTGTACATGCCCGAGAGGGATCGTGAAAACGGAGAGCGGGACATGGACCTTTGGCGCTAGAACTCCGGACGGGTTACTGTCGCAGCAATGGTTGGGTGCTCTCTTCCATCTGATGACAAGCGGGCAGCCATGTTGGAACTTCAACCAGTCGCACATAGCTGGCCCGACTTGCGGTCCGTACCTGACCAAACCCGTGCCCGATACAATCGCATACGGTGACGGGTCAGGTCAAGAGGCTCGCGGGTAGCCCAGTGTGCATCGCTAGAGCTCGCGCTCGCAGGGGAATAGGATGAAGTAGCCGCGACGCACCGTGTTCTTCGGTAGATCCCCATCCGCAAAAGCGAGGTGCGACTGGCTCGCGTTCCTGGAGTCAAACTGCTCGTACCCCTTCCGCACCCCTGCGAGCAGGTCCCAGCTCCCGTTCCTGGTGTTCCTCGGATGCCCGAAATCCCCGCTGTCTCCCGGAGTCGGCATGGATTGCGTCCTAGCCCCTGCTTGTCCCGGCCGATAGGGGTGTCCGCGCTCGGCGTCGTACTGGCGGAAAGACTGGGAGAGCGAGTCGTCTGTCATGTGCACGCGGCGCTCTGCGAGTGTAGCGGTCGCGTCGCTCGAGGAGCTCGCGGTCGGTAGCAGAGGTCGAGCGTGTTGTGGGGGATAGAGCGGGGTAGTAGCGAGATCGTCGCGGAAGGGCGAGTTGCTGGAAAACGAGTCCTCGCGGTCGTGCTGACCCCGGGCGGCCATTGTGGAGCGCACGTCCGTTTATACCTTTAGACCGGGGTTTCGAGGGTCGTCGCTACTGCAAGTGGACGTCTCAACGTCAAGATGTAGATGGCGATCGAGAAAACGAGCAGCCGCAGTTTGGGATTTGCGAGCGTACGACAGACGGTCTCGAAAGCCGCCGCGGCGGTAGGTACGACAGCGTTTAGGATGTCGGTTCGACAAGTTTCAACTTCCAGCAGTAAGAGGCGGCCCAGCACCGAGGTGTGACCTCTGTTTCCTACGCCCAAGTCGTGATGTCGGGAAGCAGTAGTTCGAGTGCTAAAGAGCCAGGATGAGAGTACGAGAAGACAGATGCTGTCTCAGGCTCAGAACGACGATCCCGCACGACGGTAACTGACCTTCACATATCAGGCAATCCAGTTACTCGATCAGGCTGTGTCGGCTGTGTCGCATCTTGTGATCACCAGTCTATACTTACTATCTTGTCTTCTGAACTTACACCAAACCAAGGCAGCTGCTGCGCATGCCGTTTTGTCTGTGTCTACATAATAAGGGACGGCAGGGCCTCAGGTCAGAGGTGTTTATAGTGCCAGATCAACGGCTTGAATGGGAAGCGAGACACCGAGGTCCAAGAGGCGGCCATGTTCTCAAAGCCATCCATGACACGCAGGAGCGCTCACTTCGAGTAGAAGAGACGTGCGTCATAACCATCGATCTCGAATGAACCCCAAAAGTCTTAGCAAACGATTGTAGTCTAACTCCAACGCGATCCGTTCCACGCACAGTCGTAGTCTCGTTCCCATCCGTTCTAGCGCTTACAGACAGTACCGCTAGAACGTCTGGTGCATTTCGGGCTCGGCAGAGGGCATTGTGACGATCAGTCACACCACGTGGGCTGACTAATGGCACGTGAGGGCTGTCGACACCGCATCGCGCGAGGCTGTTACCAAAAGATTGATGCCTGTTGTGTTCATGTAATCGATACATGCGAGAACGCGATCCTCGAGAGACATCCCACCAGCCTCCATGCTGTTGCTGAGCGCGCGGGTGTAGTTCTCGTATAGTGTGGAGCGCGCATGCGTGCGAGGAGGAGGGTCGGCAAGGGGAGGGGGTGAGGAATCCACTTCTTCAATACATGAGTCCAGGTAATCGTCAGGATCAAATTCCCCGAGATCATTGTCGAAAGGCCTAGA